GAAAATCACTCGAATTCACGACATCCTGCATACTAGTGCAGACGTCTTACCACTCGACCGCCGAGCTTACCGGGGTCTGATGACTGGTTCGAATTTCAATTCGAATTTCAGAAGAAATTGAGTTTTTTTTCATTTGGATGTACTTGTTTTCCAAAGTAATTTAAAACACGGTTTTCGTGTTGGTGCTTCGTAAAGGTCTAGCGTGTCGTTGCCCAAGTGCATTCAACACTGTGCGGAAAAAAAATGCTGAATAATAATTTATTATGTAACATTGTCCCTTTTTTTCTACCCACATAGAATCACCGATTCTTAGCCTGCCAGTTGTCGACAATCGTTGTGCGGTCTCGTGGTGGGTGTATGCCCAGGTGTCATGGCCCCAAGTGACCGCCATGCACAGCAACAACAACCGAATCGTCTGCATAGCGTGGGGAATCTCCATGCCACTCACAGGGGGTTGGTGGTACCTGCAGGACCATACACACGTCCACACCTGCGTTGTCACCAATAATGCTGGTTGCACAGCAGTGGGGGCATTCGATTTCCACGTATTCGGTAAGGAATAATCCAAGATTCAAGGATACAGTCAAGACACGGGAAGGCTTACTTAACACGTAATACCTTTAATTGTTTGTAACCAGTGTTTTGAAGGGGAAGAAAATGCTGCCAAATTTATTCCATGAGTTTCACCCACTCTATATTTTTTTTAGCTGTGGGTAGCAGCCCTACAAATCACCATGTCTCTCTCTTAGTCTGTACGTTAGTTAGTTTGCTAGTTAGTTAGTAACAAACGTTGACATTGTCTATTTCAATGCTTCTGAGTGGCATCCATGATGTAAATTTAGATGGTGACTAATTACAGGGCGTCCTGAACAAAATGGTGCATCCTTTTTTGCGGATGCTTTCACCATCTTCAAGGTAATAGATTTAGCTCGAGAATACCGTTTGTTTCATTGCGATTGCTCTTGAAAATCTAAAGATGTGTTTGAATACGGCAAAAACAAGAAACCCATTTTTTTGCCACTTTCTGTGAAGCAGTTAAAATCAGTATAGTCCTTGTCTAAAACCAAATCAGTTTACTGCTAGTGATTTACAAAAATTTAAGCAGAGTGTGCAATATTTATATATATTTGATTGAACTCTTTCATTGAAGTTTTAAAGAAGTTAACCTGTTTGTTCTAGTAAATTGTTTCAACACAAGAACTAAATCATATACTGTCGTGTGAATGGAATGCTTTTCTTACACCCACAGGGATAATTTTATCAAAAGAGCAATACTGGCATTGTCTGATCTTTAAAGCTCCTTAAAAGTGGCACAGATTTTTTTTTTTTTTTTTTGGGGGGGGGGGCTTTGCGGTTGTTTAAAAATATCTCTGGATTTACAAAATTAATCTTAATCAAACAACGGTATCATCAAGCTAAATCTGTAACCTTGAAGATCGTGTAAACATTTGCAGTAAATTCCGATAGTAAGTTGGCGAAATTGGCGGGGTTTACGTGCACCATTATTTTTAGGACACTTTGTAGAACACCGCGAACATAGTCAGGCTCAATTTGCTTTTTGAATAGGACACACTCGTCTGTGAAATTTCGTATACATTGTTGGATGTTACATTGCTAGGCTATCATAACAAATACAGTTCTGTGCATATATAATATATCAAATTAACCATGTTAAGGTCTTGATGAGGCGTGAGACTAAGGCGTATTCATAGCTCAGTTGGTAGCGTGTCAGAACGGTAATCCTGAGGTCACAGGTTCAAAACCTGCCCAGTCGAAACGTTTGTTCAACTATAAATTTCTACTAATATACCCATAAGGAGACGTTTTTTAGTCATAGCTTTTTCGGTATACCTTTGGAAGAGAGTGGAAATTAGGGAGACATTTCATTGTCTTCCTGATGTCACGACTCCTATTTCGAGGCAAAAATGGGCTAGAGTTAAAATAGAGGTCAGTGGTAATGTAAGTTTGGAAAAAGTGTGTATACAACCCTTTGGAAAATTCTACCTCGGGTACCATTTCTAAATAAAATATCATTATTGTGCAACTGGTGAGTTCGACCCCTCTTGTAGTTTATTTGAAAATGTAACAAGATGAGTGTTTTCCACATGTGGGTTTATGTGAGTATTTAAAAAAACAATCACGAACCTCTAGATTTACATTCAGTCAATACTTCATTTGTCTCCACAGCAAAGCCCCGCATAACGGTGCCATCGGTTGTTGACCAGTGTACCCTGCCTGGACAGAATGATGTCCTAGTTTCGTGGCCTGCAGTAACAGGCAGATACTTGGACGACCAATCCATCAGTTGTACCGATCAGAACCGAAATGCTGTGCCTCTGAGCGGAGGCATCTATTTTGGTGTTGGATCTCACACAGTGAGTTGCGATGTTATGGTTGAAATCTGCAGTACTTCAAGGAGCTTCTCATTCAGTGTCTACGGTAAGAAATCCATAAGTGTTGGTACCCAATTAATGAGAAAAGGGTGTCTTTTCTAGTTCACAGCTGTTATTTTTTGTTAAATATTGTTTCTACATGGCAAATTTGTGAAGCCAAAAGGAGCCAACTTTATATATAAATGTCTGGGTCGAGTTTGCAACTGCTTTTTACTTTAACTCCTAAAAAAAAAATGACTGATATCCTTTTTGGAGCTGAAAAAGGGTGTTTCTGTTACAAGCATATACTACAGTCAAATGCTAGCCTTTTGGAAGAAACGATGGAGATTTGAATAGACTTATTTAAGTTGTTTTACCAATGATTTTGCCCTTTTCGAAAACAGAGGGCAATTTTGTTCCTTTTGGAGCCGCTGTCGGCGATAGGCGTCTTTCACAAGAACTACAACCTGTAAGTAAACTTTCATTTCATTGAGCATGAGTTTCTGAATATTTGATTTGTATCAACTTTGGAACCTCATTCTAAGTGGACACCTTACAATTATATTCAAAAAGAAGGGTAAATTCTTCCTTTCTTGGACCCGCGAATAGAAAAGACAGCAATAACACAAAATAAATTACAATTCAGTATCAGTCAGTTCTGATGAATAATTGAAAATCGGTGATTAAATATACCTTATCAAGCCACATTTAAAAAATAAGTGAAAGTGAAGTTTGGAACACAAAGATAGTCTGGCACCATCCCATTCAACAGTTACAATTTAATAAATCTCTTCAGGGAGCACGATCACAAATGGCTGGATAAGGTGCATCACCGCATGTACCTGTTACACCCTGTACCAAACTATCGCAGCACTATTTGTGTTTATGGATATGGAGTAGCCAGGGAATAAATGCAATGTATAATACGTGTTCATTTATTAACCATTTGTGAAAATCATTACATAACTGCTGAATCCCTGTTTGAAATTGCAGACAACCTGTTTTAGTTAGGAACAGGTCGATAGTACTGGAATACATAGTGTCCTTACTCCAAATTACGTTTTTATTGGGTTTTTTTGTAATAAAGCAGAGACTACTTAATACATATTGGCAAATGCAGGGAGGTACTTCTCTCTTACGTTAGTTACAATCTTAGTCACTATAGGTGTATATGCACGTCTATGGGTTGGTTGAAGAATCGGGAGGATTTCTTTTATAGATATGTTGTTTTTTTAAAACAATGTTTTCTTAACTATTTGAATCATATCGATGGCGCACTGAATTCAAAAAAATAATCCCCTTTTGTCTAAACAGCGATCACGGTCGTCTAACAAAGATTTGATCTCACGAACCATCAGCCCACCAAATTTCTTTCCTTACTGCAATGAGCTGCATGAGACAATCTATGTAAGTATGACATATGAAAAACAAGAGGAAAATGCATATTTTGTTTTGGAATAGAACACCTGCATTGAAGTTCGAGGTCACGGCTTAAGTATGCCTTATTTGTTTAATCACACGCAGTAGCACTGTACTGTACTATAATAATGCAAAACACGTGTGCCTACTATTTGGCTGTAACAAACATTCATTTTATGTACAATCATACTGACCATTGGATGCCGAACTTACTCTAACAAACAACACTAACGGGACAAGAATATGTGGGACTTCCATTCTTGTGTAAAATATATATGGACGTTCTGCTTTATTGAAGTTAATAGAATGTATCCCTTGCATTTCTGGGGAAAAATGTAATTTTTGATCGGTGGTGGAGGTAACAATAAAAGGTTGAGGAAAGCAACTAGTGTTTATGCCCAAAATAAATCATTTTGAATACCGCTTCCTAGAAGACGGTCGGACAATACAAGTACGTCCAACCCGGGAAAAAAAACCTCTAGGTTTACCGCGCGGTAACGCACGGTTTACTGGGGTTAACTCAGAGGAACCGCTTCTTTAATTGTGCATCTGACCCTAAGTGTGCCATTCAAAACTACCCATCGTGGTATTTTCGGCAGAAAAAAAGCTTGGTATTGTGTGGACATTTGTAATTTGGTTTAATAGAAACCCAGGGTTGAGAATGTGTACCTTTATAACGTTTGTCAGTACTTTGAAAAAGATGGCAATTTCGTTGGACTTGTGTGAAAAGACACAGGTCACATCTGTTGGTTTTTCTCAACAAGGGCCAGTTTCAAGGTGTTGCTTAACAGTAAGCACAGACATTGTGCCAAGTGTAGCGACAAAAATTACAAAAATCAATTAGATTTCACGCTACCGGTATTGTGCGCATGAAGATTTCTGTTGCTATTGGACACAAATTTGGCCCTGGTTCAGTTAGCTGGCTCTTGGCTGTATAATGTAGGTCTCTGTGAAATGGACAAGGGATTTTGTTAACACACAAATGTGTTCTTAGCTGTGTCATGAAATTGGACGCACTTTCAAATTTTAATATAATTATAATCCAATAACATAATTTAAACCCTTTTTTTCACGGTCCTGACACATCTCTGACTTGTCTGTTTTTTACAGTTCACAGATAATGGTGTCATTGTCTTGTCCAATGCGCGACGTCTGAACAGACGAGGTTACGCAGGCACCAGAAAGTCTTTCTTCAGGGGCCCAACAAAAATGATAGCTCCTTTTTGGGCGGACGTCAACAGCAGAAGGTTTTCTCAAACAAGGAATGTCTTCTTTCAGGTTAGTTTGTCTCAGTTTTGTGTTGTGGTGTCGTCTAGGCCAGTAAACCCTGTCCATCTTTCAGAAAATTCTGTGTTACCGCATGCAATCCGTCATGCTAATCTCAAAATCATACTGAGCACGTTTGAAATTAACCGAACAAAACTAATCTCGACACAGATCATGAATAGCAAAGCTAAGCATTTTGTGGCCTCTGACTAGTTTTTTTTTATAAAATGGCTTGGTAAAAAAGGCTTTGAAACATCTTCTTCACCTAACTGAACAAAACCAGTTTGTAGTAGCAAAAGCTATCTTCGAGTTACACGTCATGAAGGAATTTTATCTTGCACAATTGGAATCAAAGGAACACTCTGTATTGTCAATAGCTTAAAGTACATATGCATTAGGATATTGAGAGCAGGTTATGCTATTTGCAGTGCATCAGAAAAAAAGTCTTCTGTCTCCTCACCCGCTTTGTGAGATGGGGCCACTTCGCTGCCTGTGGCCTGCTTCCCTTCATGTCGCCTGCTTCGCAGGCTTTGCATGCTTCGCGCATGATCACTGCGCAATTGTGTACACTCCAAATGTCCTGGATGAGACAACGAAACTGACTTAAATTGACTTTGTTTATTTGAAGCTCGATGTAGATTCGTACTTTAAGACCCTTACCCTTGTCTTATAAACATGCATACACCCTTTGCGCGCTTTAGAGACGTAGCGGTGGTTCAGAACTTGATTAGGAATCGTTTTGTGGGATCTGGACGCAAAAAAGGTGCTTACGCAGGATTTTGAGCAGGGCAGGGTGGGTGATACTGGAATTAATTTAATTTTAGTGGCATCTTTCACCCCACCCCACCCCCATATGAATGTTATAGGTTTACTTAGTTGAAACTGTGGCTTAACAAATGTGGACCTTATCCATGTTTTTTTTCTTGGGATGCGCGTGGCGGCTTACACACCCAGTTCAATGCCCCGCCCCACACATCAATAATAAAAACATGTCATTTAACTCATGATTTGTTACACCGTAGCTGTCCCTTAATTGACACCTTGCATAAACAGTGAGAACTTTAATAGCGGGACGCACTGCCTTATGCATACTGATTGTCAAGCGTATGAAACAATGTCAGTTTGATGCACAAGCCAAACTTTGTCTTTACCCTCATATTTTTCTTTGTAATTCCAGTCGCTTTAGTCTCAGGTGTGCCAACCAACATGTTCTGGCTGCATTGGAAGCAGTTAACGATTCTGGACAGGCCATATCTTTTCGTATAAAGCACATGCGCATTCAAAACGGCCCTCAAAGATCTCGTGCTTTTGTTTTTCCCCAGGTCTATGATGGCAGTGGCTCAACCATGTTATCAACCTTGAGTAGCATCGTGTCTGCCCGGTATAGCAGCTTCAATGCAGCCTGGGCTCTTGTCATCACATGGCGCTTTGTAGAAGCCCTCTCACCGGATAAAGTAAGTATTTGTGACAGGCTTGTTTGATTTAAATAATGTCTCTCTGTTAGATATGGATGTTGAACAGTTGGGTTTATCATTAAAACCCATCTCCCACCGTAGGTCTCTAGCCACCCTCAGTTAATTCAACAGATATGTCCAAGGAAATTGTTCCGCTAGTTAGTTTGATTTAGTTCCTCCTGTAAGGGTGTTTGAGTGGCAACTGCAGGCTCTCTGCTTCCTCTAACCCATACACTCTAGCTGTGCCGAGATGCAAGCAAAGAGCTACTCTAATAGCTTTTTCCCATTTGCTGTATAGATCTCTTTGGAACTCCTTGCCTAGTTCGTTTTTCCCTTCATTCTGTGATGTAGCCTTGATTAAGAGGACTATCAATTCCTGCCTCCAACTTTTCTGATTTTGTATGAGTTCATCGTTAATTACATTCATTTACAATCGGCAAACTGGTTGAACACAAATAACACCTAAACGCATGACAAATTTGTCTTCCATATAGTTGGTCCTTCACTCATGTTCAATGTCCAATCATTTCATAAATCCATCGACTGCAATCAGAAACTAGTGAGACAGCTAATGTATCTCTTCCTAATTGGAAGCAGATAATTATGAATTATAAAAGCTAAACATGTAACGCAAAACAAGCATAATTTAACAGAATGGGAATAGAATAATACGATAGTTTATCTAACAAAATATGCATGACCATACATTTGGTTCTACACTGTTGAGTCAAATCGACATCAATTACAAAACTATATATAGGCCTACAATTTGTTTTATATTCAAACCGGATTTGGACATTAAACAAACTTGTTGATTTTTGTGTGTATGTGGTAAGTTAAGGTAACTCGTATTCTCTTTATTTTCTTCTTTTTTTCTGTTCAGAGTACAAACTCTTTCCAAGCTGTGCTTGTGACAGATTACATTCATGGCTATGTTATCTTCAACTACGAGCGCTGCGGCATGAACTGGAACGAAAAGCTCTTGGCAAACGACAACGTCATCCAGGGCTTCACCTGCGGAAATTTTGGCAACAAATTCTACCTGGACATTCCGAGTGACTCGCGTTTCCGCCCGGGAAATATTGTTGGAAATACCGAGATATACGGGCGCTGGGTCCAGCGACTGGACAGCCTACCGGACAATTTTGTCAATCCCCGCTTGTTCTGTCGGAACTGGTCCAGCAGGCAGGTTGTTGATAATTTTATCCTTTCCTACAGGTTTGCGACTGCTCACACTTGTCCATGCAGTTGGTTCCAGGCATTTTTGGACCCAAGGTGGACATACATTGGTTACAGTTATTTCCTCCCAAACTCAGGAAGCAGCACATCAGTCGGTGAGTATAGCGTATCCACTCCTCCCCCCCCCCCCACCATCATATTTGAATGAACAGTGAACAGTTCATGAAAAGACAGTAGTTGACTCGGCGCTTCATGTTTTCTTGACTTTGACTGTGCGGTTCTTTTATAAAGCAAAGAACAATAAACAAATGCCGTACACTTCTAAAACTATTGAATGAGTCAAAAACTTTCACGACAAAGATAGCCAAGGCATTCTTTTCTGTGAGTTTACTTCTTCCAAAAACTGGGTGCCGAGATATTGGGAATCTCAAACTTGACGAAAAGCAGACACGATACACAAAAATGTATTTCTTACAATCTCAAAATTGATTCTGCAGTTCAATTTCTGAAAATCAAAATGGTATACTCAAGTAAGATTCGAGGCTTTGCATGGTATAGATAATTATGAAAGAAAGCTGAAGGCGGTCAGAGCAAACTGACGGGAACGTCGAGTTGATACCTCTGGTTCTTTTAAGAACCATCACCATAGTTTTTTTCCATTGGTTTACTCAACCTTAAGGTCCTACATCTCCATTTGTTTGCAAAGAAAATTGAATATTTTATCCTCTATTGTTTTACGTATAAACCCTTCTACACTAAAGAAATAACTAATTCTACATTTTGTTTTTAAATTGAATGTAATGTTCGTGCAGCTGCTGTTTGCTATGTCAGGACGTTTACGTTTCCTAATACTCCGGGCCCGCTATGCTGCTACAGCACATGGACATGGAGTCTTCTCCGGGGCGTCAGGAATGCAATAGTTGCTTCCGTCTTTGAGCATTATCCAGTCAGTCCCTTGTTTTATACACCTGATCGGTTCAACCGGTGGTATGGTAAGTACTTAATAGGCAAAAACCTATGTCCGCAACACCTCTGCAACGTTACGTTTAGACCAGCTGGAGGCCATAGACCTGCGACATAATCACATGCTGCTTTGTTTACAAGTACGATGGCAGCTTTATTGGGTCAAGACCCACCTTTAGCTCCCATGGAAAAGCAATCAGTAAACAAAGTGAAATGTCATCATGTCTTACGACAATTTCACGGATCTGATTGGTCATTCCCTAATGAACTCAACTAAAGTCCAGGAATCTTCCACGGCCACCAACTCCGATTTTGGCTCAATCAGTTTCTGGTAGTAGGCCTACCTTATTAATATGTATCACGAACAGATAAAACATTTAAGGGTTATCACCCAAAAGTTTCTGAGACATGGTCCTCCAAAGTTTCTGAGACATGGTCCTCCAAAGTTGAGGTGTCACACCCACTTTTTGGACTCGCGTTTTGCTTACATTGATTCTTGGGGATTTAGGAGGCAATATCTTGGAGATGAATCAATAATTTGTGCTGGATTTTGCTATGCGGGGTTTGCCGGCACCAAGCATCAACCATCTCTTTTCATTTCAAAATATGAATCTTGTCAAAGACGAAAATCAAAAGTTCCATTTTCAAGGGACTCCTGTCAGCCAAGGATCTGTCACAGACTGGATGGGTTAATAGTCATGGATTCCTGTTATCTGTGGAGTTTTACTGTAGGAGTACTTGAGGCTCTGAAAAGGGTTTCTGACCGGTTGACAAAATCTATTTCCCCCACCTATTTGGCTAACAAGTTCATCATGTGGGCAGTCAACCTTAATAATGAAACTCTTCTCCACATTATTGTACAGGGTGAGTCAAAAAGGGGAAACCCAAATGGTTAACCCTATTAATTTTGTTTAAGTTGTGCAGGTAGCGCTTTCAAGATTCGGAATAAAAAAAAAGAAAAATTCTAAAGAGTCCTTCAAATGTACTTTTTTTAGTTATGATATGTTGTACACAAACACCGTTTTTTAACCATGTCCACGGATCACATTTCACGTTCGTAAACTATCAGCAAAATGAACCCAGTCGTATCCTGAAAATGATATCAGAATACTCACATAAGTCTTCGGGGTAGCCAGGTAAAAGGCAGGGCAAAAACCTTTTTTTAATATATGTGTTATGATACATGTGTAAGTGCCAGTTATCATACTTATGAGAGTGTTCTGGTATGGATTTTGATTTTGGATGTGAATAGATTTAGTTTCCCTGAAATATCACTCAGCTTTATTGTGATCCGTAGACAAGGTTGAAAATGGTGTGGGGTGTTTGTGTTCATAATTTCGATAGCTGGTACACTTAGATCTAGATCTAACATAACCTAGATCTGGAAAGCGCTTTATTTAGAACAAAAAAAATAGGGGGCACCAGATGGATTTTCTTTTTTGACTCACCCCGTTCATATATTGCCTATATTTGTTCAAAATTTCCACTTTTCACCTTTTTTTTTCATCTTCTTAATTGGAAAACCATTTTTTTAAACTGAAAATGCCCAATGATTACAATAAACAGGGTGAGGCAAAAAGAAAGTGACATAGATTAATGATGCTTCCCCTTAAAAAAAAAACAAATTTATTTGAATACCAATAGCAAATGTATCAAACGAGCATATGCTTTCACTAATATGAAAAAAAGAATATCTGAAATAGCTCCATGCTATCAGAAGTTATGCATGTTTCCTAAATGAAATCATTTGTTTTTACAGCTGGCAATAGAACTGCTCTCAGGCTGTCCCAAACACTGGAAATCGATTGAATCTGATAGACTACAAAATGAGAATAGATTAATTGGTGAAATGGGGTACGTTCCGTAATTTGTGTTTTGTTTAAACCGCTAAACAAACTTTGTGTTTGTACACAGATCTGGAAGTACTGCCTCGGTATTACTGCTGTCAGGCTTCTACACTCTGCGGCTTGTACTACGCCTCCAGACCGCCCATGGGTTGCTGGAGATACCGAACACCATTTTGGTGTAAGTTTGCATTATTGAGAAATCTGAACAAGCATTTTCTTTTATTACACAGACGATGGTTGATAAAGAAAATTATTTGCTTGTCAGATCTTGGCTGTCCAGCCATATATCTATATCAATACCTTCTACAGTTGCAAATGCTCAACTCATTGAGACAAAGGGTTTGGTTTTTGTATTAACTCAAGCCTTCTGTCTATGCATTACGGTTTTTTCAAGCAAATGGAAAAAGTTGATTCATTTTTACTGACATGTTGGTCCAATTTTCATTTAGGTGTAAGGCTTATAGAGTCATTGATATGAAAAACCTTTGAAATTTTTGTTTCTGATTTCAAACCAACAACTAGTGAAGAACAAACGGAAATCCAGTCACTGAGTAAAAAAATGTTGTCACTCTTTTTTCTCCTGGAAATTCCCGAAGTCTGGTTCTGGGGAGACCCCCACATCAAAACCCTGGACGGAGTTGAGTACACCTTCAATGGTCTGGGGGAATACACAGTGGCTCTCGTTGAAGATGACAACGGAGGAACAATCTTTGAACTACAAGGCCGGACACAGCGAGCTACCAATGTAGAAACTGGTCAACTAACGGATGCAACATTCTACTCTGGGTTTGCTGCAGAGTATCCTGGAGAAGGAAGGGTTTGTAACACTTTACTTTTCAACAAGAATATTTTTTTTTGCAAAAATTCAATATGTTTTCCTACTAGTAGATTTTGAATTGCACCCGATTATTAAGTTTGAGTAATTGCCAGCTGTAGCTAACACGTAGTTAATATGACATACTGTTTTGGCACATTGCTATGAACTTGGTAATACTTATGAATTTACATGCTATTATTGTATTGCCAAAAAATGAGAAATTATTTTAAAATGCGTGTTGTAGATTTGGAAAGAATCGCATCCCTTGCGTCATTGTCTTTACGGGCTATTATGTATTTCTTTAAATCTGGAACTTTTGAGGAATTCTGGAATATTAAAACTCACCGTTTTAATTGAAGAGAAATTTACTTTTTTTTTTCCTTCAAAACATCCTCTGTCGTTGGTTTGTATTACACAACGCAAAAATCTAGTACCAAAACTAACAGAAATTTCACATTTTCTGCACGTGTCTTGCTCTGGATCGCTCACTTTCGAAATATTTAAAGTTGTTAGGAAATAATGGCCTAGCTTTCTGAACCTGTCATTCTTTGATAAGAGGTGGTTGTTTGATTTATTTTCCCCAGGTTGAAGTGAAATTAAACAAAAGGCAGAACGCCGATGACCTGATAACAACTGTCAATGGAGATGTTGTCACGCCTACAACAGCAGGTACATGAACAGTGGGTGGAGTTTAAATGCTATCTGGTAGCCCTGCCCCCTAAATTAGTAGTAGAGGTATAATTACAACATCTGTGCTGATCAGCCCATACTTAAATCAGTGAATTTTTATTGAACACAACCTGATATGCGTACCCAGTTGGGCCTGTTAGATTTCATCATATATCTGTCATACCTTTCAGTTGTGTATTAAAACGCAACAAGCAAGCAATTGCCTGTTGCGGTTTCTTAGTTTTAGAAGCCTTAATCTTTGAGTGGCGTTGAATCTAGTACTGATGGCGAAAATAATTAAAGACCAAGAATGTCTCACTGACTTTTTGATAAGTAGTTGTGAGTTATATTGTCTTCTATGCTCTTTAGGATTGCTAATTGGCAATGTGACTGTCAAAAGGGATGCATCAACTAACAAAGTGGTCACCATGTTCCCTGGCGATATTCAGTTTACAGTGGGAGTAAACAACAGCATTGGAGACATTACTGTCCAGTTTGGGCAAACATATATGGGAAACACCAAAGGACTTCTGGGTGAGTACAACTCAAATTACTCATTAATAATATAAACAGAATTAATTGCCTTAGCAGACAACATTTTAACATATGACTTCAGTCCGATGTACACAAATTTGGTCAAGTCCTCACAAGTTCTCACAAGTGCACAAGTCAATGGAAGTCATCTAGTCTAACTTCAAGTCACTTACTCAACCAATAAGCAAGATTTCAAGAAATTGGAAAGTTTTGCACTTCTCAAATACTTGCGTAATTAGAGACCAAGTTCTCGGTCTGCGTCGCATGAATGATTGATTAAATGTCTGGTGTACAGGTGTTTGGGATGGCGACCAAAGCAATGATGCAACAAGACGTGATGGTACTATACAAGCAGCCACCGGTGACAACGGAGAGATGATTGAAAGTGACTTCTATGCATTTGGTGAAACCTGTAAGTCAATCACCAACTCTAGGTGACTGTTGTGAAGTCATTTTGCCGAGTTATCTAGATTTTGTGATCATTTAGCATTCATCCGGGATACCCCATGAAAACTTTGACACTTCCTCCTTCAGTCGAGAACGTAGGTAGATCAGGAAGGGGTTGGAGAAAATTCACACAGACTTTCCACTAAATACCCACACGATCAAGTACACGTCAAAAATGCATTCAACATGTTGGAACCAAGGTCACATTGATTTGATGGCAGAATGTGCTCATACAGTAACGTGATCCTATATAATATTGTCAGATATAGCTAAGACATTGTTCGCCACAATAGTGTCCTCAGTTTTCCTAAAGTACATGTGCATTTTTCTTTGGCTGCATGCAGGGCGTATCACTGAAGCGAATTCTCTCTTCTTCTATGTGGGTGACGAGACCTTTGCATTATCAAACGAACACTCCTTCGTCCCAAGTTTCTATGAAGACCTTGTCGCAGCTGCCACTCCGGAAAAACTTGCAAAGGCTCAAGAGCTATGCGGGGACAACAAGATGTGTTTGTTTGACACACTGGCGACAGACGATGAAAGCATCGGACAGTCTACAGTGATGCTGAATGAAATGAACTCTGCAAGCGAAAGTGCAGCAAGTAAGTAGAGCCTGTGGTTCATAAGTAGCCCTTTATTTGTCACGAAGGAAGGGTTAGGCAGAGTCTTTTTGATATCGTTGACACCATACGCTGATATGATGCTCATGCATCATCAGCGTTCACACAGCGCACGTACACGTGCTCACCATATCATGACAATCGTGCATGCAAATGATCATTTACAGTTAAACATCAATAAGAAATGGCAGAACGGGTTCCGTACAAAAACAGTTTGTTTAGTGGTCATTTGTAAATCCAATGTTCTGCCAAAGGTTTTGCGGTGATTGCTTAGGTCAAATGTCCGGTATTATTGGATTTATGTGGCATTCTACTGCGGTGCAATAAAATGTACTTATTTGTTGTACAATTTGCAGCCAACTATCCACCAAACATAACCGCTTCGGATACCTTGAGGGTGATGGTTGGTGTGCTATTCACAGAACAACTGGAAGCCATGGATCCTGATGGAGACGATGTTATATTTTCATTGGTGGAGCCAATTGAAGGTGCATCCATCACCGAAGACGGTAATTACAATTAACCTTTACGAAGTAGTTCGATTTGGCTATGCTTTCCGTCAGCAATATTTTCATAAGAGCGGTGTACGCTTTGCAGTCAAATTAATCTATGATAACAAAAAAACCTCAGCTAAATTGTGTGTGACTTAAACCCACGACCTATAGCTCTTGCCAGGAGAAAACGATTCAGGTGGCTAACAAGCTCCCTCCCTCCCCCCCCCCCTAAACCCCAACACTCCCTACCTAACCGGTGTTAAATGATTCCAACTTGAATTACACAACGTTCCAAGAATAATATCACCACTCATTGTTGCGAATCTTGAAAGGCCACAGGCCTTTGATCGTCGTATGTGTTGACGTCAACACCTCACCTATCAATCCACTCTTGAAAAGTATCGTGACTTTAAAGTCAAAGCTAGTGGACCAGTCATGAAAGTCCTGGATCTACCACTGCTATAGCCTACTTCAGTTGTAACCATTGGAATTAAGACGTTCTATCCATGCTTTTCAACTATTTGTGTCTTCTCTCTGACCAAATATTCATTTTGTATATTTTATTGTAATATACAACCCTCACAACTCTCTTCTACTTGGGGCTCCTGCGACCCTCTGAAAAAAAGTGGCTTTTAGTATTGATCTGCCCGATATTGCTATAGCCCGCTCAATCCACCCTGTTGGGAAGCAAATACTTCAGACAACACATATTAAAGTATGAGTACAGCAAATTTTGGATGTTCAAGTTTCAGAAGTAAGCATACATGCCCACTAATCTTACAGGTGGTCTCTTCACTTGGACGCCAGCGGACAAGTCGAAGGTCATGGTTGGTTTCCTTGCAACAGATGGCAAGGCTAATGCAACACATGAACCAACCGTACAGCTCTGTGACTGCATGAACGGTGGCACGTGCCTGTGGGATGAATTTGTGATGGGCACGGATGTTGTCGAAGACCGTTTTGGGGTGAGTGCTTATTGTTTTCTGCTGGACCCAAAGGCTAGCTTATTTTCCTGTGACCGACCTAATGTCCTACTAATGAACAACTGACTGACCGACTGACAGACGTGCTGGCGACTGACAGACGTACTGACCGACTGACTGACTTTCTTAATTTGTAAAAATAATGTCCTTTTCTCCCAAAGTTGCTGTCAAACGTCTGGTCTCAGATTAAACAGGCAAGGCTTTGCTTACTTCCTCGATTAATTTATTATGGGTCCGTGTAGAAGCTGCGTTGCATGTTTGCTAGTTTGACAATGATTCTTATAAGCTATTGATTCATTCTAGGTCGAAAATGCAGATTATGGAAGGTTTGCCTCTTTTTTTTTTCAAAGAAAGGTGTCCTTCTCAAAGACGGAGGATTTCCTAATCCGATAGACCCTTCCTAAAATAAGCTTTGTGAATGTCGGTAGCAAATAGCAATACAATCAAAGAGATCAAGTTGTTACGGTTGTTATGCACATTGTATTGTGTAGTAGAAATTGAATTTACATTGTCAATCTTTTCCTATGTAGGTGGTGCTATGCGAGTGTGATCCTGGCTGGAGTGGTGAGTTCTGTGAAGTGGATTACGACGCCTGTGAGGACGGCCCCTGTTTCATGGGCGTGGCTTGTTTTGACGAAGCGCCACCGTCGTTGAACAACACCTGTGGGCCCTGCCCTGAAGGACTTGAGGGTGACGGCAGGTTTTGTCAAGGTAGGCCAAGACTTTCTTGGTTTGAGCATTTAATTTTAAACCACTAGCTCATTAACGTATAACTGGCTCAGACTAGCTTGATTGTAGACCACGTCACCTGTGACATACCGACGGGCGACCCAGACTGCAAGAGATGTACTTGCAATGCAGGCCAGAACAGTTTGCATCACGTGATGCTATGCATCACATGACATCAAGTGTAAACAAATTGTGTATTGCTCTCTGTGCTACCCAAGACTTACAGTTATGGGCTTATGGATTCATCAGGTAATAGAGACAATGTCGAACGATGTTGTATATGTACTGAGAGGCGAATGGAAAATTTATTGAAATGATCCTACATGATGTTCATTGGCAAAGGAGTAGAGACCATTTTGCACCAACGATGTATGGTCTGTCAAAATGTGTTTTTCAACAGTACTAAAATACATGACTGAGCACATAATTATGCGTTCTCCGTCAATCAAGTATGTGTACATTCTCTGAATCAAGATTTTTTGTAAATGGGGTCAAATGAGGAGGTCTCATCGTTAACACATTTGGAAACTAATGGCAAGGAAATGAACTTGGAGGGGAGTGTTTAGCCACCTCAACCATCCTCCTCCAAAGGAAATAATTATGGTTAACCGCCTCCCCTCCCCTCCCCACAATTCCCTGTCGTGATAGATTATATCAATAAACTACACAGTGATTCTGTATTCATGACTTAATGAAGTTTGCTGTATGAAAGACTTATATGGACCTCACGTTAATTGTTAATGATATTGACGTACTGTGTTACCCTGACGATTCACTGCTAATTTCCTGCAGATATTGACGAGTGTGAGCTGTACCAAGACGAGCCAGCCAGCAGTGGTGGACGCGGCTGCGATCAGATCTGCAACAACCTCCTCATGGACTACAACTGCAGCTGTGAATCTGGCTACTCCTTGTACATTGACAACAGGCGATGCATTGGTATGCATTGTGTTCTTTGCATGCACGAAAACAAAGATAAGCCTGCAAAATACAAAGATAAAACTTTGGAAAGAAAGTTGGTTACGCCGTAACAGTGTTGCGAAAATGAGGGGACGCAATACATACGTTTTTTCATTAAATATCCGTATAAGGTGCAGTTAAGATTATCTTAAAATTTTAAATTGTGAGACTCAGACACTGATCTTTGGGGTAATTTACGATAGTCTCCACAATTTCTGCCAACCCTCCCCCCCCCCAAATAACCCTACTTATCTGAATTGGTTTTTTTTCAACGGAGATGAAATCGCCACAATTTAGCTCTTTTCTTGGTCTTCAGCCTTTTAAATTCATTTTTTAATATCTTCCTCAGTTATTTCCACTTTATTTACAGGCAGAGAACAAAAATACAGATTGACAAATATAGAAACAAAAGTACTAAACACATAACGACAGTGAAGTGGAGGGGACCTGTAGAAAGTTGATTTTACCCTAGTGGTATCTGAGGATTTGAGGCATGTCAGTGTTTTTGTGTGCCAGATTTGCACATTGTGAAACCAGTAATTTAGAACGGTTGTGTTTGATTTGGATGATGTAGATATCGACGAGTGTGAAATGGACCTGCACAACTGCAGCGTCAACGCCGTGTGCAACAACACCAAGGGCAGCTATGAGTGTGACTGTAAGCCAGGCTTCAGGGACGACTTTATGGATGGAACATCGTGTACCGGTATGTGTGTTGGAAACGGTAGAGATGCTGCCAACATTTGTTGTACATAAAGCAAAATTTAAGAATATGATAAAGCACAAACAGTATAAAAACAGGTGTTTTTAATTTTCTTCATTAGAGTTTCAAAAAGTTTGATTGTTTTTTTTTTCTTTTACTTTTCTTTAAATGTTCCATCATGAACAGAATTCAGCTGAGCAATTTATTTTTCGATGTCAGTGCTTGGTATAAAATTTTGGACAAAACGGCGTTTATGTTTTTGCCTTTTAACGTACAAATGATGATGCTGAACATACGGCAGTGTTAAGGTTACAGTCAAGACAACTGCAAAACATTCATAAGTTACCTTACAGCGTATTCAACTAAATTACGCAGGGAAGGAACACTGGAAAAAGAAGTACTGTTTGTTTCACTGTTTGTTTTACGATTTGGGTAGTTGTCCACTACTTGTGACGATTTCTGAGAACTTTCGAGAACTTGTGAGAACGTGTGAGAACTTATATTTTCAGATGTTTGAAGGTTTGAGGCCTAGATAGTAAATAGTATACAAAGGAATAGCGTTAAACGTGAAAGGAAACCCACAGTAATGGCACCAAAATCGTGTTTTTGTCAGTTTTCTAAGTTGATTTAAGTCAGCCAAGGCTCGAAAAAGTCATTTGTGGAAATTTAGTCAATACAAGCAAATGATGCTAAAAAAAACAGTGTATAGAATGCTCCTGCTTTAAGTCTTATTCCTATAATTGTGAAGTCAGCGTTAGATTAGCTAAAGTTAAAGTCACATTTGTTTTTGTCATACATCCCTCAGACCTCATGGAATGCATGGACAATAGTAGCTACACTTGCGACGAGAAAGCTAAGTGTGAAAACACCATCGGCTCGTACCTGTGTGTGTGCATTGCGGGATATGAAGGTGATGGCAAGACATGTCAAGGTAAGGCCTTATGTACTAATTGACTTTGGAATTAATTGCCTTAATTAGACGCAAACAATGTGGTCCATTTCATTGCAAATGCAAATGTAAATGTGACGTTCATTTGGAATAAACAAACTTTCATGGCGAAATCTGTTGGTGTTAAACTGCTTCCACATTTTGTGAAATAAAAAGGCTGCGTGAAAAAGTGTTGTGACGTCACCCAGTCGCATTCAGCTGAAAGTGTTGCTCGAAACATGACTTTCTACTTTACGTGTATCGATAGATCTGAATGAATGCACAAGGACCCTGGATGATAACTGTCATGCTGAAGCCGATTGCACAAACACCGTGGGGTCATACACGTGTGCGTGTGGGGATGGCTGGACTGGCGATGGCACCAACTGCACCAATGTAGACGAATGTGCCGCATCGTTACCAGTCTGTCATGAGAACGCTGAATGTACGGACACTCAAGGCAGCTTTACATGCCAGTGCAACACTGGTTATGTTGGCAACGGAATGATGTGTGCGGGTAAGTAGTGTTTTCGCAAGTTTGCAGTGTACAGATTGCAGTGTTACGTTTTGATTGCTGTAGTGAAAGTAGCCAGCCAGGGCTATATGTGGAGTGTTTTTTTTTCTTAAGGTGATGCAGTTGAAAACATTAGATGTTCTGTTCAGTGTATCATTTATACGTCGAACATAGTATACCAGGGCAGTCAATCTGAATTGTCGACTTCGAACATAGCACCATCATCCTAACCAACGTAGGCCCTGTCCAACACAGACACTGTTGTCCATGACTATAAAATAATATTCACTGTTGCCCATCATAGGACAAAGGCGAAGCCAGGGCTGCAAAATACCAAATGTTTGCACAGCCTAAAATGTTTCTGTCATTACCGTTGATTCGTAGATTTGAATGAGTGTACCACTGGTCAGGACGATTGTTTGGCCGTTACTGGTGATTGCAGCAACACAGTGGGTAGCTTTGACTGCAGCTGTAAGGATGGATATACTGGGGACGGTCGGACAAACTGTACAGGTAAATCAAACATAACCAGTGTGCTATATAAATGTGTTAGTGTCCCTTGCAGGTCCACAATGTTACTGGGCCTGAAAGTTGGAGGTATCCTCTGTTTTCTTTTTACCAAAATCTTCGTAGATACTGACAGAATTGTTTAAAATGGAAAGGCGATTTATTTGTATTGTTCTGTTGCCAGTGCTTTTGTGTCAAAGGACTAGTTTTTAAATTTGTAGACTAAAGGTAGTTGACAAGATCAGAAGATGTGCTCATAATTAGGGGCATAGTTCGACTGATTTCATTGGGGGTGTGAAAACAAATTTGATGACCGACCCTCCGTGTTGCAAGGTAGCCAGAAAAGTTTGTTTTTTTCCCAGCAAATAACAGGACGTCGAAAAGCAAAAATAAAGGGATGTTGGAGGGGAACTGCATGATCTGACTTAAAGGCGGTGATGTTTAAATCCCTTGGACCTTATCGGACAATAGGTGGCACTCTTCATTGCAGCAACGCCCATGATGGATCATTTGCCTAGGTGCGGGATGATATACTCTTTAGTGACACTCCGCCCCATTCGCTACATTCCTTAATGCGCTGCCAAATCCCTTGTCTGCAAACACGTAGAATCAAGTCCAGAAGGTGACATTGACACCAATTGAAATGAAAGTATTTTTTTTTCCAAACATTTTTTTTTTCCTGTCATACAACTTTGATCATTGTAGATATCGATGAGTGTCAGGGAAACAATGATTGCTCTACGAACGCTAATTGCACCAACACGGTGGGCAGCTATCAGTGTGACTGTGTGACTGGATACACAGGGGACGGACAGACCTGCGAAGGTGAGATGTCAAATAATCTTTAGCACCCTGACATTGCAACAAAATCTTCGTCAAAGGCAAAACAACAATTGAAAATTGCTTTCTAAGAGCCCATGTCTAAGTGTGACTGTTTTGACCCAGATGTTAATGCCATCATACTCAGCCAATGCATTCTCTAACTTTCAAGCATTGAGGAAAGACTCTTCGTTTGTTTTTGTCTCATGTTTTCGACTGGATGTTGCAATAAAACTATTGTAATATCAACATTACTCTCAAAAGCCCGTGTTGTCATTCAAACCGAAGCTGCAACCATACCTTTCTTTTGTTGTGAAGTCATTTTTAAACACAAATCTCTTGTTCGGTAAATTGCAGGTCGATTGCTAAGTCCATTAACAGTACAGGGGATTTGCAATGACAGAACAATTGCCTCTTTTCACAGTTATCAGCGTGTTACTCCACTTATTAATTTGTGCTATTTGGTATAAATAAGTTTTTTACTTCCTTTTGCACAGACATTAACGAATGCACTCTTGGACTTGACGACTGCCAGCAAGAGTGCTCCAACACCGAGGGATCATTTGCTTGCAATTGTAGCACTGGATTCACCCTTCGAGACCGAGTTTGTCAGGGTGAAATATTCAGTTGGCAACTTTCCTTGAATAAGCTAGTTTGGCATCCTAAATATGCACCAAGAAATTCATCAAGATACAGAAGAAAATAACCAGTTTGCCCAGTGGGAAAATCTCTTTTGCTGATTTCTGTAAATTAATATTAAGAAAATGAAGAAAGTTGAATTTGTAAGCAAACATAAAAAACCACTCATTATCTTTCAAAACATTGTAATTACTTCTTCTCATAATTGTCTCTTTAATACAAAATATCGTAACCCATTAGTCCATTAACAACCTCAAACTGTCCCAGCACTGTCCGGTTTTATAGATTCATCAGTGAGTAAATACAATGTAATACAATGTAAGCTTGTTGCCATCACAATAACTCCTTCATGGTATGGTTTTCGCCCACAGCTGAAATGGTGTGTTCGGATACAAATTGCACCCAGGGTGACTGTTACAGAGCCAGCAATACAGACATGTGCCTCTGCTACCCAGGATACGCAATCAATGGTGATATCACTGTCTGCGAAGGTAACATAGTTTAACAGTGTCCTCCTTAACTTGTTTTCATGTTTTGATCTTTCATCACAAAATGAGTTTCAATTCTAATTTCTTTTAGGAATTTAGATATTTCTATGCCAAACAGTTCAGTGGCTTTAAGAGAACACTCCTCTCAGTTCATCTTTTTTTTACTGCATTTCAGATATTGATGAGTGCACAAGCCAGAGTGACCCTCACATGTGTGGTGCCAACTCGATGTGTGATAACCTGGAAGGCAGTTACGAGTGTCGTTGTTATCCCGGTTACACTCTCAATAGTGACCAACGGACCTGTTCAGGTATGTCAATCTGACAATGACACTAGAAATCAATTTCGTGTGGCTGCTGAGCAGAAATATTGCTTACCAAAAGTACTATGAATCAACCGACATTTTTTTGGTGGGGGGGGGGGGCACTGTTCAAATAAAAGTACTTCATGTCAGGTAGAATTTGTATTGGTTAGCAAGCACTGCAGTCTACTTGATTTTTACTTGAAATCTAAGCTCTGACAAACCATCATGTCATTATTTCATGATATTTAGATGTGAATGAATGCCAAGCCGGTACTCATAACTGCGATGCTATGAGCCAGATGTGCGTCAACGATGAACCCTACTTCACTTGTGACTGCAAGCCTGGCTTCAGCAGCGAGAGTTTCAACGGATCCTGCTCAGGTTAGGACCCTTTCCTCATGGGCGTGCATACCCAGGGGCCTTTGGAAACTTTACAAATTAAGTCCCACTTTGGGGGTTGCGAGGCCAACCCCACTTCTACATCTCAGTTTAGAGAATAGGGCTGTCGTGCACTTTACAACGTCTTCATTTTCAGGCATCCTGTGAGTGTGAGTGAAATGTGGAATAATACAACACACGTATTTCAGATGGCTCAAAACTAATGATATATCAGAAGTATGCTCATTTATTTCTTTGTTCCATGCCTGTGAACAAAAATATCAAAGTGCAAACTTAATTCACAACATGCACACGAATATTCTTACTGTAAACAGGAGTTAAACAGAAGCCGAAATCTGTTTGAATTTCCAGAGACACGCAATTTTACATTTTGTTAACATTTAACGGCTTGTTTGACTTTCTTTTGTTGGATATATTTCGAAAGTCAATTACGGACTTACCTGTATTCAGCCACAACCAGTGCAGAGAAAAATGGCTGTGTCGGCAATTTTGTCAATATGGCTATGGATAGTCACTGCAACTTGTAGCCGACAGGAATCCTCAGAGCCGCATTAAACCACTCAATTGAAAGAGAGCTTGTCATTGCCAGAAAAAAATACTTTGAATATCGTGTATATGTCCCGCTTCCATTCATTTTATATATATATATATATTTGTTTTAAATGACGTGATTCATGTTTGCTCATTTTGACAGACGTCAACGAATGTTTGAATGACACCTTGAATGATTGCCACATCGACGCTGACTGCCTGAACAATAACGGTTCCTTCACCTGCCAATGCAAAGACGGATTTACTGGCACCGGACAGCTATGCTTTGGTAAGTAAACTGTTTATGTTTTGGTATTATTCAAGGTTTCTGTGAGTGTTTGTTTGGTGTTTTACATTGATGTTTGTTAATTATGTTGCCCCAATTGATACAACCCATGTATTATGCAGTTAGATACTTGTAACAACATAATCCTTTTTCTGGGGGGGGGGGAGACGTGGGGCCTAGACTACACATACAGACTATGGGTTCTTTTTTTCATCAGTTATTAGCGCTTGGTTGTAGCATGTTTTGAAGTTGCACCTGACATGATACGTATATATCATATTTGCCAGCACATATTATGTTCCTGTTTAATTTGTGGTGTTGATTAATTGGAATACCCGATGTGAGTTTGACATGTGCTAATTTTCTCGAAGATCTGGGCTAGCTTTCAGAACTTTGTCTTTTCATTTTAATCTAGTCAGAAATTGTTAACGCATCATTATCTGCACAATGTGAAATAGATTGAATTACTTCACGTGACAAATTAACATATGAAGTTAATTTTTTTCCTCCAGATATTGATGAATGTTCCTTGCCCACCGACGACCCGAACTATGCCAACTGCAGTCCCTTCGCATCGTGCACCAACCTGGCGGGCTCATTCCAATGCAACTGCACCATGGGATACGAAGGGGGTGGGCAAACTTGCCAAAGTAGGTGCAAACAGAAATAACCTGCTTTAAGCCTTACTTAGATAGATGACCGCCAAGATTGGCTTGTGGCACAGTATTGTTAGGGTTCATCTTAAATGAGGATAAAATTGATGAGTATGGACTGTGTAGCACAAATGCCGCCATATTAGTTGCAAAGAGACACATTTGAGAGACTGATGGGAGGAACCCTAGAATGCAATGCCTACAGCGTCTGACACTTAAACACGTGACGATTGAATGTCACGTGACGATTGGGGTCGTACATAATACTAAGAATACACAAATCCTGTGAATGTCATACCACACGCAAATTGACAAGTGCACAATGTGAATCCCGTCTACTGCAGCTCTCGTGAGTGGTAAGGAATTATTGTGTATTATGCATAGCGCATGGAGTCTATACAAGTTATCGTAATTCTCGTATGGCCCTATGGCAGAAAACTATTTGGTACACTAAATCTGTGTATTTACTTAGAGTCATGATACCAAACGTGATTTGTTTCACGACAGATGACAAATATGTGGAGCTAGCATAAATTAACAAGTACACACAGTACTAGTCTTATATTCATAGTTAAAAAAAACATATTTCCAGAAATGGATGTTGGAATTTGATAAAAAAAAAAACAATTGGGTAGGGAGAGTTTACGTTTACAACTTGTATCTTAAAAGTGTACACGATTTTTTTTTCGGCCTTGTGAAATGAATATAATTTAGAAAATGGGAGGCCATTTTCAATGGCCCATTATGAGCTAAAACAGGCACTTTACGCTTTGGAGGTAAGTCTTGATGCGTCCAGATGTATTTTGCCGCTGTATAAAATCACGTGTGTTTCACACATTTTCCTTCACCAGATATCAACGAGTGTGAGAGTGGGATCTCCGCGTGCGCTACCAACAGCACCTGCACGGACAACTTAGGCAGTTATTTCTGCACGTGCGACGATGGTTTCCGTGGTGATGGCTTCACCTCGTGCGTCAACATCAATGAGTGTCAGGAGAACCCTGGCGTGTGTCACTCCTTAGCGACGTGCACAGACACTATAGGGAGCCATTTGTGCAACTGTAACCAGGGTTACCAAGGAAATGGCACATATTGTGAAGGTAAAAACGAATATCAATTGTTTATGTATCAATTTCTCTCATTCTGACCTGTCTCTACGAAATAGGGGTAAGGTCTGATGTCTTTACAGAATTGAAAGATTGGAATTCCGGATACTGCTAAGCACGCAATTATGAAACCCAAACGACCGAATTTATTAAGTGTTTTGAGTCAACTATATTGATATAATTTTGTTGTGTGGACATTATTGCAAGGCTAAGGAAGAATAGAAACAAGAACTACACATACAAGTCAGGAAAAATAAAGAGAGCAAAATATTAAAAAGTGAAAACAGAAAGTTTAGGCCAAAAAAAATAGTCTCTGGTTTCTGGTATGCGCGCGCGTCGCCGTAGCCATGCGCGTCGGCAAAATGAAAAAGTTTTTTTTTCAATGAAAGATGATTTCTCAAAACCGTCAAACTCACTGGTTTGACTGGAATTCTGCTGCTTTATGTGGCCTCTCTGGACTCCCATATATTTGCACAAGTTTAGTCGGGCACCATTTGCAGTCATCAGCCGACATTTGAAGCAAAAAAAATCAGGTTAAAAAAAAAAAAAAGCCGCGTCGCCGCACCACTTTTTGGGCAAGCTCCATACCAGAAACCGGAGACCTTTTTTTTGCCTTATTTATAAATGTTTGACTAAATTGAAAGATACATTTGAGAAAACGTAAACATAGGAGTTACAGATTGAGGTTAACTCCAAAAGCCAAACGACCGGCTCTTCAAACGTTGGCTTTGTCTGATTGTACTGTTAAATGGCAAAAGGGTAATTTCATTTCGTAATTACAGGTCACACAGCAGTGGAAACTAACAAAGTCAGTAGATTTTTGGCAAGCCAGGGTCAAACTTAGTTCAGACTCCACTGAATATGTTCCTTTTCGCTATAATGTAAAGCATGTACAGCTAATACACCAACTTTAAAAAATGAAAGCTTTTGCAGATCAGTTTATCATGCTCACTTGCTTTCCAATCTGAAAAAAAAATGACCATTAAAAAGCTGACATTTGAAATTTATATAAATCACATTTAAAATTTGATCTTTGGTTGTCGGTAGATGTGAATGAATGCATGACCGGTGCCCATGAGTGTGCAGCCGACATTGCTGAGTGTATGAACAATGTCGGTAGCTACATGTGTTCCTGCATAGGTGGTTATGTCTCTGCAGGCTTCCCAACTGGTAGACAGTGCGATGGTAAACACCTTTTCTTTTTTTTTTGAAAACATGCCAGGAAAATGTATACGCTGTGAACTGCACAATCACATTCAAACTTGAGTGAACTGGGTCCTAAAAATGTTCTGTGATGTAAATGTGTAAACATTCAAGATCGTTAAAACTCCAACATTAGGTTTCAGAAGGTTTTGCAGGATTTTCAAGAAGGTCGATCCTGTTCCTGTTACTACAACATGGCTTGATGGCAGTAGCATGGCCACGTTTTGCTCGATGGAGGAGGGGCGCTCATATTTTATTGGAAAAATGGTTAAGTCAGTGCTGATTGTAAAATGCTGATGCTTTTGGTTTAAAAAAAGGGAACATTTTGAACGGCTTACACGTTTCTTTCCTCCCCTGTGCTCCCCCTGTGCGCCTCCCCTAGTATATCTGCTTGATGCTTCTTAAAAGATGAAGATTAAGATTGTGCCATTGAATTCCAGTAGACAGTTTTGGATTTTATAGGATTTAAAAAACGTTTCTTTGCACAAACAAATCCCTGAGAGAAAGAGTAAGACAAGCTCTATTGTGTGTTCCTTTCAAGTCAGTTGAGCCTAGAGCTAGAAACCTGCCTACTTCGTCTAGTGTTTTGTCCATTATCAGACAGATACTGAATATTCAATGATATGTTGGATTGGCTCCGTTTCTTTATAGATGTTGATGAGTGTGCGCTGAATCTTGACAACTGCGATACATCGGTGTCGCTATGTAACAACACTGTCGGTAGCTACATGTGTGACTGCAAGGAAGGGTATGAAAAGAATGAATTGGGCCAGTGTGAAGGTAATTGAATTGTTAAAACAGTTCAGTGCTGAACATTTTTTATTGATGTTTGGACGACTGATGAATTTTCACTTGTTGTGGTTTTGGACAATAAATATTAACACTGTAGAAACAACAACCATCTTTCACTGTTTCTTTTTTTTAAATGTTGATTTTTATTTTGTATAAGGACTAGAAGTATCTGGCCAAGAGTGAATTGCACTGGGGTGGCCTACCTCCCTCTGAAACTGAGGGAAATACTGTCATATTCCATTGGAAATCTCTTTTTCATTGCTTAAAATAAGGTTTAGTTTTGTGTATAAACTTAAACCGTAAACTTATCTCAATCTACAACACTTTGCCCAGGTTTTATTTCAATTAACCATTTTGAAGGACTTAGCTGGATTGAGGGAAGGAAGATCCCAACCACTCACATTAGTAAATATAGAACGAAGAATTTGTCATTGGTTTACTTGCAGAATGGTTACTCTTTTTGTAGGATTCAAAAAGGTTCTTTGCCAAAATGTTGAAGGGGTTTTGGGTTGATGAAATGTTCTCGATATCTTTCCCATTGTTTAGATGTGAACGAATGTGATGGGACTCCATGTACGATGGCCAACTCAATGTGCGCTAATCTGCCAGGGACGTATGAGTGCAACTGCATGTTAGGATTCTATCAACAAGAGTCAGAATGTCTGGGTAATATTTTGCTATTCCAGATTTGCTAGAAAGAGTTACTCTCATTAATGACTTTAGAAAAAAAAATTGCCATTAAAAATAATGACGAAATGATCATCCAAATGGTGCACAGGTAGAAAGGGAAAGTTAAGGTGTGAGCCTGACTATTATGGTAATTTGGATGAACATTCCCAAACGCTTGTCAGAAAAAGAAATGGGAAAAGAAGAAAAAAATGAAGAAAACAGTCGATACACAGCAAAACGTTGTTGCAGTGTGGATCACTGTGCTCGCAGCACGCATAAATGCCCCTGTTACATGGCAAGAGGATGTTGGCTGCTATTGTTTGGAATGCACGTTGTGGAAGCAGTTCGCACAATGTTTCTGCCATTTATGTGGAGCAGAGTTGTAACGAGTCACAATATTTTGTGATTCGAGTCGAGTCGAGTTATTTCAAGGAAGTGACTCAAGCCGAGTCGAGTATTTCAAGGAAGTGACTCGAGCATAGTCGAGTGATTAGGTCAAGAAGGTCTGGTCAACTCGAGTCGAGTTAAAGTTTGTGGTCGAGTCGAGTCGAGTCAAGTCATGTTTATGCTCGAGTCAAATCTAGTCACTGGTACTTGTAAACCATCTAATAAATTATTGAACAAGGCACCAGTTTGTTATGAAGATCCAGAGACTGAAAATATGTTGCATGGTACCCATTAGACAGCTTCTGCTGGACGTTTACCAAAGATCTACGGAACTGTTAACACGAAGTGGACATTCGGGTCTGGAATATTTTATTTACGCTGATAACGTCATAGGCTTTATGGTTTATATAAATATATCGAATTATTTGATTTTAAAGCATGACATTTAGTCCGAGTATCAAGGGCTTAAGAAATCGCCCGAAGCCGATGATGAAAACAGGAATTTGGAGATGCGTTTAAAACTTGGTTCCGGGATGGTAGTTTGTGGGCCACCTTATAAAATCAGAAGGGAATCCGTCATTCGGCGTATATTTGTATGCGATAAGCGGCCACAGCTTGACTGTAACGCGAAATACGCGAACATAATTACATTTCCCGTAAGTCACTGCAAAATTTCGCACAGTGTTGGGACTCAAGTGATTATCCCACTCGAGTTGGGTCATTTGCGCACAGTGACTCGAGTCGAGTCAGTTACCCGTTGGGACTCGGATCGAGTCGATTTTCCAGTCGAGTCGAGTCGCCAAAAGATTGTGACTCGAGTCGGACTCAAGTGCAGTCATTGACCCGAGTCATTACAACTCTGCTGTGGCACTCAGCTTATAGGTAAATGGCCAAACTTGTCAATAGTTTGTCAGGTCGCCTACTTAAAATGTGCGTATTTTTTTTCTCAGCGGCTTATTCAAAAGAGGCATCTGCCGTGTTTGAAATCATCAGTGGCTTGGCTGTGGACGGTGCTGGATTTAATCTGGCAACAGGCTCCGTCACATATCGCCAGGAATTGAAGAATTCGGTATGTAGATTGCACAGACAACATTATTTCTTCAAATGTATTCCCCCTAATGGATTACATGACTGGTGGTTACTGATATGGGAGTGGTGTGTTTCAATTTAAAAAAAACCACAAATTTTTTAACAGTTTTTCTTAACATGTAAAATGAAATTAAACATGTATAGAGGAAACTTGAATTTATTAAATCAGCACTCCAATGAGATCAACAATGTATATTATTAGGAGCAAAACAAGAAATTGAAGACATCCCAGGAACGTTGATTGAACCATTAATAATGCCCATAAAAATTGCATAGAGTTTTCGCTTCAACAAGATCAATGCTCATTGCCGATGCCATAGACAGGTGGTGGCTTTTGTAAAATATGGACTAAACGTTTCCAAATTGTGATGTTGAGGCAGTGCGTGAAAGTTTTGTTGAACGTTCATCATAAAAAAGAAATTAATTGCTGGTTCTCTTAATGACTCATGTTGAACTCAGATGGAGGCAGCCTTCGGAGATTCTTCTTTGAGTAGTTCCTTCAGGGATGTAGTCATCACAGACTTGACGCTGAGCTCGGACTCAACAACAGCTTTACTGACGTTGGTTATCAACTTCCAAAGTGGCTCCACGCACTCGGATCTAGAGATCATCATGGCATTGCTTGGCCAGCTGACGGGTAGCAATGGGGGTCAGCTGGCTCCCAACCACCAGCTGATCAAACGGACGTTCATTATCGGTGACCCCAGTAAGTACTCGCTCTCAAAATGTATGCTTCTAATGAAAGTGTGTATCAAACTCAAATAATAATCTCTATTCTCACAAAGGAGAATAGCGAACAGAGGGGACATTCACAGTTTAACAGTTCACATTCTGCTGCTTTTGTTCTCAACCAGAGTGTGATGCGACGCCCTGCATTAACAGTGGTGAGTGTGTTGAGGACAACTTGGCCACGGGAGGATACACGTGCAGCTGCCCACCGGGCTACAGCGGACAAAACTGCCAAGTCGGTAGGTGAATTTATGTACAAAATATCGTGATTTGTATCTTGCGGGGAAAGACTAGTGTGGAATCGGCTTCCATTGGATTGGCAATTTGTGAAAGAACCCAACGAAATAGGAAAACTTTGAGCATGGTAGCATTTTCTTATATTGTTTTGATCAATCATGTGTGTATTTCTGTTTCCCCCAGAACCATGTGACGTCAACCCTTGTATGAACAGTGGGAATTGTGCAGTTAACTCTTCATCAGACACTGGCTACACCTGTACATGTGGTCAAGGATTCAGCGGCCCGCGGTGTGAAACGATGGGTAACTTTCTTAAACGAGAAACTCTGCACCTAATAAGATGCACTGTCAGTGCCAGGATATCGGTCCTTTGCCTGTGCCACTGTAGGTATTCACCACACGCTAATGGAAAAAGTGGAAGTGGAAGTGGGAAACCGGATTGCCTCAGTAGTCTTACCAAAACAAAGTAGTTCCTCATTTACATATCACAACTTCCCTCCCCTCTGGAAAGTACAATTTCAAGAACCATAATTGAATTTTAACCACAGAGGTCTGAAATTTACTACTCTATAATGGTGGGCTGTAATGAATTACCTGGTGATATATATATATATATATATATATATATATATATATATAACATCTGCATTTGATTTCAGGTAAATGTGGAATAATGGAAAATGATCAAAATCTTTCTATCGTGCACAGTTCTCATCAATTCTAAATATCTTTGCCCTCATGAAACAGTGCTAAATTGCAGATCTCTGTAGTTAAAACTTGATTATAGTTAATGAAATGTCTACTTTTAAAGGAGGAGGTATGTTTTGATATGTAAATTTGGGACTACTTTGTTTGCGTAAACCTACGAGTCAAATTGGTTTCTCATTTCCACTTCTTCCGTTAGTGTGTGGTGAATAAACCAGCAACGGCACAGGCAAAGAACAGACTTCTCCATCTGTATCTTCTTGTTCATCACAATTCAGTAGTAGTAGTATGTTTAATCAAAATCAGTGTAGGCATGGGCCAAATGAACAACTGTTGATGGATTAAAAGAAATATCAGTGATGTAGTCCAGCCTATGCAATTCCCTGCCAGTATATCCTAAGTTAATCAGTCACAAGTCATGAAGTCACTAGTTGCATTACAATGACATGCAACAAGATCATTATTCGGTCGTTGTTCATCTTGTTACTTGTGACTGACTTTATGAAATGACTTTTGATTGACTCGACGACAACACTTGGAAAAATACAGGTCATTTCATGTAAACTCAAAAAAAGTATATGATTGTAGTGTTACTTGGTAGGCAAAATCTCTATGGTAAATATGACTGTTTTAAAATTTCGGTACCTCGTTTTACGTTTATTGATTTAAAAATCTTGCCATTTAAGTGCATAGATTGTTATCCTGTAATGTTTACAAACAACTGTGCCCTGTAATGCATCAAACGGGTTATGTTCACTGGCTAACTAAGGGGCGGGGGAGGCACAGGGGGCACGTGCCCCCCCCCCCCCCCCCCCCCGTGGATGTCCGTGCCCCCAGTGCCTACCCCCGGTACCCCCAGTGCCACTACCCCCACCCCAACTCCGCTCCCACCCCACCCTCACCCCCATCCCCCAATTTGGAATTAAAAATTGATCATAATCAGTACCCCCAAGGACCATAATTAACCATAGTTCGATGACTTTGATCGAACGCACGTTAGTCGACGATGGTTAGACTAGTCTAGTCGATTATTCAGGTTCATGGTTCTGACACTGTCTTTGGTCAACATTGTACAATAGTTGGATTTTTAAACAACTTAACGTCTTATTGTTCTTATTGTAAGGCACATTTGATCAATTGTATTTAGAAATGCGCGGTAGAAATTTGTATATTATTGTTGTTATTATTAATGGCGAATATGTAAGATAACATAAACTGCACTATCACTATGATTGTGTTAATAAACAGAAAAAAAGTGTTGAATGTGGGACCGCCATTTTTTGACGGTCGTTGACATGACAATTAGAGTCGTTTGCGCTTCAGCTTCAGTGCGCATACGCTAGGTACATCACGAATCAACCACAAGCTAACCACTGGTCCTTGATCGAACTTGCTCATAGTTACGCCACTTGTCGTTTGATGGCTGAAACCAACTTATTCCAGTTTTTTAAGATATATTTCAGCTTTGTTAACCTCCCTCCAGGTTATAGTTCAATCCGATCTTGTTTATTATCCTAAGCACCTTGTCAAATGGGCAACGACTGCGTAAACGGAGCAACTTGCATCAACGATCTGAACACTGCTCGCGGGTACACCTGCAGCTGTGACGTAGGGTTCATGGGAGAAAACTGTGAAATAGGTAACAAGTTGGAATTGTGATGCTTGTTTGAGAAAATATTAAACTTTAGTTCAATCTGTCTTATGTTTAAGATAATATTGAACTTTCAAATATGTTATTATTGGTTTTATGATATCAGTGGCAGTAAGAAATAATGCAGTGTTCACAAACAATAGGGAAACTTGGAAATTTTAACCTTACAAACTGTCTAGCCGATATCAAATTGAAAAAAAAAAGAATTGTATGAAAGGTCCAATCTATGCCCTTGGATAAATGACAGCATTTTGAATTTTTTGTTAGTCTGAAGGTGGTGAAGGTGTAAGGTATAGTTTCAGGTTTCATGATTGTGTAGTTTTCTTACTTTTTGCTCAAACTATGCAGAGTCATTTTGCAGTCATATATATATGAATGTTAATATATGAATCAATATATGAATCAATCTTTTAAAACAATTGTCATATGACTTGAGACAGGCATATCAAATGAGCACTGAATATGAACGTGTTACCTTTTCAGTATGTAAGCTGTCATGTGTGAATGGCGGAACACTGGATCTTGCAGCGTGCACATGTACCTGTGCCGACAACTGGGATGGACTAAACTGTAGCGGTCAGTTGAAAGAAAAAAACCTGGTCAAAACAAACAAACTAAAAACAGTATTTATGTTGTTTTTTTTCAATAGTAGCAAGGGATATGTGAAGAGATAGAAGAGTTCATGGGCATGAATTGGAATTCTGTTGACTATAACTGTCGGATTGGTATTGTGTAAAAAGGAGATAATATGTAAGTCGTCTTGGTAAGCTTTGGACTTAATTTAGCCAAAAATAGGACCTCTACAGGCCCTAATCATACAGATGTAGAACAAGTTTGCATTCATCTTTTTTAATCATGATTGTAAATTTGCATCCTAAAAATCTAAAGTAGGATAAAAAAAAAACACCTCTTCAGTCTAAGTGCCATGAATACATTTTTTTGTTCATAAGGAATTCAAACCCATGTAGTTGTTTTAGTACAAAGCCTGTATGCACATCATCAAAGGCAAGTAACACCTTCATAAAGCACACAGTTTCCATGGATTTTTTTTTGAGGGGGTGCACGTGATCTTCCTGACTTTGCAAGATTGACAGGAGACCCGTGGCCGATCTTTTTTATGCATTGGAATTTGAGGCTTGGTTCATCCCGTTTGTAGTCACATTAATGCCTCATAATGCCAAACGTGTTTGCCAACAAAGCTCCAGTACTGCATTGTCCCATATGGATTCATCAGAAAATAAAAACAACTTACAGATGTTCATGGAATCAATGTTATTTGTTTCTTACTAGCTTGCACATTGGACTGCATGAATGGTGGTAATTTGAATGAGGCGACATGTCAGTGCACATGCATAAACGATTGGAGTGGAACGACCTGTACTGGTAATTATATTGATTGCGATGTCTTGTGTCACTGTGTTTTGTTTCTGCATCTAATAGGGGACGTTGGACAAAGGGGTCCACAATTACAGAAGGAACACAATTGACGATCCTGTACACAACATATGGGAGGTCTTCCTAAACAGTTTAATTATAAACAAAGGGGGGTCAATAGGGGGTCCATGATTGCAGCTTAATACACACTTCGGTGGGATGGTTATCATTCAGACTGAGGACTTGGAACAATGGGGTATGTTCGATTTCAAAGAGCCCAGGTCCTCGGGAATATTGGTGTACAAACATTATGGGAGCCGTTGAGAACAAGTTAAGGTACAAGCAAAAGGGAACAAAAGAAGGAAACGATCAGGTCTTAATGAGTGTGCTTAGATGTGTACTTGCACCCTATTTCACGGCGGGAAGATAATTAGGCAGACAAATTGTGCTGGCTGTAGCAGACAAAGTTGTGATGACCATAAGCGTACTCGACACATTCTTAGACATTCGTATCGATGTGACACAATTTTTTGGAAGCATGTATACTGTTTACTGTGCCATACTTACCGTCTCTATGAAATAAACGGATGCTCTGCATGCAGTACATCATTTGAGCTCAGTTAGCATTTTTCGCATGTGTTGAAAAGTATCTTCCTACAAAGATACAGTTTCTAAAACAAATTTAAAATAGATTAAACACAACAATTTACCAAACAAAAAAATGAATCGAATAAGCTTTGTTCTCTCTTTCTTATTGTTTTTCAGTCTGTAGTTTAACTGCCGATAGCTGTCAGGAAGGACAGAATCTGTTCACCAGTACTTGTCAATGCTCAGGTATAGGAAAATAAGGACAATATTGAACTTGTGATAACCCCCCCCCCCCATTTTTCACGTTCTGATATTTACAAAACAACATGAATTTGTTGATTTTGCCAAAAATCATGCATGACCACACCCGTGGCGTTATTTCAGGTCCACTTCAGTGTTACTTTATGAAAACTTTACTTTATGACATAATGGAAGCAAGAAAAGTACAGTTTCATTCATGCGCTGTAATTATTTTCACATAATAATATTTGTATGAGAAGCAGCACAATTTACGGAACTAAATGTTTATAAGTTCACATTGCTCCCTGTTTGTTGTGTGTATGGCAGCTTGCCCGTCCACCTGTTCCAATAATGGAGTGCAGGATCAGAATTGCGAGTGTACATGTGACAGTGACCAGAACTGGACAGGGGATTACTGTTCCGGTAAATGAACATCAATGATTTCTTTTTCACTGTATTAACGTAGAGTTGTCTGAGTAGGAAAGCTCTCTTCTTGCTCTGAAATTGCAATCAACTGTACAGTACAACAAATTCAACGATTTCCAAAACCTTTGCTCTCACTCTCTCAGGGAGGGGGAAGGGTGCTTCAGGTTGACACCCCTTTCCAAGTTTTAACACCCTCCCGTGACGTCAAACCACTATTTTGCCTTCACATTATTTTGGACGCATGGAGCACGATGCATCAATCGACATCCACCACAATTTTCTCCCATACGTGGGATCATTACATGACACTATAGATTTTCGATAAATCCATGTAGGTGAAATAATGGTGTTTTCAAAAATTGACATTGCAGGATTCGATCTAGGGACCTTTTAAATCTAAGCTCATTGAGTTAGCCATTAGGCTTTTGTGACAGCTCAAGGACTGCCGTTCTTTTAAATGCTTTGATATTACTAATTTACTAAATTGTAACAAATTCAACAATGAAGATATACAAAGGCCATTGTTCAAGCAATAGTGTTAAGTTGGCTAATATACTTGGTGGCGCGCCGTTCAGCAACATTTTGACCATACATTTATCATATTACTATTCCTTCGAGCATTTTAAACATTTTTACTAAAGACATCAGTCTTCATCGACCACAAACTAAATCCTGTAGCCATTCCAACCAAGTTCAGCTTAAATTAGTCCTTGGCTAAAGTATCAGCAGAATTACTAATCGTTGGCATAATGAGACCCTATCACATCTTGTCATAATTATAACAAATTACGTTAAGCATTTTCAAAATGTGTTATGTGTTAATATCAGGGAAAGTAGTTTGTTTGCATTTATGTGTTTGCACATGTTGGTGTTTAACATTTATCGTCAAATCAAAAGTAAATTATGTTCAATGTTTAAATACTTTTACAGCACTTGAGAAATGTCATCTGTTTTGTTTACAGATTGTACGTTACAATGCGAAAACGGTGCACAGCAGAATAGTCAGACCTGTGAATGTCCATGCACAGGTAACTGGATGGGAACAACTTGCTCTGGTAAGTATTGTGTTTACTTTTCAAAAATACCCTAATGTTATCTACTTGTCTGTTTTTATCATTGAAAAATTCACAGAAATATCCATCATCTTCTCTCATTTAAGAGTTTGGAAATCATGCAAACTCTTAAATGAGGGGAAACCATAATGTCAGCACCCTGTTGAGTTGTTGTTTTTTCGATTGGTTTTTGGGGTTTTTCCGATCTTGTAACACATCAGACGCAGTGATCTTTGTGAAGCAGTGACGCAGTACAATTTGTAGCTGACAAAAAGAGAACAATTGTACTATTTATTTGTCGTTACGCGAGCGGAAGCTTTTGTGAATCGTGGAAGAAGTTATGTTATTCGGTGTATTATGTTGCATAGCCTCCACCTGTGTAAAATCTCAAAGTCCAAACAATATGTAGTTAAACAAATTGTAGTTAGCTGTGAAGGCCAAGTTCCCTGTTTGACGCTGCAGTTTTCTAGGCTATATTTGTTCTTCTAAAAAAGTCAAATATCGACTCGACAATGTAAGTATGTCCTTCTGCATGGGATGAACTGTAGTTGTTTTGTGAACTTGTTTTTGAGGTATTGAATTTTAAACATAATTGTGTTTGTTTTTATTTTTTTTTATAAAGAAAAGGACAAAATAACACATGTAGTACAACTGGTGTTAAATGAAAGAGATGAATTTGACCCTTGTTCACAGATTGCCCTTTGACCTGTGCAAATGCTGGGAATGTTAACATTGGGAAGTGTCAGTGTACATGTGCCGGTAGCTGGACTGGAACCACCTGCTCTGGTGAGTTTTGTTTTAATTTAAGAAGATGAGCGTCATAAGAAATTATTGATTTTGCCAACTTTTTAACTGCCTAGATATTCAAATCATGTTTTGTTGTACACAAAACAAACGGACGAAACAAACCCTACCATTTCAATTGCCATTCTCTACTGACGGAGCCCTACTGATTGGCCAGTCAGCCAGTTGCCAATTTTTATTTTCGTTGTCATATTAATTGACAATGTTCACAAAATAAGTCTATATTTAGAAATTCGCATATGCAAAAATAAAAAAAAAACATAAAAAACATTTTCAAAGCTGTTGGTAATTTCCTGATTGAACAAAGACAAGTGGCTATCCTCAACTAGCTTGTTGACATTTATTGATTGAAGAACGATGACAATGCTCACGGTTTTGCTTGAAATTTCAAACAATGTCTCAGTTTCTGAAAACGTGTGAGTAAGTTCACAGAAGCCTCGTTCTTTTTTATTTACAATAATTAGGATACTCTTTAAGATAAGGGTATATTGATCGTTTATCAGACTTTCAACTGTCCTGTGCAAGTTGCGATACGCTGAATTTTAGAGCGATGGCAATGCTAAGGGCTGTGCTTGAAATTTCTAACCGTGCTTCAGTTTCTAAAAACTTACTCACAGTACTCACAGTACTCACAGTAAGTTCACACAAACCTCGTTCTTTTTTATTTACAGTAATCAGTAAACTCGTTTAGCTAAGTGTATTTTCATTGTTTTCAAGACTTGCAACTTTCCAGTGCGATACGCTGAAATTTAGCACCATGGCAATGCTCGGGGCTTCGCTTGAAATTTTAAACCATATTTCATTTTTTGAAAACTTGTGGCTAAGACTATATATAAGCCTCGTTTTTGTTTTTATTTGCAATACTTGAACTCCTTTTTTTTAAGCTAAAGGTATTTTGATTGTATTTCAGACTGCCCACTTGTCTGTCAAAATGATGGCACGTTGAATGATGAAACATGTCAGTGTCAATGCGATCAAAACTGGATGGGAATTACCTGCTCTGGTGAGTACAGTACGAGTGTTATTATGTGTACATGTGCAATAGAACATTGCTATAAAAATACCACCACACCAAATATGCCTTAAAACGAACCTCCTCCTGGCTTGTAGATTGTATGTAAAATTAAACAGACCATCGTATGGCTGCAAGTATTATTCAGTTTCCTAGATTAATGTGTAGATTATTCAGTTAAATTGTTTTATTTGATTAATCAAAAACCAAGTTGTGAAAAAACGGGCTTATATATGGAAACATCCCACGAACCGCTTAACGATAAATCATTTCAGCACGATTATGATGTTTCTCTGAATAAATCGGAATTGCGTAAGGTCAAGACAAATCGAGATACAGGCGATATCGTTTTTCAATTGGCGCGAGGTTTTTTTTTCAACCAGAATTTTCCTACAACAATAGGCTTATCGGTTAATCGAAACTGTTATCGGAAGGGAACGATTAACTGATCGAAAAAAAAATGATCGTAAACTTGCGGCCCTATAGAGCATTGTCATCAAACAATTTTAACCTCTATATCCACCCAATTATGTTCATTATAAAATGGTTATATCAAATCTTGTTGTGACCTGACCCTCACTGTAGCCTGGGCTGGGTGCCGGTTTGACTTTTTTTTTGTATTTTTGGTCAAATCAAACTAAGTGTTTTTACAGTGTATAGGCAAACACGTATTGATATTTATACAAGGCCTTAACATTGATTGAAATGTCCCATCTAGCTGCCACCTTTTCCATTAAGTGTAATTTCTCTTGCACTCATAAACAATTTTTCTTTGCATATTGTAGCACTGTAGACAGGACTGTTGTATACTTTAAAAAGACAATTGACAAATATAGTTATTTCGTTGCAGACTGCGAGTTGAATTGCATGAATGGCGGAACTCTCAACACTGCTACTTGCCAGTGTTCATGTGCCCAGAGCTGGACTGGAACTGACTGTTCAGGTATGGAAACAAAGATAAACATTTAAGATTTAGAATGAGCTATTGGGAAGGGCTTTTATTTATTGGGGGTTCTTACATTCTTAAAAAATATCCAAATGTTTTTGTAAATCTGTTGCTCAGAAATTGATTATTTTCCTACATCATTCGCTGGAAACAAATTGGTCTATAACTGATCAGCCGTGTCTTGGTTGAAAAAAAATGATAAATTTGGCAGAATTGCCATATGCATAAGTATAAGACCCGTTGGAAACATCAAATCACGCCAAGAGAAAATCTCCACCTTTGTGGCCCTTTGAAACGGGCCCTGTTTCCATTTAAATCTAAGAACTGATGTTTTGTAAGGCCATTCCCCATGGTGTTGCAACCAATCGAACGATGACCTTTAAACCAACTGTCTGATAGAATTTTGACAAAATTGTACTTATATAGTTATGGAGCCTACGGCCGGAACGTATAAGGGGCGCACGTGTTGTCACCAATGTCCGCCGTAGCCAAATCTAGAACATACTGTCCATTATTAGATAAAGATCAATTAACCAAATTGTAACACAAGACAGGTACAAAAGTCAACTACATACCCACTTCAGTTATATCCAGCATTGATTTACATGTTGCTACTTGAAGTCTGGACATCCAAAACTGATCGGAGTATATTACTGAACTTCTTGACATTGGTCTTGATGTTACTTGAAGTTTGAACATCCACAACTCATTAGAGTATCTTACTAAAGTTTTTGACATTGACAACCTTTCAATAACACAGTTCTGTATAAGTAGATGCTCCAATCAAGTTTAGTCGAAGTTGACTGTGGAATTTGTACCGGAGATTCATATACACAATGCACTATGTCTATGAGAGATCAATTTGGCATAGCTGCACTTTCTTGCACTTCACCACTGTGAACCTAATGTAGAATCGTATACCTGGGCCTTATGTGTGTGGACAAGCATTACATTCACTGTGTGGACTTCCGAACAAAAAAAGTTGTCCATATAAACCAGGTAGCAGCGACGTTGTGTGGACCTGCCCACGTCCACACAAGGTTTCATTTCCACCCCATACGCTGCTGTTTCCTTTCCCACATCATTCTTCTGGATCTCACTTGAAATGAGTGGAAAGAACCTTAGATCATTAAGGCTGTACCACCGCTTTACCATTATTTTGTCTATATTCAGCCTGCAATGGCAGACTCCAATTAAAGACATTTAATTTATTAGAAGCCATGTGTGTAACATTATTCATGTTGCTAGCATCTGTACTTGAAGCATGATCCCTGCAGGTCCAATGACACATACAATGTCCATTAACTCCCATGTGGCTCATGGTTGTTTGTGTTTCTGTTTGTTGGTTTCAGACTGCCCGTTGTCTGCATCTAGTTGTTCCAATGGAGGTGAATTCGATGCAGACTTCTGCCAGTGTCTTTGTCCGTCTGATTATTCTGGACCAACTTGTGCAGGTAGGATTTTGCAATAAGTTGTCATTAAAACTGTGTTTTCCTGTGTTCAAAATAATTCCGAAATTATGGTTTTGCTTTTGTAATTCTTGTGAATTTTTTTATATTTCCTAATAATGCTGGTTTCATCCTATGCTATTCACCTTTGATACCACAAAATGACACTGAGTAGTAGTCTGAGTTGCTCCGTGGTGATTTTTTTCATTCACTATTGGCACATTAAATTGTATCTAATATCTTTTGAGTTCCTTATTCAGGCGAATTACAGTGCAAAACGAATGTATTCAGGTAACAGCAGACTTCACAATCAAACTTCAGTTATCGACGTCATTGGGTTGCTTCAAGAGAGCACTTTGGCAGGAAGTGCAGATGCAGTGTCACAGCTGTAATAGATTGCTCGGGTCTCTTATATCTGTTTTTTTTTCCAATTATATGCTAGCCAATTAATGACGAAAAAAATGTGCTTTGCTGCAAGAAGTTTCATTTAAATTTTGTTACTAAGATGTGGTCAAGCCTTTACAACATGTACCGCTATCAACGCAACAATAACTTACAAAATCATTTACTGTCCCATATTTTACCATTTTTTCAGCTCCCAGTCCATGTTTGTCAGACACCACTATATGTTCAGACACTGAAGGGAAGTTCTGTCAACCGGCTACCAACGCTGCGGGCTACACATGCGAATGCAATGGGTTTGCAGGGTATTTCACTAACAGTGACGGTTCATGTACAAGTAAGTATGCGTGGGTCCTGCACAATCTTTTTAAAATTGACTGGAGCATTACTTCATCCTTAGGCCCGTAGCATACTGCATCATTGCTCTCTCGATTGAGTTTTTCTGATTATCTCACTGTTCGAAGAGCTATTATTTGAAATATGTATCATCAATCTGTATGTGGCATCAGAAGTAAAGATAATACTAGCAGTACTTTAAGTAAACCGTGCATATTTAGACCAATTAGCTGGTGGGCAGTTTACCAAAATTTTCCTCCAATTTCAAGTCAGTCAACCCTACTAATAGTTTAAGTAACATTTACATACAGAGCACCATGCACAAGCAGGCCATGTAAAGAGAAAGTGCAAGGGTAATTCAACATAATTGCTCTAAGATTACTACAAGACAGGTATACTATTAAATTTCGTTAAAAATATCAAACACTGTTATTGTTTTTTTTTTTTCAGAACGCACGTCATTCAGATTTGGCATGACATTAAACCTGGCTTTCCGCAGTGCCTACCGTAACCCAGCATCTGCTGCATGGAAACAACTCGCCAGAAGGATAATTTCAGCTGTAATATTCCATTAGATATAATGGTTTCGTTCATTTAATTAAGTGTATACACCTGTGGAAATGAGCCTAGAACGTGTGTGTTGCACACAAGGATACAATCCAGTCCATTACAACCGAGCAAATGCATATACGAACAGCTGTGCCTAAGGTCTGCAAATTGCGTGGAGGGTGTCTGCTCTTGCCGGTGATTTTGGAACCGGATACGCGTTGTCGAAAGGATCAAGAACCTCCTGAACAACAACAAAACTAACACATGACAAAACCGTAGGTTCACATGTAATGCGCACCACACCTTCGTTAACCAAAATTTTAAAAAAGAGAAACTCTAAGCACTTTGTCGGTATTTTCGAATCATCCTTACTGTTCTGTCAAGTGCCCTTTGCATATTGGCAATTATGGGGTACCGGGAAAAAGGGCAACAATTGGGACAACGGAATCCTGCAAGTCTGTCTTTAGAAATTGAAATACCCCATAGCCGTTACGCTATGTTTTTTTTAGATTATTACAAAGGATGTGGAAAATCAAAGTAGCATGGCAAGAAAGCTGTTTTAAGTGTATTTAAGTCATACAAATCTTTAATTACATGTTCCCTTTAAGTTGACTGTCTCTCTATAAGAAAAGTTATGTTTGTTTGTGCAACGAAGGTTTTCAGAAAATGTGGAACCGTTTTAATATCTTGCATCTTAATTCTGTTGGGTATTTGGTTCCCAGGTGTTGTTCCTGTCTTACAAATCGCAGTTATGATGGATTCATGTAAACTGAATCCATCCATCATAATGAAATATCCACTGAAATGTGTTCCCTTTGCAGATTCCTGTGGCAAATTGCCTTTATGTCGCAGGTGACTTTTACATTTGCATTAAGAAGAAGAACTAACCTCTTATCTTTACTATCTGAACATATACTGTCTCCTTTTTTCAGATTCTTAACAAACTGCGGGGAAGTAGTTCCACCAACCGTGTGGTTGCGGTAGCTGTTTTGAGCTTCCGCGCAGGCAGTGTGGTTGCCGAGACGGCACTAGCATTTCAAGGGCAACCACCCTCCGTGGATGTCATCAGCAATGTGATAGCAGCGAATGATGTACTGAACGATGGTGTGGAAGACATAGCTCTTGTCCCGAACTCTGTCAGTTACATAAACACATGTAAGGTTGTGTTATATTAGTTCCTTTAACACCTAAAACCAACTTGCCTGTTTCACCCAGTAAGTGTTGTTTCAGCAAAACAAAATCAAATTACATAGGCGTGTGTGTGAATTGCCTTAGTTTTGCTGAAAGAACGCACACCTTTTGTGATCCATGGAAAGAACGGTGGCTGTGATAAAAGTTGTGTGATTTAAATGATTCTTGGACTAAAAGAAAGCTGATGAATTGGGTTTTCATATTCCGGATTTTAAACGTGCTACATGCATAACTTTACTAAGAGATTGGTCCCGACATTTTGGTTTCGTTTTCTATGAATCACCTTGGCAACGCTGTCTTTACGTCAGTAACATGAAAACCTCCAAAGTGAATAATTCGTCAAACAATGGAATCCCAGTGACCTTTTTTTTATAATTGGTTTTGTTATCAGCATTGTTGACAGACTGCACACAAGATGGTTGCATGAATGGCGGAACGTGCCAGAGATCAGGATTCTCCCCTCAGCCAACTTGCAGGTACTTTGGAGTCGGGATTGTGCGAAAGTATGGGAGTATATAACCATAAGAAGCAGCACAACGACAAAGGGACAGAAAGCTGCCTGAATTATCTATGTTTGGAATGTATCGCCCAGTTGAGTAATTATAAGTCATAATGATGATGAAAAGTCCCAAACTGAAATAAATATTGGGTTCATAACCTCAAGCTGTTTTTTTTTCCGAGGGAAAGTGTCTTTCAAGTGTCATGCACCAACCCAGTACCTTTTATGTACTTATGTCCCTGGCGAAAACTTACAACGTGTGTTTGAATTGAGGTGTGATATATTGATTGCCATTGAAACATTGATTGTAAATTGTACTAGTTAGTCGATATAGTGTAAATCGAATTCTAGTATTAACAAAGACCACGTGGGCTGATTTATTGCTGTAAAAAGATAGTTAATTGAATCAATGTCACTCATCAGTGATGAGTGTTCGAGACCAAGAACACGCTCAAACCGGTCTCGAGACTGGTCTTGAATCAGTCCTGACGGCTAAAGCGCTGCTCACTGCATCCCGGATTTAATCATAAAACAGTGATGGATAAATTCCTCCATTAGTGGTCCCACTTTCTTTACAGTATGCACAAGACGTACATCAATAATAACAAAGGCTGGTAAGGAAGGCTTACTGACGCAATTGTGAAATAAATTGTAGATAATCATTGATTCATTGAAGGTTTTCTTAGCCCAAACCTGCAGAATCATTGTTGAGAACTAGATATAATATGTTAAGCATCAGTGGGATGTAATCTGTCTGTTTCTTGTAGTTGCCCTGCATCGTTCACTGGTGAGCGGTGCGAAACTGAAGTGCCTTCGACACCATCAGACTTGACAACAGAGACACCAACCACGGAGGGAGGTAGGCTTTTCTTAAAAAAAATAACAAAGAAATAAGGCAAACCCTGATATTTATATTTAACCGAACGAAGATAGAAATACTGTTCACACAGTATAAAAGTATTAATCTCGCAACTATGTTTGTGTTAGCAGTCTCCCAAGTCGTCAATTGGACAAATGGAGGTGTGCAACATATTGCATGTTGCTAGCAATCGCGACTTGGAGCATGATTCATGCAGGTCCTTTGTCATAGTGCACATCGTACATTAACTATTTTATGGCTCATGGTCTCTGTGTTTGTGTTTTGTTTGAATCAGATTGCCAGCTGTCTGCATCAAGTTGCACGAATGGAGGTGAATTTGATGCAAACTTCTGCGAGTGTCTTTGTCCGTATAATTATTCAGGACCAACTTGTGCGGGTAAGATTTGGTAACTGATAGATTTCTCATGTTTACAATGCTTCTACAGCTATCGCTTGTTTAAGTAAGTTTTATTTGATTATTATTAAAATACTGACTTCATTCAAAGTTATTTGCTTCTGATGCCCAAAATGGCATATATTTTTTTTTCTACTGGAATGCATGTATCTTTGTTACCATTGACGTTCTATTCCATCAATTGCATTGCAACAAAAAGTATATTTTAAAGAGAAGTACATATGTCCTTAAGATTTTTATCCTTTTCTGCGATGAAGTGATGGAACTGAAGGTCAATAGTAACAGAGATACATTGATTCTGTAGTGGAAGAACTATTCGTTAATGACAACTTGGAAGCTGAATAGATTTATGGTGCTAATGGAGGACACACACGTGCAACATCATCGATGAATTGAGGACAGACACCAAATCGAGGTCAACCTTGTTTAGGAAACGTGTACAAAACTAATGATAGCTGCTCAGTATAATCAAAAGAAAGGAAAAAGGAACAATAGAAAATCCTTCATTTAGACATAAACAAACGTGGGTGTGCCAATGTTTCAAGAATATATTTACTTATTAATGAAATGCTTAAGTCAGTCTTTCTTGGTTGTCTCTCTTCACCTCATGTACGTTTCGATCAGTCGACGAGAACACCTGCTATGTAAACTGCTACAGGATGTTTAACTGTATGTTCAAACCCTATAAATTGTCTACTAAAGCGGTACGACCTGTACATGTATTAACACAAAAATAAGAGCAATAAGGGCAAAACCTAATTTGAAAATAAGAGCAACTTGAACAATATACCATCGTCCATTGCATTATTTTTCAGCTGCCAGTCCGTGTTCGTCAGGTAACCCTCCTTGCTCAGAGAGTGCAACCTTTTGTCAACCGGCTACCAACGCTGCAGGCTACACATGCCAATGCAACGGTTATGCAGGATTCTTCACTAACAGTGATGGTTCATGTGCACGTAAGTTTGGGTACTACAGTTAGCTTTTGAAATGAAGTAAAGTTAGAACTCGAGCATGGGGGCCTGTCTATTCAGAATCACTTATCTTATGATTCCGCTACTAGAAGTACAACTATAACAACATCTTTAGCTCAATGTAAATTGCTGTATTTCTTTTTTTCCCCCAAAAGACATGTAAAAAGCGTTGCTCTAAGATTTGGTTCAAGACGTAAAATACAAAATTTAATTTGAAACACCTATTGTTTTTTTCAGAACGCGAGACACTCTACTTTTTCATAGAAATAGATTTGCTTTTCATCGGTGCCTACGGTAACCCATCATCCTCTGCATGGAAACAACTTGCCACGAGGCTTAATGCAGCGGTAATAAACCACTTCTTGTTGCATTCATTTATTGAAGTATTTTTAGCACATTGCGCTTGCACTGTTTTATGTTTCCAAAATAAACTAATAAACACAAATTAAAACTAAAAAGCTCGTAGAGAGCGCAAACAAACCTCTACCAAGGCTATTCAATTCCCCGCCATATTGTTAGTACAAGAAACAATCACATAAATGGTGAAGAGTCCTTATAAAAAATGGATTCAGATCCAGATCCGGATAACCTCCAAATGTAAATCGATTTATACTTGTACCAAGGACCTTTTTTAGTTATCTTGTTAGAAGAGAAACCAACCAACCAACAAAATCAGATGAAAGCATATCCTCCTTGGCGTAGGTAATAAAGGAATTGCCTCACAAATGGCACACATTGATTGATGAAAACCAGGTATTTAACATTAGAAGTGTTAATGTGTGCCGGTGTCATATGAAATAGCACTCTTATGAAATCTGGTTTGTTGCACCTTATAATGGACTCTTACCCTCACACTGAAGCATGCGCAATACTTGCGCAATAGCGAGTCCATAAGTCGGAATTTCACACTACGTCGGCATTAGCTATAGGGAGAAACCTTTCCTTTTTCAGCACCCTTTTTCCAACTTCACGTTCCAGATCATGAGCAAACTGCGGGGAGATACTTCCACCAGTAATGTGATTGCGGTACAAGTTCTGAGCTTCAAGGAAGGCAGTGTGGTTGCACTCACGGCAATAGCATTCCAAGGGCAACCACCATCGACGAATGTCATCAGCAATGTGATAGGAGCGGGTAACACACTTAACGATGGGTCGGGAAACATTCCGCTTGTCCCGAACTCTGTCAGTAACACAGGTAAGTCTTCCCAATGCATTTGTTCCAGGTGCATCAAACCAACCTACCTGTTCCCCCTGTACTGCCCCAGTCCTAGTATTGGTTTTGAATAAATCAAGGAGTAAAATCGGCGGAGCATATGTTACACATGCACAAATGAACTAAGGGAACATTAGGATAAGAAGCCGATTCTAGATTTGTTTTTATATTTCACTTGATTATTGACATTCAACTCATCCTCTGAAACAGGGCCTTAATAAAGGTCCCAGTTTAAAGTCAAAGCTAACTACAAACTATGTTGTTGACAGAAGTATCTCTCGGTAAACAGAAAGAGCAGTGCATGTACATGTACAGTACCAGTAAACATTTGTGTCAGTTATTAAAAAAAGATACGCATAATTGATTGACACGGAAACTTGCTGAATTGAAAAGGCAGTCCCTGCAAAACATCCAGGCACAAAGTGCTCAGTATAGCAGTGGTCCATTGAAGATGATGTCAATATGGATTATTGAAACACAAACCAATGAGTGGATAATGTATGCATACAGATACATTTACACGTTTTATAATCGGCTTTGTTTTGTTATCAGCCATGCCATCGAATTGCATGCAGGGAGATTGTATGAATGGCGGAACATGCGAGAGGTCAGGATTCTCCCCTCAGCTAACTTGCAGGTAAAGTCAGGGCGGAGCTATAGAATAATGTGAAAGGAGTGGGAGTATATTTATCATAAAAAAGAACATGACAGAGCGGCAAACAAGTGCCTTAATTCTTTGATCACGGAATTTATAGCCTAATTAATAAATTGAATGGTGAAGAGAAGTCTGATGTGGACAATGTGCGTAATTTGTTTATTTATCGGGGAAAACTCAACGATGGTGATGGTTTTAAAACTTTAAGCATCAGCCCTATACATGCTTGTACATTTGTGCCTGGAATAAGTGAACTTATTTATGTATGCTGATAGTTGGTTGATGTATTAGTAACTGAACATTCTGGTATCCATTGCGTATTTGAACCCAGATCGTTGAGCGCCGAGAGTTAGGGCCCGTCTCGATACATATCTGGGACAAATTTCAGACAAATTCTGGGTAGAATCAATGACTTTGTCCGACTGAAGGTCTGCATTTGTCCTGGACTTGTTCTGGGGAGATAGCTTGGCTCACTCGTCTCATTGCGGAAAGATTGCGGGGAAATTATTCGGAATCCTGCAACTAATACCCGATACAATGTCCGCAACTTGTCCGAAACTCCTCCCGTAAATGTAATGAGAAGGACCATTATCTGAATCCAAGTGTCACATGTACATCCTTGATTTTGTCGTGCAGTGAAGATCATGCAAGTCCTTCTCTCCTGACCCCAACTTCTTGCCATTATGACAGGACATACATCAAGAATGAAAAATAAACTCTAGAAGGAGCCCAGTGCCTGCTAGGAAAATTTCATTTCATTGAATTTTTGATAATGGTTGAGTTCAAATGCGTGTTGAGAAACTTATGTACACGTAGGCTATACAACGTAAGTATATTGTCTTTATGTGTTTTGTAGTTGTCCTGCATCATTCACTGGAGAGCGTTGTGAGACTCAAGTTGTAACCACGTCACCACCAGGTACATCCAATTCCAATCATTTTCGCATCCAAGACCGTAAACTGTTGTTTCATCTGACAAGGGCTAGTGCGATACTTTTTGCAACATTTGTACACCCTTGGTTCAGATATTAATCTCACAACAACTTGTTTCTGTTTGTTCTCATTTAAAGGGTCAGCTCCAAACGTTCAGTTTTGTTTCTGATAAACAGATCTCGGATTATTATGCAATAACATGTAATGATGCAATACAAATAGTTTGTCACCAAAAAAAAAAAAAAGGTAAATCAGTTTGTGTTTACCTGCTTTCTTTTCGAAATCTGAAGGTTTTTTTTCGGGAAAACAAAACCAGGTATGTTTTAAATGATGTACTGTTTGCGCTGTTGCAGGTGGTGATGTGTCGCCTCTAGCTACAGTTCTCATCATAGTCGGATGTGTTGTTCTCCTGCTGGCCATAGCAGGAATAGTAATGTGTTGTTGCATGCTGATGAGGCGTCAATACCAAATTAAGAGTCAAATCTACCATCAGTCAGGTAGACAGTTCCAAGCAAGTAGAGAACCCTTCGACTTTGAAGATCGCAGGGATCGCAGCCTGTCCTCTGACGAAAGCTACAGTGTAGCTGACTACAGGGAGGAAGTAAGGAGGATGAATCGTCTCGCTCATGTCATGAGCCAGTCACCTTACCTACAGGTAAGACCGGTTTATAGCCTATGAGAGAGATTCTTCTCTAAGGGAGGTTTATAAAGAGATATCCTGTCAAGTTGCTGGAGTTATAGCCCTAGCCTTACAGATCTTTCCAAATCCTCTATGAGGCTTTGATGGGATTTTGTTGGATACCGGAAAGTAGAGTTCAGCCACTGTCATTTTACATGGGGCTTGATGCCTCCTAAAAGCAAGAATCATGTGCTAAGGGGCACGGTAAATGGATCCTGATATGAACAGACAGGGTCTTGCATAGGCATGGTCACAATCATTATACTGTCTTTGGATATGTACCCATGTATTATTTAAGATGTTATGTGTAACTTTCTGATTTAAGTTTTATTTTTATATGACACACAGTCTATGCAGAATCGCCCAGACTTCATCCGACCATACATGGTGACTGGCAACGAGGCATTTGAACGTTACCGCGAATACGAAGCGGTAAGTTTTCAGGATCGAAGCATTCACATTTTTAAGTTTGAGATATTAAATGTTCTACCCTCGGTGTACATTTCTTTAACACGACTTTTTTTCGAGACTTGTAAAATGTATTTGGTGTTTTATTTCACAGCGTGATGGAGGGGATGTTGCAGGCCGCGTGGTGTACAATCCCGCCCTCTACTACTAAACCTCGTCATTGGCCACAGCTTCCATTGCTGCAAATGCAGCTCTGCGACAAGTAATGCCCATGGGATAAGTAGACTGAACGACTAAGCGAAGGATTGCAGCTTTACTATGATTACCAGTTCCACAGTTATCCAAGTTCTTGTGTGGAATCAATCCTCACACATTCTGCATTCACCCAATGTGGTAGCGTGTCTCTTTCCAACCTATTCTTGATTTGAGGTGTTTTCTTGGTTCTTGTAGAAGAAGACAAAGCAAACACCCATTTTCAAAACTAACCTCTTAAAAAACTATCTCAGTTGAAACTTGTTTTGAATCCAGCGAAGCATGTTTGTTTTATACCCCTACTTTCATGATTTTAATTTCGTACACTCATCCCCACCAGAGGGGGGCATTCATTGATGTTAAATAAAACTGCACATTCAATACTTTGTGGTTGGCTTCATCACTAATTATATGGAGATAAAATACATTGTGTTAATATGATCTGAAACTTCTCAGCCCCCTTATTATCATGGCCCAGCCTCACACACTACCATACATGTATTTCATATTTTTGTGGGTAACCCATTGAACTTCTACACAGTCTTGGATGGAACTGTTCAGTGATTTTGGTAAAGCAGCTGTTATTTTAGTTCTTTGTTTATTCATTGGTGTATTTAATCCATAATATGGGTACGAGGTAAATAAATGTACGTCTTTCATTTTTAAACATAAAACAGTTTTTAGGCTGTTTTAACAAGTTATATGCTGCTTTGTATTTTGATCAGCTGTTAGTTACACCATTTTATAATCTGTTTGGTATTGTATTTTATTAGTGAGCGGATGGAAAAATGTATAGTAGACTGAACGACTGAGCGAAGGATTGCAACTTGACCATGATAACCAGTTCCACAGTTATCCAATTTCATGTAGAGAATTTATCCGATTTGGTACTGTGTGTCTCTCTCCCCTATTCTTGATTGGAACTTTTTTAGGAGAAGACAAAGCAAACATGCATTTGCAAAAGTAACCTCTTTTCTTAACTCAGTTGCACATGGTTTTGGATCCAGTAAAGCTCCTTTGTGTTTGACCCCTGCAATGATGCTAATTTTTCTACGACAAACACTACCAGAAGGAGTCATTTACTAATTTGCCAAAAACATTCTAGGTAAGTCATGGTTGTCTTCAGCCAACCACCAACATCATAATTTTAAAGTGAAACAAATATGAATTGTTATGAATCGCCTTTAAACACTTTTACATATAATCCTCATTTTTTGGTAACTTATTGAAATTTCACACAGTCTTGGATGGAACAGTTAATTGATTGGTCAAGTAACTTCTTTTAATTTTATCTGTTTTTTCATTTGGTGTATTTAATCTGTAATAGGGATATGGGGTCCTTTTTGTGTAACGTAATCAAACTAAATAAGTGTCTTTCATTTTTGAAAAAAAAAAATGCCTAGGCTGTTATATACTGCTTTGTAGTTTGATCTGCTATTTGTGATAATATTTTAAAATCTATCATATTTTTTTTGAATTCTATAAGTATTTGTGAGGGATGGAAAAATGAAGGTACTATGTGTTAAGGAAGTGTACAGTCAAGGGCGGATCTAGAACCAATTTTTTTTTTATGGGGGGGGGGAAACAAATTTGTCCTCCAAAAAGTGTGTCTCAGAAATTACGGGGTGTTTTTTTTTTTTTTTTTTTTTTTACGGGGGGGGGGGAGGGATTCGAGATACTCTGTGGTGCGATCTGAAGCAATTTCTGAGCCTCTAGCCAAATCATTTTGAGGAAAAGATGGTGGTGTACGCAGTTCCTACCTTTATTGCGAGATCACTTAAAAAAATTGGGTTCGTATGTTTGTTTGTTTGTTGGTAGTTTGGAGAAAAAAAATGGGGGGGGGCCCCAACCCCCGATCTGCCCTTGTGTACAGTACTTGAAGCCAACACTCAGTAATGTTCCGTCGAATCTTAAACATTCGGAGCAGTGTGTACAATCGTTGACACCTGAGCTGCACAAGACAGAGTTTTGAGTGACCATCAGTTGTATTTTTTAATGCTTAGAAATGTTATAAACGTTTGTGTAAAATTAATTTTAATACTCAGAGTAATCCCATTAATGACATACATGATAACAATTACACCCCACCCCTCCAAGGGAAAACAGTTCTTTGATATCTGGCGGGGCTACTTTGGTAAAATAGAACAAAATTAACACCGTCATGTTTCATCCATAGCTAAGCTGATAGTCAAAGGGCCCTGTACACATATTTCATTCGGAAGATTTTATACAGCATCATTTTACTTCATGTCAGTCAGTGAAAAAATACAGAAAACGATTTTATATGAAACCTACATGTAGTTTTGGCAGCATTTATGACTTAGTGGAGGCCTAATTAAATGAAAAAAATATATATCCAGTTCGGTCTTCCTGAATTTAACTGTTTTATATTTTTGTAAGGTGTTTTATAGTTGAAATTGTAGTTTTCTATCAATTTTAAATATCATTCGGGGTTTCCAGGGAATTTGAAGCATATTTTTTTTGTGTGTATATTCAAATGGAACATTTATGTAACCACCACAACACTGGAATGTTTCTGCTACTTGTGTCTAAAAGCACTTATAGCACTTGGAATGAAGTATTTTGTAATGTGGATATTTCTATGCACATGAACACATTTAAATAGAATAAAAGTCAACATATTTGTATGTGTTAATGTGTACAGAAGTAGCTGTGTTTTAAAATTGCCATTTTTATGTCTTCATGATGACGGCATGTCGTTCTGTCACAAATCCAAGAGAAAGATTGTATACGAAACTTATTTTTAGCAGCGTTTTGTCATTTAGTGGAAGCCTAAATAAATTATATATATATATTTTGTGTCTTCCTAACTGTAACCTTTAGTTTATTTTTGTATTTACACGTTCTCTCTATTAAAGAATAGTTTGGTATCAGTTTAAAATATTGGGTTTCGATGGAATTAAGGGTATGTTTTTTTTCCGTGATTTCAAGTCATTTACGTATTAAAATAAATTTCAGCAAAGGAAAATTGTTTTCACGATCCCTATCATTGTAACAACATTATTCAATGTGTTAAATGGGCTAATAATATATCCTTACTTTATGTAATAGACCCTTGCAAAGTAGATATGCGAGCAGATTTGGCGATTAATTATGCAGAAAAATGACTGCGTCCTAACCTCGAGATTATGATCATTCAGCGGGCGCCTTCTATATCGGGTCTTCAGTTTCATATACCCTTTTTCGCGCCCTTGATTTATACAGGGTGAGTTAAACAAAACACCAAATTTTGAGACCATTGTTTTAGTGAAGTTCTACATGTAGCATTTTTAAAATATGGGGTATGAAAGCCAGATTCATAAGCATTCCTTTACTTTAGTACAGTACTTTTCAAGTTAAACACAACCAGCATTTTATGGTTCTGTCAACGGATCACAAGAAAGCAAGTGTTCTATCAGCAAAACACATAGCAGATATCATATAGGGATGTGTGGGTATTGTCTTTATATTGCTGAAAGGACGCACACCTTTTTTGTGATCCTTGGACGAAACTTTAAAACGGTGGTTGTGTGTGTTTAAATGTCTGTCACTTAAAAAGTACATAAGTGATTTGATTGATTCCTGTACTAAAAGAAAGCTTATGAACTAAGCTTTCATATCCGAGATTGTGATAGTGCTATATGCAGAACTTCAATAAAACAATAGTCCCGACATTTGGTTTTCGTTTTGTTTTATTCACCCTGTATAAATAAACCTACACACAACATCTATTAATATATTACCTTGTAAATTGAGCTAGCAAAGGCTGCGTCACACGCTCTGTAACGATAATGTAACGCAATGCACAAAGCTTTGAGCTTTGAGCAAAATGTCGTGTCTATATTTAATCTCCATGCCCGGCCGTTGTATTAAAAAAAACCCAAACAAACAAACAAACAAACAAACAAACAAACAGTACCCGAATCGACCGTATTGACCGACTAAGGACCTAGTCCAGATTTCAGAATGAAACGATGTCACGATTTAAGAAAAGTTGACTCCGATTGACTGGACCAGTATGCGGATTTGCGTAAATTTGCATGCTTAGATATATCAGACGTTGGACCACAGACAGGGCTCCCAGTGCACAACGTGTGATACTAGGGCTAATCTACCTTAGGATAGTTTTACAAAAAAACAATCCCGAGCTCCGTTGAACAGTTATTATGGCTTTCCGTAATGTGGGAGTTGATTTGCTGATCCTTACCCAAAGGTTGCAGACCTGCAAATCGACTCCAATGGACCTTATTAATGATATCGTGTAACTTCCGAAAATTATTAAAAGTACTCACAAGTCTTGAAGGTGTTTGAAACACCTATCGAATTAAAGCTCTGTTCATAATCTTTCATTTTCTGTTCAATTTTGGTTCCATTGTCCCGCGATTTAGGGGAGAAAATTCCATCCAAAGAAAGATGATCATCCCGAAGTAGTCATGCGACCCATCGCCATTTTAAAACATGATGCCTGCACTCTTTTCAAAGTGAGCATTTTTTAAGGCCCAAATTCATGCAAATTTCAAAGAAAATGCGAGATCACACTCCTCTGCATATCCAATTCTATCCATCTTGTTTACAAACCTTCATGTTCACGGCCACAAAATGTTCTATATGAAAGCACAAATTTGAGGGTAGACTCAATCAGTTATTTTTTTTTTTAATGGCAAGATTTACACCCCTTACAAGATGGCTGACGAGCAGAGGAATGCGCTATGCCGTGATAGTGGCTTGTCAGTGGGCAGAACCTAGGGGAGGGAGGCAAAAGCATTTCTATGGAGTCACCAATGGCGGATCTGCAACAAAATCCACCAAAATTCCGATAGACCATCGGCCAAATAAAGTAATTCGAGAAAAGAAAGTGGGTGTGTGTTTGGGGTGGGGGGGGGGGGATTTGGGATTTTGAGGAGCTGGAACTCAACAGCCGGGGAATGCGTAAAGCTGCCCCTGTTCAGGCCTCATATCAACCTCAGGTATTTTATCTTTATTTATTTTTTTGTTTTATGAAATATGAGTTATGGACCCCTCCTTTTACCGTAAAAATTGTTTGGAAAAAATACACTTTCGGGAAAACACAAAAGGATCCTATACATCCCAGTAAATAGGTAAAAAAATCCGTCCGCCGAGCTTATTAATGAGAGCAATACACTCAAATTCTTCTATATTAGAGGTTTCTGAGAGCAATGGAATGAGGGAACTGAAAACGTATGGAACTGTACCTCTAGCCTGGACTTGGGGCTTCCAATTCTAAACATTTTAGTTGCAAAGTGGCGCTATTTAGCCATGTTGTGGAGGGATCTTTTTTTTTCAAAAAGGCTACTTTTCCAGTTCCGGAAACATCAGTCATTTTTGGTTTTTTCTTTGGATAAAAATGTCTTTAAAAAGTCAATGGTCAACCTACCAAAAATTGAAAAGAAATTGAAAGATGACATGTCGATCATCAGTTTTATATGCAGCCTGAACACATGTGAGAGTTTTGACTACAAAATAAAGTTGAAGTATGGGGATTTATAACACTGGTGTCATTGGCAATTTCTATAATGGGGTGCACCCATATAGAAACAAAAACTGCAGTGCCGCATTTCAGAAATAGACGGTAAACTCACCCCATTTTTTTGGGGAAGTGATTACTCCATTTCATGTAAATTGTCTCTGTCGTGTGTCCATATTTATCACCAAAGTCTTTCAAAGCCAAAAATTGAAGGTCCTAGACCACCAAAAAAGCTGTACTACTTCCCGAAAGCAAATTAATATTTTGTGATCCCTAAGTTAATTTGAAATAAAAGTTCCTTGCGGCCTATATTTGGGCAATTTGCAAAAATATTTCTGAAGATCAAGCTTTTGTGACTCTATATGTATGTATAAAATGTCTTCGAATTTCCTTCAGATTTGAGATTTCGTGAAAATTTATTTTATTTTTTACATTTTCTGAAATTTCCTTGAAGAAAAATTTGACATTTCTTGAGAGTAAGGCCATTTTGTTTTTTAATTGAAAAAGCACTACAGTGTGTGTGATGCAATATAACGCCGCAGCAAAGGGATACTGTACACCGTGTGCATGTACTTTCCAATGCAAGCAGGGTTGTATTGCTGTTATGGAGCGATTCATGTGTGCTTCGGGTACTCGGCCAAATCCGGGCCGAACACGGTCAAAAAGATCAAATGCATTCTCAGTATTGAAAACATGAAACGACTTAACTTTGGGAAACACACTGCATGCACCGATCCTAAGCAGAACCAGAGTCAAAAAGATTGGAACAAGTATGTATATTGCAAGATCTAACGTAAGTTCTGATAAACGGAATGCATGTTTGAAAATCGAACCAAGGCCTACATCTTTAAATCCAGTGCATTTTAAAACGGAACGTATTTCGAAACATGGAACGTGTATTTCACGGTTCGAATGCATTCGCAAAATCCAAATGAAATTGTACAAACCCAACGTCTCTACGACTCAGTGCATTTTCCAAAACCGTGTACGATTGTACAAACCAAGTGCCTATACGATCCGAATGCATTTCCCAAAACCGAGGAACAGTGCATAGTTTCAGCAATAACACAAGTGACGTAAGCCCGGTCACACCAAACTTAGATTTAAGTCACAAAAGTAAGAGGGACATTCATCGGGAAACGTCTTTGTTGCATATTTCAGTTGGGGGCTTCATTTTTTAAGCCCTGGCAGGAACTTCTACATGTCACTTGCTCGTTGGTCAGTCTGTCCTGAAAGAAATTGACCAAAGGTATGGTGTTCAATATGTGGCGTCGCATTTTTCAGAGTTGCATTTTCCAGACACGGTCCGTCAACTAGTCTGAATAGAGCGCCCCGATATAGATAGGCCTATACGGTGCGAAAAGCCTCCAGCCCCGGGTGGACGGACCCGATGATGAACGAAGTGGACTTTCTATCTAAAATGACCTTTCATACAGACTGGATGGGCCAATCGTTTTAACAACCAACATCCTTTCAAAAAAGCATTCAACTCAGCTTGGATTTGTTGCTGTAATGCCATATCCTAGGATCTATTGTCACATGATTAAAAAACCTTGAATAGTATTGTTATATTAATAAGAATTATAAAAGCATAAAACAAATATTGCCATGCTAAGTTTTATTTGAATAAGTAAATGAATTAAAATTACAGCATAAACTTTACCCTTAATTCCATATTGAGCCCAATTAATAATACAAATTGATACAAAATATATTTTAAACTTTCAATGTTGGCAAATACAAACAGTAAAAAAAGATGAAATTTTGCAAGATAAAAATATATGTATCTCTTTTTGCTTATTAGGACTGCTACTACGGCCTCATCAAACGCTACTGAAATAGGTTTCATACAAAAAAAATTGTTTGTGATAGACCGACATGATGACATTAAGACGACTTCAAAATAACAACACATGAAGTTGCACATGACTATCCAAAACCACTACATTCTTACTGTTGTAAATTCATAACTTATTCCTCAATGGTCATAACTAGCCGAAACAGTTCGGTATTATGTTGAACTTAACAGACACATGTTCTCTACTTGAATATGTCAACGAACTAAGATTACCAAATACAATTAACACTGGACATACCGATATATGCAAACTTAAAACAGCCATAACTTGTCAATGTGATATCCGATTGGAATGCCAGAAACAGTATTGTTGGGATAATTTCATCCTCTTTCATAACACTTTTTAAACCCCCGTTTCGACCTCTGCCCCCTTTCTGTCTCTTTTGCCAAAACACCTCTCATGATTCATTTGTTTTCTTAGATTTGTGTACAGACTAACATACGTAAATTATGAAATGATCCTGTAAACTTCCGAATGAAAAGTATTGAAAGGGCCTATTTTAACTGAGCTATGGAAACATGACGGTGTTAACGTAAAGTTTTACTTTACCACGGAAGCCCCACCGAATTTCTAAGAACCCTTTCGAGGCATAGGTGTAGTAGTCTACATTAATGGCATTGCTCTGAGTATATTTTTGAACACAAACCTTAACAAAATTATATTCATTTATACAATACAACGGATGGAAAAAAGGACAACTGTTCCAAATGTTCGATATTTGACTGGAACATTACTTTCAAGACGTGGGAAGAGCTAGTGATGGCTTCATTCGGTAAGCACACTCTATAACACACACTACATTCCTTTTTTCCATCCTTTCACTAATAAAAATTCAATTTTATAAACAAATATAGTGGATCAAATTAAAAGCAGCGTATACATGTACTATGTAGAAACATCGATTAACATCTAAAAATGAAAGTCATTAAAAATGTACCCAATAACCATATTACGGATTAAATACACCAATTCAGAAACAAAGATCTAAAAAAAATATATATACCAATCAATTAACAGTCCCATCAAATTGTAGAGTTTTAATAGGTTAGAAACAAAATAAGAAATACATATACATGTATCGTGTTTGAGGTACGATGCTGGAAGATTGCTGAAGACAAACAGAAACACTGTTGAACGTTCAACTTCATTTCATATTATTGATGTCCCCTTGTACATATTAGGTGCATAAAAGGATCCACATTATGTTCATAGTCAGAGATAACTTTAGTTAGAGACTGCTGTTTGCTTTTTAGTCATCTTCGAGAAACAAGAAGTACGAGGATTGATTCTCTACTTGAACTTGTATGTTTGAGGAACTGGAAATCATGGTACAGCTGCTAGCCTTCGCTTGGTCGTTCGGTCCACTTATTCCTTAGAAGTTACTTGTCACTATGGAAGCCGTGGCCAGTGATGCTTGGTTTAGCGGTAGAGGGGGCGATTGTACATCAAGCGGCCTGCTACTTCCCTTCCACCACGCTGTGAAATAAATTACCAATGCGTGCCACAATTACGTCTTGAAATTAAAGTCTTTGGTAAAATGTAACCTGAAGTAAAAACATGCAACAGTTGAAGCTCACAAAATGCTTTAATGTTATAATCTTACCGCTTCATCTTCTCGGATGCGATCCAATGCCTCATTGCCAGTTGCCACGTATGGTCGTATGAATTCTGGATTAGACTTCATTGTCTGTGTGTCATTAAAAAAGAAACAGAAAAAAATGTATGATGCGACCTAAATCATACATAAGTGTCCAGAGGCATCAGGCCCCATGAGAATTAACATTGGCTGAACTCTACTTTTCTGAAGCCAAAAAAATTCCTTCCAAACCTCATATAGTGGATTCACAGAGGTCTGGGATTTCCATTACTCCAGCAAATAGCCAGCCTCTTTCTTTAATCTCTCTTAGCGAGGAACACAATTAACCTGCTTCACCTGTAGAAAAGGTGACCGGCTCATGATATGAGAATTAACTTTTGCTGAACTCTACTTTTCTGAAGACAACAAATTCCTTCCAAACCTCATTATAGTGGATTCACAGAGGTCTGGGATTTCGATTACTCCAGCAAATAGCCAGCCTCTTTCTTTAATCTCTCTTAGCGAGGAACACAATTAACCTGCTTCACCTGAAGGAAAGGTGACCGGCTCATGACATGAGCAAGACGACTCATCCGTCTTTCTTCCTCGCTGTAGTCAGCTGCACTGTAGCCCTGCTGCTGTCTTCTTGACCAATGGCCGATTCGACCCGCATCATACCGACGCCTCGTAAGCATGCATAAACACATGACTAATCCTGCTATTGCCAACAGCGTAACAGTACATCCGACTGCGATGAGAACTAAAGCTAGAGGTGACACACCACCATCTGCAACAACACAACGAGTGGTATTAAAACAACCTGTAAGCGATTTATTTATGAGGAATGCATTTCATTTTCGTTTAGTTGACAAAACATATAGGTTTTATCGGGCTATTTAAAACATTTTTCGCTCGAATTCAACTATTTCTATTTTCAAATTCGTCAAGCACCATCGATTTGATGCACTTGCAAGGTTTCATTTTGTCTTTTGTAAGACAATTGCGAATTATTACCGAACGAAGTCAAACAATGAGGACACGTTTCGGACCCGGTGTACTCGACTTTGCCTCTTCCACGCCGAATCGTGTTATTCAGAAAACGAATGCGTCTTAATGATTAAATATAACCCGAATTTGTCTCTGAATGCTGCTATTCGGCATCAGCTTACATGAATGTGATCAATAATGACAAATATTCTCGGACTGGTGACTGAAAAAGATGACCACACTTTAAAAAGGAATGGGTGATGACTAAATTGTTTTTGTTAAAAGCGTGTGGATTTTTTCGAGGACGAAATTAAATGATATAGTTGGCGAATTTGAGTATAAAAGCTTTTAAAATATCCAGGAAGACCCACATCAAGTGTATCACTTCATGCATAGTACTCTGAAATTCCCCCCCCCCCAAAAAAAAAAAAACCCAATTCAACGTTGAGACCTGACTACGTTAAATAATGGAGTGAACAGAACAACTTGTTGTGGGGTTAATATCTGTTGCAAGGGTTTAATATTAGAATTCTTTTTTTCAATAAAAGATCTGTTTATGACTTTGTCATGACAGAAAGGGAGGTGGTGGATATTAATTTGGACGTACCTCCCGGGGCTGCGGTTGTTGTTGTCTCTGCTGGTGGTGTTGTAGGTACTGTACTTTCGCATCGCTCGCCTGTAAATGATGCCGTGCAGCTACAGAAAACATACAAATTATATCCCATCTGTATGCAACATTATTTAAATTGCTCAATATGCCTTTAAGAGAAACACACAACTTTTCCCTCGCTGTAATTTTTAGAAATGGATGGATTTGGGGTTTGTATTTTGTAGCAAATATTTTAACACTGACTTGTTTAAAGTTCTGTGTTCGCAGATGCTGAAAAACAAGTCACACACAATGTTAAAATATTTGCTACAAAATGCAAAACCCAAATCTATCGATATTTAAAAATGTGAAGACGTCGGGGAATTTAAAGGTTAGGGAATCAGTCCTTTAACCCTTCATGTGTGTGTAATCGATTGCAAATTAAATGCGGACTAACTAAATATGGTACATTTTGGGCAGCATTTGAAGGGGGAAAAGAGTTGGTCGGCTGACTGACAGTTTTCCTGCAAATGACAGGGTACCGGGTACCATGATTTTACACGATACATTAGACTGTAAATAACATCAAACTTAAAGGTATTTCATGATATTTTGTCATTTTTTTTTTTCATGTTTGCAAAAAAAATAAAGTGGAAAATTCCCTGTAAGTCAATATTTACATAAACACATTCAAACAAAATGTTTATTTGAAGCTAATTCCTGTCCAGTCGTAACCGCAATATGGTGCAAGTAATTAGAAGGAATTGCACTATCCCCTTTTTTATCAAATCTTGCATGCGTATTAAGTGACATTATTTTAGTCAGTTTACTTTCTACTTACAACGACTTAGGCTTAGTTAATATCAGAACATTACACTACCGATTAATAGACCAGATAACATCGATTATGTAAGTACATACAAAAACGTCCCAGGCGCATGCCTGAATTGGGCTGATGCACAAGTAACACAAAGCCTCTGAAAAATGTCCATAAGCTTCTAGTTTCCCTTAAGAAAAAAAAAACAACAAACAAACAGAGGCATGGGCGTCGCGAGGGGGGGTAAGGGGGCACTTGCCCCCCCCCCCCCCCGGAAAAGCAAAAAAAAAAAAAAGGGAAGAAAAAGAAAAGAAAAAAGAAAAGAAAAGAAAAAGAGGCGCGAAGACAAAGTGGTGTAAATTTCATGAGGGGGAGGGGGGGGTCAGAATGTCCCTGCCCCCCTCTTAAACTGATAAATCGAGAATGTGAAATACAAGCATTATTTTGCCAATATTTTTTGCCCCCCTCTAGAAAAATCCTGGCGACGCCCATGGACAGAGGCAGCTGTCTACATTCAGTTTTAAACTTCATTTTAGCTTTCAATTTTAGCTGTATAAGTACTCAGGTAGGGTTATATATTCAAAGAATTCAAGCACTTTTCTGCACCTAGACGCCAGCTCCGCCACTGAAATTACCTGCAAGTTAGCTGAGGGGTGAAGCCTGACCTCTCGCATATGCCGCCATTCATGCAATCACCTTGCATGCAATCTGCTAACGATGCTGAGAACAAAATAAAATCATTAACAAAAAAGGAGTTGTCTACAACACACCACTGCGTGACTGATCAGTTTGAGCTTAGGTTTTTGCGGTAATTGCACTTAAAAAATGAGTTTCCTAGTTCGTAAAAAAAAAGAAGAAATACAAGGCTACACTGTTCAAAGTCCGAGAACACAATTGCTTAAATGCCCAATATGTAAACCAAATGGAACTGACTATACCCGTTCTTGTTCTTGTTCTTGTTCTTCTGTTAAGCAACTCCATTGGTAAAGAAATTTCTGTTAGCAACGGCATTTGTGGTTAGCTTTGACCTTGATTTTGCCCCAAACAAATGACTATTTTTCAGAGACTGGGCCGGCTTAAGTTCAATTTCATTAACCAAGTAAATATCTCGACAAATCGTAGATATCTTATTTGAAGTCGCATCAAAATTTCCCCGTAACAAAATAACACTTGGGTAGGATTGTGTTACATTGTAATTACTCCCTGCTGAATCCATAAACCATACTGGGCTGGGCAATTTGGGGCAGCACCTGTAGTAGCAGTGGGTTTGAGCAACATTGGAACTAATGCATTTTAAAGACTTACATGGGTTTGTGTAGCCGACAGAGCCCTGGACAAGAGGTATGCCGTTTAGTGTGCCACCCGCTGCTATTGCATTGCTGATGACATCCACCAAGGGTTGTTGCCCTTGGAATGCTAGTGCCGTCTGTGCAACCACACTGCCTGCGCGGAAGCTCAAAACTGTTACCGCAATCACACCGCTGGTTGAACTATCGTCCCTTAGTTTCTCACGGAGCTGAAAAATGGAAAGGAAAGGTACTCTCAGATTGTTAAGCGATAAGACTTGATTTATGTTTTATTGCAAGTGCGAATTAAGTCCTTTGCGACATTAAAGCAGTTTGCCTCAGGAATTTTTTAAAGCTTTAACAACAACATACAGTAAAAACCTAAACACAAAATAACCCTGTATTGGACTTGTTATGAACAATTTACTTCACATGACTTCATATCCTTACTGCATGTGATGATTCAAATTACTGAGATGAAGCGCAAACAGTTTCTCGTATTAATTTGGCAATCTAATGTGTCGTGCGCATTTACTTCAACTTCTAGTTTTGAGATGTTTGTTATAGTTGTCCCCGACAAGGGGAGTGTAAGCTTGGTAAATTTAATGTGAATTGAATTTGTAGTTAATTTATGTAAAAATGTATTTTTGAGACCATAGCCAGAACTGGCATACAAAGGTGTGCTCGGTTGTGCAGGACACTTGTTTATATCGTTTCTGCAAAAACATACGTGTTAGTTTCAGTCCCACGGTTCTATGCACTTAAATTATTATTAAAACAAAAATATGGCATATTACCGCTGATATAACCATTTCAGCAAGGTTCTTCCATGCAGCGGATGCTGGGTTGTTATAGGCAGTTTGGAACGGCAGGTTTAATGCCATGACAAATGGGAGTGACCCGAGTTCTGAAAAACAAAATTAAATGAAAGAATACAATGCATTTAGTATATCTGTCTTGAAGTAACCTTTCTTAGGTGTTTTGAAGACAAATGAACATTTTAAATTGTGATCATGTACGAACGAGAGTTCATAAATGACCCATTGGCAGAAAGGGGGATATAATTGTAACAATGAACCCCATGCCAAGAAGCAGGTGCGCAGTTCTATCCCAACGTTACTTAATTAAACAACAAACAAATTTGACAGGCCTACCCATCGAAACGGGACAGGAATTCACTGCAACTACCATTCAGAATGTGTACCTAACAGCATTGCTAGAGTTGCTAACATTCTCACCTAGGTTAGCACATAAAAGCTTATGGACTAGGTCTTCAAATATCAACCATTTAAACTAAGATATCTCAAACAAAGAGTTGGAAAGCTCAGATGAGATAACCTAACTGCAGTATTCCACATGACCTCAGCTTACGTCATACAGCTTCTAGGACACAGACTTACGTGTACATGAACCATTACTGTTGGCAAAGAATCCTTTAAAACCATTGCATTGGCAGATGAAGCCTTCATCATTGGTAGCCGGTTGACAGAACTTCCCTTCTGCATCTGGGCAAAGAGAGGTGTCTGACAAACATGGACTGGCAACTGAAAAATAAAGAAAAATAGGAGACACTGGTTACTTCAATGCCTTTATATTGGGGGAAAATAAACATGAGGAAAACATGGAGGACTAACCTGAATAAAAACAAAAACAAAGAACATGTTTAACACGAAGAGACCGGACACTGTGGCTGCGTTTCTTGCCAAAAGGCCAGTATTTACTTGACGTTAAATCAAAAGCGAAGCAAATCCATTGCGTCAATATTTGAAACTTCGTCATGTGAAATTTTGTCACGACGTTTGCAGCTACCCTACCCGTTTGCAGCTACCGGATTCACACCGCTCAAAATAATAAACACACATCAATTTTTCGTTTTCAATGATGAGTCATTGTAAAATCCTACCTTCACAAGTTGGTCCAGAATAATCATATGGACAGAGACATTCGCAGAAGTTTGCGTCGAATTCACCTCCATTTTCGCAACTAGATGCAGACAGCGGGCACTCTGATGAAGACAAACACAGAAACCATGAGCTATATTAGAGTTTAGTGGGCATTTTGAGTGACATATGCCCTACAGAAATCACTAATTAAGTTGCACACCTCATTTTATGAGGTGTGCAACTTAATTAGTTGTTAAAAAATAGTCAAATGATAAAATAATAATTAGGGCTAAAAAATAGTCAAATGATAAAGTAACGGTGTTGTTTTCAAGATTGCAGATTCAATCTCCGCTGAAAGCAATTTTCTCACCATGGCCTTCACCGTGTTTTGAGCATGATAATCGAAACGACCAGTCTAAGTGACCTTTTTTGAAGATGATATCACTTCTTACCAAACACATCTGTGATGGTGGTTGGTTCTGGAATAACGGTTGGTCCTGGAACGTTTGTTGGTCCTGGTGTGCTGGTTTGTCCTGGAGCATTGGTCTGTCCTGGAGCGTTGGTTTGTCCTGGAGCGTTGGTTTGTCCTGGACTTTTGGTTTGTCCTGGAGCGTTGGTTTGTCCTGGAGCGTTGGTTTGTCCTGGAGGGTTGGTTTGTCCTTGAGTGTTGGTTTGTCCTGGACTATTGGTTTGTCCTGGAGCGTTGGTTTGTCCTGGAGCGTTGGTTTGTCCTGGAGCGTTGGTCAGTCCTGGAGCGTTGGTTTGTGTGGGAACGTTGGTTTGTCCTGGACTGTTGGTTTGTCCTGGAGCGTTGGTTTGTCCTGGACTATTGGTTTGTCCTGGACTATCGGTTTGTCCTGAAGCGTTGGTTTGTCCTGGAGCGTTGGTTAGTCCTGGAGGGTTGGTTTGTCCTAGGGCGTTGGTTTGTCCTGGACTATTGGTTTGTCCTGGACTATCGGTTTGTCCTGGAGCGTTGGTTTGTCCTGGAGTGTTGGTTTGTCCTAGAGCATTGGTTTGTCCTGGTGTGTTGGTTAGTCCTGAAGCGTTGGTTTGTCCTAGAGCGTTGGTTTGTCCAAGCGTGTTGGTTTGTCCTGAAGTGTTGGTTTGTCCTGGAGCATTGGTTTGTCCTGGAGTGTTGGTTTGTCCTGGAGCGTTGGTTTGTCCTGGAGTGTTGGTTTGTCCTAGAGCGTTGGTTTGTCCTGGAGCGTTCGTTTGTCCTTGAGTATTGGTTTGTCCTGGAGCGCCGGTTTGTCCTGGAGTGTTGGTTTGTCCTAGAGCATTAGTTTGTCCCGGAGCGGTTGTTCGTCCTGGATCATCGGTTGGTCCTGGAGTGTTATATGGTTCTTGAGTGGATGTTGGTCCTAGATTGGTGGCTGGTCTTACAGTGTCGGTTGGACCTGAAATGTTGGTTGTTCCTTGAACATTGGTTGGTCCTGGAGCGGAGGTTGGTGTTGGAACGTCGGTTAGTCCTGGAGCATTGGTTTGTCCTGGAGTGTTGGTTGGTCCTGGAGTGTTGGTTGGTTCTGGAAGGTTGGTTTGTCCTGGAGTGTCTGATAATCCTGGAGTATTGGTTGGTCCTGGAGTGGTTGTTGGTCCTGAATCATCGGTTGGTCCTGGAGTGTTAGTTGGTTCTTGAGTGGTGGTTGGTCCTAGATTGGTGGCTGGCCTTACAGTGTCGGTTGGACCTGGAGTGTGAGTTGTTCTTTTAACATTGGTTGGTCCTGGAACAGTGGTTGGTGTTGGAACGTCAGTTGGTCCTGGAGCGATAGTTGGTCCTGGATCGGTGGTTGGTACTGGAGCTGTATTGGGAGCTGCAGTGGTGGTTGGTTCTTGAGTGGTGCTCATTTCTGGAGAGGCTGTCAGTTCTGGAGTGGTGGCTTGTTCTTCTGTTTATTGTTTTACAAAATAGACAACAAAACATAGAGGGTATATTAATGTTTGATAAGTGGTCCAATACTCAATACTCGAGAGGAAACACAATCAAGAGGGCATGTTGTTTGATTAATGGCTCATGTATCACGCGAGGACACAGGCAAGTGGGCATATTAGTGCTTGGTTAGTGGCGCTTGAATCAGGTGAGGACATAAGGAAGAGGGCACGTTATTGCTTGATCAGTGGCTCTTTTTATAACAGCAAGCAAACGAGCATGTTAGCGTTTAATTAGTGGTTCTTTACTCACAACAGCATACAAGCAAGAGGGCATTTTAGCGTTTGATTAGTGGCTCTTTACTCACAAGAGGATACAAGCGAGAGGACATGTTAGTGTTTGATTAGTTGCTCTTTACTCACAAGAGAACACAAGGTTAGTGTTTGATTAGTGGCTTGTTACACACAAGACGACACAATGTTAACGTTTGATTAGTGGCTCACTACTCACAAGAGTACACATTTGTCAGGATATTGTCAGATATTTGCATCGTCATGGTTGTGATTGGACAGAACAACTCAGGTGGTGTACCAATCGGCCTAATGCCAGAAGTTAGTGGAAACACCGTCAGTTTCCAAGGGTTCACACGGGTGGTGTTTTTCTCATCGTGAGGAAATATAAGTTTAATAATTTAAAATTAAGTCTCAACTTTTGTATCACAATAAACAATCACTTTATCAAAAAAAAATTAAATATTTTCCAACCTCAAACGTATACAAACTGTTCTAGACCAAATTAATTGTTTCCTACAAATTATATTGCCAATTATACATTTTTGAGAAACCGATTTATTTAGGCTGTTATACAATTTTTGAAAATGCCAAATTGCTCCCTGATACTTGTTGTGAATTCCACACGTCTAAAGTTGTTTACCTGAACAGTCAACTCCAGTCCAGCCCTGGGCACATGAACACTCACAATTAGTAGTGTTGAGCGTTCCGCCACTGGTACAATTCAAAATGCAATCTGCAACAAGAAATCTTTATTAGTGATTTTTTTTCATAGTACAACCACAGTCTCCTTCTACACTATTTACAAGAGTGCTATGTACATATGAATGTTCATAAGTGCAATGGGACAAAGATTTTCAAAAAATATATATTTTGTTTAATGAGACTAGCATGGTGGACACGAACAAAGTATGCAAGGTTCCAGAAACACCAAGGAACATCATTATACTTTCTTTTGCACGAAGGTAAAACATTAATAAACTATTTGTAACAACACCGCGCCATTAGTGGTGTGACCGTGCAGCAGAATATTGTTTGCTTGTGGTGCGGCTGGGCCAGGTTTGGGACAAAGAATTCAGTGACAAATTATCAACGACCCACTCTTCAGATGACGGGGATTTATTCATGCGTTTTAAACCTCAATATACCAACCTAATGGACTTTAACAAGTCACAATCAGTAGCTGACACACCATGGGGGTCCATAAATCATTGTTTCATACAGCGGTCTAAATTTTTGGCTGCCATGATAATGCTCTGTTCAACTGTACATTCAATTTTAGAACTAAAGAGGAGCTAACATATTGGTATATTGGTGTTTGTTATAGCAGTAATCTAATGATTATGATCATGCCTCTATGACTAGTCTGAAAGGCCTACTCACCAATACAGGTATTTCCAATCCAGTTTTGGTCGCATTCACACTGGCATGTTGTCTCATTCAGCATACCGACATTTGTACAGGAAAGTTGACAATCTAAAAAAAAAAATGTGGGTTGCCCCTGGCTTGAACTGTATTCAAATGATTGTGAAGGTCACAAAAATAACAGGTTTGAACGAAGCTTATGTGATCTTCCTCACAAGTTTTCAAACATAGTACTTGAACTTGGTTCAAAATTTTTAGCAAAACCTTTAGTATTTTCATCGTTATAAAAAATATAAATGTTAACGTTCCTGCCGTCAAATGCGCAATCAAGTCCCATACGCATAACATTTAAACCCATTAACATCAGTACTATGTGTTACAAGGTGAGTCGAATAAAAATGGCCTATTTACAAACTTTTCCTAGGTCTTAACAATTCCCAGGATGACCTGAAATGTATAATTCCCTTTTATACACTGTACCACTCAGACTTTTAATGCAACAGCTATATCATATTTAAAAAAAGTCAACTTTACTCCTGTTCATGGCCGTAAACTCTGCTTCCCTTCAGATCCAAAAAAAGAAAGTCTGCTTCCCTCTAAAAAAAAATTCTAAAAGTAAAAGTGCAAAGGTCATGCTGTTTCATGTTTGTTTACTTTGACCGATTTTTAACTGACCGTTACAGCTCAGTCCACTCCAGTTGTTGGCACAGGTACATGTACACGCTGCAGGATCAAGTGTTCCGCCATTCGCACATGAAAGCGAACAAGCTGGAAAAGAAAAGACACATTAAGCATTCATTTAATATTTCAGTCACAAGTCTCATGACGATTCTCAAGGGACCGTTTCTTAATACCAAATAGCCAAATGTTCTAGAAATGTATCACAAAAAAAGGTCACAGCATAAATTGAACAAAGTAGAAAGAAACTACTCATTCATTAAATCTGATACCATACCTTACTCCTTCACCATCTTCGGGACCTCTCCACAAACCTCTACAAAATGTTTGTCATCTCTCAAAACCATAGATTAGACTTTCCAGTGTTCCTTTTCTTGTTTTTCTTTCACTAGCCAACCGGGCTACTAAAAAGGAATCTCAACTAGCCCACGGGTATTTTCTTTAGCCCGCATATTTTGTTTTCTTTTATAAGAATGTCTTACAAACAACAATGTGCATACATGTAAAACGTGCATCCTGGGGCCATCTGGTTAGTGTTTTTTTAATAAACAGATCTGATAATATGACCCTAAATAGTTACTAAATTTAGACATAAATTGGTAACCGTTTACTTTCGAAATTTAATGATTTATTTTTTCTTTTCCTTTCATCTTTGGCGTAGCCCAATTATTATTGTTGACTCGCCAGCCGGGCTATTTAAGGAATAGTTTAGTTGGTAGAACCCTGATTTCCGAGTCGTCTTTTTATATTTGTTTAAAATGTTAATATCTGGTAGATAGTTTAATAATTGCTCAGTTGTTCCGATTTCCTGAAACCCACTCGATAATTTCAGTAATATAATAAACAATCCAGCACCGAGTGAACTAAAACTGATTACTTTCACAGTTGGTTCCCGAATATCCAGCGACGCAGCTGCAACTGTACCCGCGAGCGATGTTCAGATTATTGCTGCAAGTTGCTCCGTTTTCACAATCATGGCCCATTTGACAGGGTGCTTAAAGAAAAATGTAAAACACAAATTATCAGATTGAAACATGACAAAAAAGGAGCGTTAGAAATGTTCTCGCCTTAATAAGTGCAAACGTCAACAAGAGATAAACACAAGCAGCAAAACTGACCACAAATAGATAATTCTTTTATTTACTTTAATGACCCTTAATCCCACCATACTCGAATTGGTTCCTTGATACATGCCAATCTATACATGCTTAATTGTGGTGTGACTTTTGCTTCAATAATGCTCATTAACGAAGAACTATTTTTGTTCACACGTCTAACAACCTCTTTGAGTGATTACAGAAAAGTTTGTGGAGTCCTATGCATTCTTTTAAAGGACCTGTACATTTCCTTTAATGCTAAACATTTGAGCATTTGGTCCAAGCATGCTGTAATTGATTTATATTTTTACAAAAAATCACCTAGGTCTTGACACTGGCAAAATTAATATTTCTTAATTTTATTTAAAGTAAAGTTACCTATCGTTTCACACCGTTCGCCGCTGAATCCTAGACTGCATGTACAGTTGTAGCCTGTGTCTGTTGTCGAGTCAACAGCACAATCCCCACTATTCATACATGGGTTGACATCACATGGTGCTAGGGGAAACAACACACAAACGAGATGATGAGTTTCCCAACTGTGCATTAGCATGAGTATACAGGGTGTATAAAAACAGGTAAGAAGGATGTAAATGTAAACAACGTTACAGATCATGTGAAACACGAAGGAGTCCTCTTTCCAATTATTCCTTGATTGTGTATTTGTGGCCACGGATGACTGAGCATTCATTGTTATCCCGTCAAGGATCAAAACTGGTACCGAGCAAAAAAGCTAACCGGTATTCGGATTATGTGAATCGGCTGAAATAAAAGAATGAAGACATCCTTTTCCTTAAAACAATGCGTACAATTTTGGCACAGTGATTTAAGCACTTTCTTTGTTCAAACTGAAGTTAACCCCTCATGGCCCAACGTGGTTACCACCTCTTTACACACAAAGCTCTGTAGGCCTCTTAGCCAGGTAAAACTTCGATCATCACAGGTTTGATCCTTGACAGAATAACAATGAATGACCATCAGTGATCTGCGACCACAGACACACAATCAAGGTATCATTGGAGAACAGATTGGTGTTACATTATCCTTAACTTATTTGAAAATATTTATTAGATTTGTGTGTATAGTTTACGTTTACATCTGGGTTTCCTGATTTTTGATACACTCTGCTTTTACAGTCGCTGGGAGGACGGTGTGGTTGTCTGATGATTAAAAATGTCAGATATACATTCATAGCTCCAGCTTCAGCTCCAAAGGCTATTACTCATACCCTCCAAATAAAGCATCTCTTTTGAACTGATTCCACTTCTGCTTATAATCTGTCACAATTCAAACAAATGTGAACAGGCATCGTCTCTTAGAAGTTGGGAACAAAATAGGCTAACTACTCAAAACAGAATGCTGGTAACTTGCAATTCATTTTTGGATGACAAAATCCCAACCAAAGCGAGCCAGTTCCCGATAGTCTCTCTTCGGAGGATGAAAGTTCGTAAGCTTTTTACAAAAGTTCACCTACCGACTTGGCAGTTTTGTCCGCTGTAGCCCGGTGGGCAGCTGCACGTGTATCCTCCCGTGGCCAAGTTTTCTTCAACACACTCACCACTGTTAATGCAGGGTGTCACATCACACTCTGAGTTAGAAAAGAAAACCAGCAGAACATGAATTGTGAATTTCTGTTGTGCTTGCTAGATTAAGTCAGCAGAATACTCTCAATTCTTTGACACATAGTAGATAGGCCTACATTTATTTGTAAAACTTTGGGATGGCAAAACAAAGCCAATATAAAGTTGCAATTTATTTTTTAAACAGCATCGCAGAAGTCAAAGTCTAAGGGGTAGAGGGCTAGGCCACGTAGAAAGAGGAATATTTGTGATTTCAGCCCATATTTTTCTCAAGAAGAACACCGTGAAATTTACAGTGAAATGACCCCTACTCGGTTTCCACATAGAAGCCGTTATTTGCAACAGAATACAGTTTAGCAACATGCTACATCCTACTAACTGTATTCCTTTTTATATTTGGTTGCACAACATTTTCAGATGCAACCTTTGTTGGTTTGTATTTGATGTTTTAAACACACGTTTCTCATAATCGCTCATCTTGAGTGTAAGTACTTACTGGGGTCGCCGATGATGAATGTCCGTCTGGTCAGCTGGTGGTCGGGAGCCAGCTGACCCCCACTGCTACCCGTCAGCTGGCCAAGCAATGCCATTATGATGTCTAAATCCGAGTGTCCAGAGCCACTTTTGAAGTTAATGACCAACGACAACAGAGCTGTTGATGAGTCCGAGTTTAGTGTCAAGTCTGTGATGACGACATCTCTGAAGGAACTACTCAAAGAGGAACCTAGGAAGGCGTCCTCCATCTTAATTCAACATGAGTAGAAAAGACAACCAGCAATTCAAAATGGGAAACTATGTGTGATAGTAAACGTTCAGTATAACTTTTCGCACCGTCTAAACATCGGGATTTTGCATTGTTTAGTATGTGGTTGCACAAAGGAAGAACACTGAGCACTGATTTAGCTAAAGCAAACTGTCATTTAAACTTGGTTAAATCAAAAGTCCCAGGACGCTATCAAGCTCTTTTGTTTTTGCTCTTATTGCTCTGAATACTATATAGTTCTGATATTGACGATTATTTGTAAAACAATACTTGAGTGCAAATATCTAATGAAAAGTATTAACTTGGGAAATATGTGTCCTATTTTAACTGCTGGAGCAACTATGTTGTCAAACATTCTTGTGTGTATTTTATTAAGAAAAATGAACATCGCATCCACACTATGAATCAGTTGGAATCAGAAAGACTTTTGCAATTAATCTGAAAAAACACACATTATTTGGCTGAAGTAATCGTACCGAACTCTTCAGTTCTTGGCGGTAGGTGACGGAGCCTGTTGCCAGATCAAATCCAGCACTGCTAACAGCCACTCCATTGATGATTTCAAACACAGCAGAGGCCTCTTTTGAATCGGCCACTGAAAAAAATGCACAGTATTTGTTAATTCGGCTCTGCATTTTGTCTAGATGAATTGTAAGCTGTAAACCAATCTGGCCACTGCACAAATGCTGTGAACACCCTTTTAACCACTGGTACATGTATTACAAACCATAGCCGACACTGCTCCTGCTTTTACCGAGTGTACAATGATGCACATTTCAACAGCTTCTCGCTGTGTATCCAAGGACACAAGCACCATTATCCCAGGCTGGATTCGAACCCACAACCTGCAGAATTACCCGCAGACCATAAATTCAATGCCCCAGACCACGAGGCCACGGAACTAGCTGAAAAGGTTGAAGCCATGATGTCCGCAACAGCACAACTGCCATGCTGCGTCTTTTAACTATATTCCTGTTTACAACATTTGAACAATAGCTTCATCATTATTTTAACAACACATTGAATACAAAACAATAATGAGTGTCAAGATTTCAAACAAATCTAGAAAAGCAATATTACCCAGACACGTTGAGTTTTGCTGATAGAATCCTGACATGCAGTTGCACTCATATGTCCCTTGCAGATTGGCGCACGTGGAGTTGGCCATCGTACATGGAGAACCATCACATTCATTCACATCTAAACAATGGGAGAGAATGTCAACAAACTTTTCATCAACCCCTAAAATGGGCCAACAACCTTCATGGATCCTACAAAATCAACAATTGTGCAAAAACCTGATGACAAATGCTGTATTCTCCATCTAAAATGTGCCATAAAACCCCAATTAACAGAATATGTATCAGTGGTCTGTATAACCAATAATAGCACCAAAAAATGTATTCACAATTCAGTTATTACCTTCACACAGGCCCAATGCATTCTTCTCATACCCCTCCAGGCAATCACACGTGAAGCTACCGATAGTGTTGTTACATTGAGAGTTTGATGTGTCGCAGTCGACAAGATTTAGAGCACACTCATTTACATCTGAAAATAATGAAGAGACAGTCAAAGATGTTTTCATTTAAATTACGATGTATCTGCTTGATAATGCAATTAGCAGTAGCGTTCGCGTTTCTAGCTTCAGGCTAGACTGAATAGGCACACAATAAAATGTGTGAAGCTCTTTCTTTTACGGTGTTTTACGCAGATCAACTCTCCTTAGTCCTGCAAAATCAGAAACTGGTTGCATGAACTCTATCGGACAATCTTTGTACCCTAACATTCGAAAGGCATCGAACAGCCATCTATCTATTTAAGGGGGGGGGGGGGCACAGTCGGAGTACTTGGAAAAAACGTTTTCTTTGTTAACATGAGAGTATTTTACAAGTATTCTTTTGAACATTTTGTTCAAATAGAATATGTGTCCGCAACACCAACCTAAGACATGTACATGTTAATTGCATCAAGCCAATGTGTATTTAAATAGCAGCGGCAGCGAATAGGACTAGCCTGCTGGTAAATTCTTCAACATCCTCTGTCAGATTTTGAATAATCTTGAATGTTTACACATTCGAATTCGAATGTGCAATTTCACATTGCAATTTACTTGCCCTGGCATCAAACGTCTCCGCTCTTACTTAAAGTCGATCATTTGCAGCAATCCAAAAAGTAACTGACGTATGACGATGCGTCTAAAGACGCATTTTTGTAATTTCCGTTAGTAGTTTTTTTTTTATTCGGCGAAGCGCGCGCAAGCGTTGAGACATACAGCTGAAGCTGAGCTGGCACGTAATCAGGTAAGTTTTCCAGCACCTTTCTGTAGATTTTAAACACTTTTGTTGCTTCAAACGAACAAAATACACAAATTACAAATGATAGACTATACCGTTAACATTCTAGCCAAAGTAAAATGTGAACAACATAGGATTTCAAAAATAGTTTCAAAAATGAGTGGGTATGTACCATCGCACTGTCTACCGGTTGGGAATCCCTCTGCAGAGACATAACCACCCATGCAGGCACACATGTAGCTACCGACATTGTTCGTACACTCTGCTATGTTGGCTGCACACTCGTGGGCACCGGTAATGCATTCATTCACATCTACAGACAACGAAAAAAAAAACAGTCCAAACTTCTCAAATTTAACTCGAAGCGTAAATTTCAGTCCAAGATATGGAAAGCTAGTTAGCATTGTCAACTGAACCGTGAAAGAGGTCTACTTTTTCCCCCTAGCTTTGGCACATTATAGCTGTACATGCTTTATAATCTAGCAGAAAGGAACATAATTAATTGAGCCTAAACTTTGACACCTGTTAGTTTTAAAACCGATATTTTCTGCATTTCCCGATATTTTCTGTGTGACTGGGCATTACGGGTGTGCACATATGGGCGTCGCATATTCTCAATTCATCATTTTTCGAGGCTTGGCAGGTGGACATTTGCCCTACCAACTATTCCCATTGACAACCCTGCGGAAGCCCACGTAGGTGAAATTAACATTACATTTACAGCAATTTGACTTCAAAGGTCATCTTTTATTTTGATATTTTTTTCTCTCTTTTTTTTTGGGGGGGGGGGGCTATATTATTTTAATGATAATTATAGGATTTACGGGAAATGGGTCATTTGGGATACATTCCCGTAGACTTATGCACAAATCTTTTCAAACTTCGATGTTCCCTAACCCAATATTCCCTTGTCTTTTTTCCACGAATTTCTGTATGTTTACTAATTAGACTACGAGCAATAAATATAATCTAATTGCGACGGGTAAATTTTGCCTCTAAAGGGGGGGGGGGGGCTGTGACATTAAAGAGACGTGAAAATGTTTCCCTAATGACCGATGTCTCACATCGTGCGAAGAAATTACGATAACGTGTCTCCGTAATAGTACCTTGACAAGTATTATTGTTATAATTTTTTTTTTTGGGGGGGGGGGACAAGGGCTCCGGCCCTGCAACGCACATGTGTGTACATTAAGCCAGAGCCAATATTTGAATCGGCGGTCGATGGTCTGTTTGAACTTAACCTCAATCTCCTGCTCCCTGCATCCAATACATTTATCAAAACCATTTCAACCCATTTTAACTATTTCTATCTCTTGATCCGGACTTTTATCTGCAGTTCTTGTTTCGAGTCACCCTTGACCTTGTGAGATTTTCCATAAAAAGACCTACTGATAATGTGTTAGTTGCCTCATAAATTGAAGGAAAAAACGCAATAGTCCGCAAGATTAATTACTGGAAATAGCTTTTATCCAGATATCCAGATATAATTTTGTCGATTCTCAAAAGAATACGACTTGCAGCTCGTATCTTGGACACAGCTCAGGAACAGTGGCGCAGCAAAGGGGGGGGGGGGGGGGGGGGGGACAGCCCTCTCCCCCATGCAACCTTGTCGCCCCCACTGAGATTTTGAGTTTCGAGAAAAATTATCATTGATCTACATGATGCCCCCATGAAAAGTTCCAGCCCCCCCCCCCCAGCCCCCCCCCCCCCCCCCCCCCCCCCCCCCACTGAAAAATTCCTGGCTACGCCACTGCTCAGAAATGAAAGAAATCTAAAAACAAAAATGTTTTACCTTCACAGTATGTGCCATTTCCTTGGTAACCCTGGTTACAGTTGCAAAAATGGCTCCCTGCAGTGTCTGTGCACGTCGCTAAGGAGTGACACACGCCAGGGTTCTCCTGACACTCATCGATGTTGACGCACGAGGTGAAGCCATCACCACGGAAACCATCGTCGCACGTGCAGAGATAACTGCCTGGGTTGTCCGTGCAGGAACTGTAGGTAGCACATGCGGCGATCGCACTGTCACACTCGTCGATATCTGGTTAAGGAACGTGTGTTATACATGTGAGTTTAAAGGGGCAAAACAAATCTGGGTATATCAAGACTGCAAGGTTCAAAATTGAAGGGTGTTTTTGACACATAATGTGCAATCAAACATCGGCCTCAAAGTGCAAAAATAAGGCCCATTTGGGACGCAAAGTATATTATTTATATGTTTGCATGGCAAAAGTTCAAAAAGTAATTCGCTTAGTAAGTACTATTTTCATATTAAAATCCCATTTTCGTTCCTGGAAATATTGTTTTCTACTATGAATAAGATCAGCTCCACCAATTCGTCGTCTCACCATCTATCATAAAACATTTCTGAGTGAATTGCACTGCAGAATAAAATGCATACCATGTTCTTTCCATCAATATCCAAATGATTTTGATTGGATAAGGGAAAGATGGAATGTTATGTTTAATCCAATCGTTGCACTTTTTTTCTAGAGAACCCATATGGTAGTTTGCATTCGGATTGTACCATGGAAGTTTCAATTTATACAAATGAGACATTTTAAAGCAGTTTTCGTAGATTGCAGGACACTCAATGTTATTGGTTGTCAGCTGTCAGCTGTACGTGCCAAGATACTTTCTTCATTGTAACAATTAACAAGATTTGGTGTATAGTACCTCTGTCTAAAGTACAAAGGACGAGTTCATTGACATGTTTGTGTATTCCCCCACGGTATGTACAGCAACATTATTTCGCTGTTCCGTCCATTAATTATTAAGTGAGTTCCAGTAGAAGGGATTTACGGCGTTGGCAACACCTGTAGACTCTTCATGTATTTAAAGCGTCATCACCTTTGACCACTGAGGCGCGGGTTCGAATCCCGCCCGGGTCATTATATGGATAGGTTTTTTCACTTGTCCACGTCCACACAAGGTTTAAAGGCATTTTGGGGTCAGGTTTATTGTTGAAAGAGTTTTCACATTGCGAGTAAAATGATACTTTCTTTTAACTACACAAAAACAAAGGAATTTCCACACTAGGTATGTAACCTAAACATAGGTGGGTCTTCCATAGACTATTACTCTTGGGTTTTCCTTCCACCTCTAAAACTGTTTCATTGTCTCCTCTCTCCATGTTTCTTCTGACTTGCGAGCTACAGTGCCTTTGGCGCTTTTGAGAAATCATCGGTTCCATTACCATACAAAAATTAAAATACCACTAACACCACTTCAGGGCGTCCTGAAAAAAAGGTGCATGTAAACCCCTCCATTTTTGCTGCAGATGTTTACACCATCTTCAAGTAAATAGATTTATCTTGAGAATACTGTTTGTTTTATTGAGATTGCTTTTGTAAATCCAAAGATATGTTTGAAAAACGGCAAAGCCAAGAAAGCCATTTTGTGCCACTGTCTGTAAAGCAGATAAAATCAGTATAGTCCTAGTCTAAAACCAAATCACTTTACTGTGGGTGATTTTAACATTTTTAAGCAGAGTGAGCAATATTGATTTATATTTGATTGAACTCTTTCATTGAGGTTTTAAAGAAGTGAAGCTGTCTGTAATATTAAATTGTTTCAACATAACAACAAAACCCTACATTGTCGTGTGCATGAAATGTTTGTCTTACACCCATAGAGATAGAGGAATCTTATCAAAAGAGCTATACTGGCATTGTCTGATCTTTGAAGCACTTGCTTCCTAAAAGTGGCACAGAATGGGATTTTTTTTTGGCTTTGCGGTTATTCAAACATATATCTGGATTTACAGAATCAATCTTAAATTAAGCAAACGGTATTCTCAAGCTAAATCTGTAACCTTGGAGATCGTGTAAACATTTGCAGTAAATTCCGGTTGTAAATTGGCCTAAATGTCGGGGTTTACATGCACCATTATTTTCAGGACACCCTGTACAACTACTAGGAAAAATAATCCAAAGGTCCCTCTCTTTGGTACCATCAGAGGGACACTTGCGTCTACACAGTCCTACACATTATCAACATTCAAGGTGAATAATACTCCGCCACGAGCCAATCTCTGCAATGATATATCCACGGGTGAAAGCAGGTTATCATGTTTGCACATACTTTGGCAATTGTGCCCATCCCCTTCGTATCCCATGGTGCAGTTGCACTGGAATGACCCCGCCAGGTTGATGCACGATGCGAAGGGACTGCAGTTGGCATAGTTGGGGTCGTCGGTGGGCACGGAACATTCGTCAATATCTGAAGGGGAAAAGAATCAAATTAAAATGTCAATAGACACATGAAGATTATTAAATTAACTTTACATTGTGTCGATAATCCATTCAGGACTTCTGGTTCAAATAAATACATTGTGCTGGGAAGAAGTTCAAGATTTCCAATTCAATTAGTCTAAAAAACACTCTGCGAAAATGGAGTCATTATAGAAAAAGTTCTGTGCACAAACTATTTCAATTTAAAATGAGATAAACACAAGGACAGTCCGTGCTGCATGTTTGTCAAAATTGTGAAAGCTGGTTTTTGAATTTGCATAGGTAAACAAAATCAGTCACTCCAATGATTTCATTATCGAAAACTGTAAATGTAACAGGAATAAGTAATTTTTTAAATATGTTTTCTTACCCTTTAAATCATGCCACGCCTGACTTTAAGAATGGCATTCCTTAAATTTTTAGATATTTGGTATTTAAAAACTCAGTCACAAGCCCATAATATGTATTTGTTTTTCATGGGTAACCAATCGGTTCCCCCAAAAAATGCAACATAAGAATATATTTTGAAAAATATTCATAACTCCTTAATGTCAGTAACACTTCCGCACGTGGCAAACTAACATGGCAAATTGGCAAGTGTTTCAGTCAATTAGAAATCCTAAAAAAAACACTTTGCAGAAAATTTCTAGAATAAAAGCAAAAATCTGTTCATTCATCTTGGACAGTTAATAACAAAAAAATACATGGGCCTATTTCCAGTGGGGTCTCATGAACTTAAATATAAATGTTAAATATAAACAGAACGGTCAACGAAACCTCCAAAAAAATAATAATAAGTATAAAAATACCCCATTTCACAAATTGCATTACCAAAGCATAGGTGTCCGGTGCCAGTGAATCCGTCTTTGCATTGGCAGGTGAAGGAACCGTTATTGTTTAGGCAGTCAGCGTCGATGTGGCAATCATTCAAGGTGTCGTTTAAACATTCGTTGATGTCTGTCAAAATAAGCAAACGCGAACCACATCTTTAACAGCACAATGATCTCGAGTGGGGGCAGTGGCTGCCTGATCTTCCAAATCTGCCTTTGTTCGTGGGAATGTCAGAACATTTCTTAGCTTCATTTTGTTTGCAATGACTGTGTCACTTTGAATTGAGTCGTTTCGCCCACGGCTCTGAAGATTTCTGCCAGCAACATGTTGCACTGACTATCCATAGCTATATTGACATAATAGCGGATACAGCAGGTTGTGGCTGAATACAGAAACGTCGTTAACAAACTTTCAGATCTTCTCCTTTAAATGGAAGAAGTCCAAACGGCTTTGAAATGTCAGCAAAAGTTGTAATTGTAAGTCTAATTCAAACTGCAAATATCAGATTTACTTATGTTCACAATAACGAACTTCACATGCATTTTGTGAATCAAGTTGCTTTTGATATACTTTGTCTATGGAACACAGAAATGTTATAAGCCTAGACCTACTTCGGATATCTCACATGCACTGCAATTTTGCATTTTCAAACTCACACTCACACGATATAATGCATAATTATGTTGTAAGGCATAAGACAGGTCCATTCCCTGACCTGAGATATTAGGGTGGTTTCGTCAATCCCCAACGTGGAAACTCTGAAAGTTCCCAAAGGCCCCCAGGTACACCTGCCTAGTAGAAAAGAATCCTAACCTGAGCAGGATCCGTTGAAACTCTCGCTGCTGAAGCCAGGCTTGCAGTCACAAGTGAAGTAGGGTTCGTCATTGGCGCACATCTGGCTCATAGCGTCGCAGTTATGAGTACCGGCTTGGCATTCATTCACATCTAGATTTCATGAAATAATGAAATGACGGTTTATTCGAGCTTGAAGATTGTACTGGGCAAGAAATAACTACTTATATTTGACCAAAATCAGAAATATAAATCCACTGCAGCTTCACATTGCTTCACAATATTTTTTCTGGCAGCATCGCTGTTTAGCAGCTCCATAAAAACAGTTTGACTGTTAGATTGCCATACCTGCACAAGTCCGTTGGTCACTATTGAGAGCATAGCCGGGAAGGCAACGACACTCGTAACTGCCGTCCAGGTTATCACACATCGAGTTGGCACCACACATGTGAGGGTCACTCGGGCTTGTGCACTCATCAATATCTGAAATGCAGTCAGATATGATTAAGTTACATGTTGTTTTCGGTTAAATTTAAGCCTAAGAACTGTTTGGCATACTTTTCTGAAATATGATTTAAGCTGTGTTTGTGGTGACTGATCAAAAAATAAGACCAGTTGAGGAAGGAAGACACTATTAAACAATATTACCTTCACAGACAGTGTTATCACCATCGATTGCGTATCCTGAGTAGCAGAGGCACATGTCTGCATTGCTGGCTCTGTAGCAGTCACCCTGGGTGCAATTTGTACCCAAACACATCGTTTCAGCTGTGAGCGAAAAATACAAATCAGTCTTTGTGTCGTCAAAGAAGCTTACATTGTATTACAATGCATTGATGCACTGATCAATCCATAATCCCAGACAGTGCTGAAAAAGTTTCAGGCTGTTCATGGACTACAGGGAAAGGAAATTCGACAATATGAAGACAATAACAAGAAAAAATTATGAGGCTTTTTTTTTTAAACACTATGATGGAGATCTGCTAACTACTACAAAATGATATGTTCATAGACGTTGAAGAAAGAGAACAATTTGCCTGCTGGAAGTACTTGTCATTTTCCAATTCCTCATTTTCTCTTTCTCGATGAATTTCTCAGCTTGATGCACCCATGCACAAGTGGGATGCCAAACCGGTGTATCAATGAAAACAGGTAAACAAATGTTTTACTTTGACAAACTCCATCTTGAAGGGTGAAACCTGCACTGCAATTGCAAGCAAATGATCCCTCGGTGTTGGAGCACTCTTGCTGGCAATCGTCGAGTCCAAGAGCGCATTCATCAATGTCTGAAAAAAAGTGCAAAACTGCATCACAGCAAATGAATCAACTCAATAATTGGAGTAACATGCTTATGGGGAAGGGAGGTTGAGGGGTGGGATTGGGAGACTGGGTAGAAATAGTGGACATCTTTCTTGTCAAGTCTATCACAAGTTCACAAAAGCTCATCACACGCCATCCAATGCCAAGTCAAGCTACAAGTTGTAAGTTTAAAAAGAAGTATGGAAAAGGCAATTCATCTTTTATTGCAAATCCCCTGTTAGTGGGCCTGTGAATGGATTTATGATTTACTTGAAGAGATGTGTGATAATCACATAATGGACTTCAGAACACTGGATGGGTAGGGTTACAACTTGGGTTGCAATGGCAACGAAGGCTATTTACAGTATGACCAATACCGATGTGTTACTTATCACTGCAACAGCTAGTCGGTAGTCTTAATACAGCTGAGACAATTAACCGAAATGCTCATTCTATACCGTTGGTTCACAAAAAGCATTGTTTGTGGTTGTTTTACCTTTGACAAAGATTTGATTACAATGTCAGGGTGCTAAATTCTGGATATTGTTCGACATTCTCACCTGTGCATGTCTGTCCGTCCCCTGTGTATCCAGTCACACAGTCACACTGATAGCTGCCCACCGTGTTGGTGCAATTAGCGTTCGCAGAGCAATCATTGCTCTCCTGACACTCATCAAAATCTACAATAATCAAAGTTCGTTACAAAAAAGAATCGGTTTGTATTGCAATTAACAATGATGTCGTTTAAATTGGTGTCACTTTTCAGGTTCGTTGTTCAACGGTTTGCAGAGCAAAGGTAAATTTGGCGGCACGTCCAAGAGCATAACAAATGGGGTGTCACTCTCACCAGCCTTTCACATAATTATTCAGATCTTTTCAAAACTGCCTCAAGCTTAAAGCCTTCCCTTTCTTTTAGACTGAAAGTGCCTGCAAAACCTGGAATGTAAACCTCCCGATCCAAAGCTTAGGGTGTTAGGGATCTACGGATCCTAAAACAGTCAATGGATATGACCACAAGCTTTAATGTTGGACATCATCAAATGCTCTCCGTACGGCAATACTTTACACATTGGGGTGGACTGTTACATGTAACTTTGGAACCGGGCTAGTAACAGCCTGCTGCTGTAATGGTCAGTTAGCTGATCTGTGTTTAATATTTAAACATATAACAAAGCTGGAAGTAAGGATAGATCTAGTCCGAAAATTTGGGACTCTAAATACTATGTATGAGAGTCCCAAAACTTAAGGTATTGAAAACATGCAATACAAAAAAAAATTGACTGACATCTGAAGCAACCAGTCCAACATTTGTTTCAGTACTTCATCTGACTGTCAGCTGACTGTGCCAAAAGAAATATCTCTGATGCCGGGTAATAGGTCACTATTTCTATGAATTTGTATATAGTTAGGCACCTGACTTATAAAAATAAATGAAGAAGTCAGACTTGTCAAACAGTTGGACCATGGATGGACATGTAGAAGTCTAGTCTTTAGCCTCATTTTGAAATCACTTGACTTCCCGCTCATCATGTGCAATAAAATGTAAAAAATTCTACTTTAAAAATTGAACTGAACCTTCAAACTTAGTTGGTGAAATACTGAGGAACTTTTCTTTGCCACAATGACAGTTTTGGAGAAATTTGCTGGCTAAAGAGTGAGTAACGTTGGCCAGATCTTCTTTTGCATCGTTTTGAGCACTTAATGTCCCAGTCTGGGTTAGATCAATACAGTCATTGTACGAGTGTCTTGCAAAGTTGCAAGCATTACCCCTGAATGATAGCTAAACAAAAACAACAAACTGCAGTCACTCAACACATAATGGCAACTGAAGTCATAACAAATTTAAGAAGTATACTAACGAAGCACTGCTATTTACTGACCAAGGTAAATTTGCGTTTTCAATTTAGAAAAAAAATGTATCTGCGAAAAAGGGTTTGTTAAAGATGGACCTGCTTTTTTCGGTCCCGCAACTGGTACCATGTTATCTGTCCAAGCCCCAGTAAGTAGTAATATTCTGGACCTACAAGATACAATAAGAAATGCACACAACACACTACACTGATTATGTTTGATTTACCTGTACAGTTTGTCCGACCGTCTCCGGTATATCCATCCTTACAGCTGCAGTCAAAGCTACCCACTGTGTTGCTGCACTCACCAGTAACGGCCAAACAATCGTCCTGACCCGTGGTACACTCATTCAAATCTGCGAATCAACGGTAATAGCAAAAAGAATAAGGCTTTGCTGAAATTGTAGGTAATATTGAGTATATATTCATAGCAACAGTGTCTGTGTATAGATATGGCTTAACACTCCAACGATTGTCCTGGCTGACTAGTTACACCAAGCAAACGAAAATTATGTTTACATTACAGATTGCAAGAACATTACATACCCACACACATCATTCCGTTGCCAACATAACCAGTGTTGCACTGGCACGTAAAGCTGCCTTGAGTGTCCGTACATTCAGCGTTCTCATTACAGACTGGTAACGATGCGGCACATTCGTCTATGTTGGTGCAGTTGGTGCCATCGCCAGTCCAGCCATCCCCACACGCACACGTGTATGACCCCACGGTGTTTGTGCAATCAGCTTCAGCATGACAGTTATCATCCATGTCCCTTGTGCATTCATCCACATCTAGTGACATACATAAAACAAGTTGTGTATTGGACACCACCTTCAGCGGAATGTGACTTGGTGACGTAACAGGAACTTCACACGCTGCCAATCTAATGTGAATACATTTTAACACCAACAGATTTCGAAACAAAAAGTTTGTTACAAAAAAAGCACACTTAACATTTGCATTGGCAATTAAATGGGGATAACCATCTGATGTATTCGCTTGGTAAAATCCTCATTCCCTGCGTCTAAGTAAGGCAATTAATTCCAAATTTCAGTATTATATACGGTCTTACCTTGACATGTCTTGCCATCACCTTCATATCCTGCAATGCACACACACAGGTACGAGCCGATGGTGTTTTCACATTTAGCTTTCTCGTCGCAGGTATAGCTACTGTTGTCCATGCATTCCATGAGGTCTGAGAGATTAATGAAAGAAACAAATGAAAGAAAATACTTTGATTATTTCGGAGGCCTTCATAAGTGACTGCAAAATTAGATAATTTAATTAATACTGGGTTCACAATAAGATGAGAAGAAAACTGATAACAGCAGAATGTTGGCGCATAGTATTTTGTTCATTATTTCACTGCTTGTTTTGTAAACTAAAGTCCGCAGAAGACTTTGTCAAGCCTTGGCTGACTTATACTTTAACATTAACATGAGTTTGTTCCGCATTATGATTACTGTGTGTTACAATTCTATGTTAACTCCTATTCCTCGGTTAATTATTCACCTCTCTAGGTTTAATTGTGTGTATACATCTCGAAAAACCTGCAGGTAATACACAAGCTCTCACTAGTTGTCACAAATCAGGCGTAAGTCAATTTGGTCAGGTGACAAGCTGCTAAAATCAACCGTAAGACACTTCCTCTTCCATTGTCGTCCCCTCTCCCCATTGATTTCAGGCTCCTTTATGAGTTGACCACGTTGTACATTAACTTGCAAATGACATTTTGATATATTCAACATCATCATTTGTATAGTTTGAAGGAACAATTACAAACACCAATTGGCGATGAATAACATCCCTTTTGGCTCCCAAGTGCTTTTGTAGAATAATACCAAGCACTGACATCTGGAAAATTACTACAGGCCCTACCGATCATTTTTGGAGGACCCTACTTGTTGTTATCATTACAGACTCCTTGAATGAACAGTAAGTGGCTCTTTTTACCATTATATACATAGAGCTCATTGAGAGGGACACACTTAGTGCGGGCACACAAGACCATTGGTTTGTGCCCATAGGGTAGAGGCACGTACGAATAATGACTTGGTTAAATGCACACAAACTTGTAGGTCTTCACTCAAGCAGTAGACACACAGTGCCATTGCCTATGATTGTTTTGTTGTGACGTACATCAGCGGTCCAACTCTCTCTATGTAACTGACTACGGGATACTTGTGCATGGAGTCCATAGTAAAGATCTTCAGTTCAACAATTGTTGACACCTAGCGCTTCTACTGTTTGTTTTTACCCAACACACATACCTGTACACGACGTTCCATCCATAAAGTCGTCCCGGAAGCCTGGCTTACATTTGCACTCAAAGCTGCCCTGGGTGTTGTTGCACACTGCGTTGACGTTACAATTGTGCAGGTCCATTTCACATTCGTCGATATCTACATCATCCAAATCAAATGCAAGCATTATAAACCACTGGTTACACAGAATGCCGGTCTGACACGCACACAAACTAGGCTTGCCCCAAATCCTCAGATACCACATAATTGAAATCAGATTTTAATGAAAAAAGGCTGAACATTTCAACAAATATTAGTGAAGCAAATACGAACTTTTTGGGGCGGAGGTTGGAAGAAATTGAGGAGTTCATTGGAATTGACCCTTAATATCAGTGTCCGAGTCGCACAATGTAAATAATAACTTCATCACAAGCAGGTTCAGGACAAGTTACAACTAATGCTAATGGGCCTACTGCGATAACTTTTCCTGCACCTTATCAGGATATTAAATGAGTCATATCCGGATATTAAATGCGGCCCTTACTTTCACAACATTGTAACAAATTGTATTCCTGCAGGTTTTGCATCTAGTTACTCTCACACCACTAGTAGGGTAACACATTTGTATTTCTGCATGTTAAGCTTTATATTTGTGCGTGCAAAGCAGAAGTTCATACCAATGCATCGCCTGTTATCAATGTACAAGGAGTAGCCAGATTCACAGCTGCAGTTGTAGTCCATGAGGAGGTTGTCACAGATCTGATCGCAGCCACGTCCACCGCTGCTGGCTGGCTCGTCTTTGTATAGCTCACACTCGTCGATATCTGCAAGAAAATCACCGGCGATGTTTAAGGGCTACGCGGTACGTCATCCGTAATTAATGTGAGATCCATACAAGTCAACCGTGAATAATTACAATTTAATCTCAGGGGATTGTTGGGGTGGGAGTTGAGGTGGCTATCCACCCTTTCATGTTAATTCCAAGGTTATTAGTCTCAATTATGTTTTGACGATGTTAACACCTCATTCAGCCCAATCTGGAAAACAATCCTGATTCAACAAGTGTATCAACCCTAGATTGATGGAAGATGCGCAATCATGATATGCTATCATTAGTCTAGCCTGTTAGAAAATAATAGGTAAAACATTTTTGGGCAATGACATTTTAGCCAAAATTCATTCAAAATTATCTCATTTGGGTAAAAAATTGCCCAACTATTGGGAAGAAAGACTTTAACCTGTTGATATGTTGACCAACATTGGTCCACATATCAACCTATTCTGCCCAACGTGTTACCAGTGTGTTAAACGCCTATACACTAGTTGTACTACACTGTCCCTATATATGCCATTTTTATCCATAAAACTACACAGTGATGAGGTGGCTGTTTGGCAGTACAGAAAACAATAGACTATGTAAAATGTGTTTACAAATAAGATATTGTGGTTATGTGATGCAATCTTTCATCAACTGTTCTCTACTGCATTGCAAGTATAGCTCTTGAAATTTGGATGTGGGGTGCTGTGGTCCAATGGTTTGTCCTTCGGATGCGTCGTAAAGCCGTAGCAGCTGTGTAATGCATGTTAATTAGAACACAGTAACACTTATTGCTAAGAGAAGGGGTTTGCCGCGGTGTTTTCGGCAATGGCTGCAATATGCGCTGCATTATTGTCTTTAATGATAGATATTATTTTCAGGGCCTTGAGAACCTAATTGTTGTTAGATAGGTGAGCTATGTAAGATTCCGGTATCATTAAATGTAACAGGTTTTAATATACGTATTGATGAATGCTTGTAAGAGTGGCGTCAGTGGTGTCGTAAATTGTCTACTGGCAAGATGATCTTGGCCAGTAAAGGGAAAACTGGGTTCAAAATGATTGCTGAAACAAAGAAAGTCTTGGCCTACCCTGACAGAACCTGCCGTCACCCTCAAGTCCTTGAGGGCAAGGTCCACAGGTGCTGTTCAACGACGGTGGCGCTTCATCAAAACAAGCCACGCCCATAAAACAGGGGCCGTCCTCACAGGCGTCGTAATCCACTTCACAGAACTCACCACTCCAGCCAGGATCACACTCGCAAAGCACCACCTAGATATGAAATGTTTGTCCAAAACAATACTTAAATAGGCAGAAAACCGGCTCATATGAATCTTTTAAATTCTATAGCATGCAGCAGACATCCACAAAGAATAATTTCAGGTAGTGTTTATCAAATTGGGATTGATATATAAAGCCTTTCCTTAGGCAGGACAATTTTTCTGCAAACAACTGTACACTTTTCATAATCTCTTTCAATTTAGCAAGCATCAAACACGGTGTGTACACAGATCCGCTATGTACATACAAATACAATCCTGGTTAGGACCAGTGTTGAGGGGCTCTAGCCACCTGGAATATTTAACCTGCGTACGAACTGGTGTAAGTGTAAACAGTAGTAGCTAGTCTAATACTGTGTTTGACCGCACCAAATTTCACTCATTATTGACTAATGCTGATTTCAACATGGATAGCCAAATAATAGCGCGGAAAGGCTCGCCAGGTTGCGCTGGGCCTCGGTCAGTCAGTCAGTCAGTAAGTCAAGTCAGGTCAGTCAGTCAGTAAGGGTAGTCAGGTCAATCAGGTCAATCGGGCAGGCAGTCAGTCGGTTAGTCCAGCAAGGTAAGTCAGTAAGGTTAGTAAGGTCAGTCAGGTCAGTCGGGGAGGCAGTCAGTCAGTCAGTCAGGTCAAGTGAGTCACTAAGGTTAGTCAGGTCAGTCAGGTCAGTCGGGGAGGCGGGCAGTCAGTCAGTCAGTCAGTCAGGTAAGTCAGTCAGTTAAGTCAGTTTGTCAGTTTGTCAGTCAGTCAGGGGGGAGTCGGCCAGTCAGTCAGGGAGGGGGGAGTCAGGCAGTCAGTCGGGGTGTCAGTCAGTCAGGGGAGTCAGTTAAATTTACCACTGACTTTTGGTAGGTCAGATGACAAAGCCCTTGGGTCTGAAGAAAAGAAACGATAAGAACACTCACCCCGAAACGGTCTTCAACAATATCCGTGCCCATCACAAATTCATCCCACAGGCAGGTGCCACCGTTCATGCAGTCACAAAGCTGCACCACTGGTTCGTGTGTGGCATTAGCTTGGCCATCTGTTGCCAGTAGTCCGACCATGACCTTGGACTTTTCCATCGGTGTCCATTTAAAGAGACCACCTGTAATGGAAGTTGGTGTACTGCTATAATTATGCTATTTTTGAACTGAATAATCTTTTTTTTTTTGTACTCACACTATAAGATGAGTTGTCAGAAATACTGAGTGGTTTCTGCTGACCCTTATCCGAATGGGTGTATGTAGGGACAGAGGACGATATAGGCTGGCTACACGCCGTGGCCACATTAATAATGAAAAGTAGTTTTCAAAGTGTAGCGGGCACCCAACATAGAACAGAAGGTGATAGGGAAAGTAAATAGAGCATACAATTGACAATGTGTACAGAGAAAGAATGTTGAAAAGGATGAATAGAACATCTTATTAAGTCATATGATAATTGACACAGCCACTAAAGTGCGATAGGAGTGGCATATGTAAAATTGCTTTGGATGATATTAGGGTGCTCAAAACCAACATTATTTCAAAAGTGGATTAACGGATAAGGTATTGCAAAATCTGCAGTCAAAGCAAAAAAACTACCATAATGATTGGTGACATTATTCAAAGAACCTCACGACATTTGGGATCGCTTTTATTATATGGAAACCAATTACATTAGTAAGTGTGGGAGGGTGTCAGATACCTGCAGCATCCCTCCTTGGATCTTGCATTGGCAAAAGCAACGGGTCGAGAGTTCAATTGAGCTGATAACGTTTTTCGACTATTTTCAAGGGTTTTTGCTCCGAAATATACATGCAATGCGCAGTACAATTTTGCATTTGAATCTCTTCTTTTATTTTTCCATTCATTTGCATCTTATTTTTCCCCATTTATTTTCATGGGGGAGAGGGAAATGGGGGGCGGGGAGCTATAATGGGGGGGGGGGGGTAAAAGCCGCCTTTGGGGGAGTCCCAGCAACCCCTACCCCATTACGCCGCCAATGGCTCTTTTTCATATAATATTGTTTGGAGGCAAAACATAAACAAGTTCGTAAAGGTTTTTTTTCACCATCTTCGGTGATGGATGCATTTTCGATTGGCTCAACCAATGAAAATACAACATCGTCTCCATCAGGATCCACGGCTTCCAGTTGCTCTTCGAATTCCACTCCCACCATCACTCTGAAGGTATCCGAAGCGGTTATGTTTGGTGGGAAATTCTCTGCAAATTGTGCAAAAGAGGTATATTTTATTGAATTACAGTAGCATGCCTTTTAAATCAACATTTAAACCGATCATTAATGTCTCAACTAACATCGCGAAATGTGGCTCGCTATTTTTGGGTACAATTGTACAAGTCATAGTGGCCAACAATTGGTTTCGCAAACGACCACTTTACAAAAGTTAAGAATATTTTGCGGACCATACTATGTTCATTGTAGTGGAATTCTACTGCAATAGAAAGATTATTTGCATTCAAATTGATGCTGATCACCGAGCACAAGCTGTTAAAGATCTCTGTGCGAAGGATGGAAACTACATGTTATTTGAGATATAATGTACTATGAGGTATGGATCAATACAAAGACTATATCCAAATCATACACCGCCCTCCTCAGTATGGTGTTCGCCCTAGGCTAATGCTGGTTTACGCATACATCAACTTGTTTTTCTGAACATGCAATAACCCGTTGTGCTTTGGCATGAGAACCATGAGCGAATGGTGGCAATGTCATGTCAGATTCAGCCTAACTCTCTCTTTGTCACCAATGAAGGATTAATATGAACCTCATTACTTACTTGCTGCACTTTCGCTTGCAGAGTTCATTTCATTCAGCATCACTGTAGACTGTCCGATGCTTTCATCGTCCGTCGCCAGTGTGTCAAACAAACACATCTTGTTGTCTCCGCACAGCTCTTGAGCTTTTGTAAGTTTTTCCGGAGTGGCAGCCGCGACAAGGTCTTCATAGAAGCTTGGCTGGAAGGAGTGGTTGTTGGATAATGCCCAAGTCTCGTCACCCACATAGTAGAAGAGAGAATTCTCTTCAGTGATACGCCCTGCATGCAGCCAAAGTTGAAATATTTGGGTGTTTTTTTAACTGAGGCTGGAAATCTAACTAGAAAATTATTCTGGTAAAGGTATATCTGCCGTGTCCTGCAGTTGTTGTTTTCAGCAGCTACATAAGGAGTCTTGGGCTCTGTATATGTCAGTGATCAGGTTAAAGTACAGACACTTTCTTACACTGAACCACTGTTACTGGATTTCAATCATGTGGACTGTATTTTCGACCCCTACCTGATTGTGTGCATATTCCTCGGAATATATTTGCGAAATTGTTTTCTCAAACCTTTTCCGGATCTACGTAACGACTCTGCTTAGGAAAACGTCTAAAAGCTTCCAAGAGGTACCGAGGCCGACTGCTTTAGAAACCAGAAGTATACATACTATGCGAAATGGTTTCATAACAGTCAACAACAGTTGATTGATTGACTTACAGGTTTCAGCAAAATTATAGAAGTCTCTTTCAATCATCTCTCCGCCGTCACCGGTGGCTGGCTGTATAGTACCATCACGTCTGGTTGCATCATTGCTTTGGTCGTCATCCCAAACACCTGTACAGTGGACATTTAATCAATCATACATGCTACACCGACTGAGAACATGACATCTAGTAACACAAGTACTTGAGAATGGCAACCACTTTGTTTTTGAAATATAATGTTGCTGATTGGTTGTTTTGTGCCATGACGATGTTGGCTTCTCTGTAACCTGAACGTACAAATCAAAAAGCCCCTTTTTTATGTAATATAGAACGCAAAGCTCCATGTGTATACATTTGGAGATCTTTGCACGAGATGAAGTTTTCTAAAGAACGCATTTTGTGCAAATTTTTACTCCTCCTAAAATGTATAAACATTTCTTGAAAAGTGTACATTTGTATAGAAATTTCAAATTTCTCATACTTTTCTAGAGACTGGAGAGTGCTGTTGCTGAGAGTCATTCCCGGAAGACAGTGTTCACAGGGGTTTCTGTTCAAATTGTGAACCCAACTAGCTCGCCCTTCTCAAAATTTGTATTTGAAAGGGTTGTTCATTGACCTACTGCCTTACTCACACAACAACAAAACACCAAAGAAACGAATATGAACAAGAACAAAACATCCACTCTTAATCGTTTGTGTTGAAATAGCTGTAACATTCAGGTTTCTGCACAGAAAAATCACAGGTTTGCTTAAGAATATGGAAATTCGCTTTGGCATGAAACCAATAAAGGCACCAAAATGCACTTTCAAATGGCTTTTAAACAATCAATGAAAATAAGCTCAAGAGGGTTATACATGTGCATTGTCAAGGATTGCATAGAAAAGAAAATACATCTCATGGGCCCGGGTAGACCCCTAATGTAATGTCACTGTAGCTGAACGTCACACCCCTTAGTCTCATACAATAAATCATAGCATTGTTTTCTTAAGTTTATCCCCATAACGTACATGAACAATAAAAAATAATCACAGCTTATTTGAATACTTGATTTGGGACTGGACGCCTTTCGATTGAATTGTATCGAAACGTGTGTATTATAAGATTGAAGAAATAATGCATTGTTGAAATTTTGTCTAGCAACTCACCAAGTAATCCTTTGGTCTTTCCACGATACGTTTGCCCAAACTGGACAGTAATGTCTCCAATGCTGTTGTTTACTCCTACTGTAAACTGAATGTCGCCAGGGAACATGGTGACCACTTTGTTGGTTGATGCATCCCTTTTGACGGTGATATTTCCAATGAGCAATCCTAAAACAATGAGTGATAGTACAACTCACCACTAATGATAAGAAAAGCCTTTGTTTTAACTTTTGTTTTTCAATTACTAGGAAAAACACCACGGAAATGTTAAGGCTTCTAAAAAAAAAAGCATGAATAAGGCCAAAAAAAAAGTCTCCGGTTTCTGGTATGCGCGCGCGTCGCCGTAGCCATGCGCGTCGGCAAAATGAAAAAGTTTTTTTTTCAATGAAAGATGATGTCTCAAAACCGCCAAACTCACTGGTTTGACTGGAATTCTGCTGCTGCGCAATTTCAACGTGTTTTTAGATGGGGTTATGATCGAGAATAAGCTTTATGTGGCCTCTCTGGACTCCCATATATTTGCACTAAGTTTAGTCGGGCACCATTTGCAGTCATCAGCCGACATTTGAAGCAAATTTGAAGCAAAAAAAGTCGTGTAAAAAAAAAAAAGCCGCGTCGCCGCACCACTTTTTGGACAAGATCCATACCAGAAACCGGAGACTTTTTGGGGGCCTAAGGGTTGCTTGTTGTATTCTAAACAAAAACACTGAGGTATTTTGTAATCTGAAAACGTCAACGAGCGACACATAACAGGTTGCATATAGTGAAAAATCACTTGGATAAGAATGGATTGATCAGCACAGATGGTAGACCTCGACTGCTTATGGGGTGGCTACCAGACACAAATTTGAACTTCATCAACTGCACATGTACCTGCTGTTGTAGGCGTGACAACATCTCCATTGACAGTAGTTATCAGGTCATCGGCTTTCTGTCTTTTGTTTAATTTCACCTCAACCTGGAGGAAGAACCCGGTTCGTATAAAATATGACAGAGGCGGATAAATATGTACATCTTCAGCAAGTAAACTTCACATTATTTCCTTCCAACTAAAAATGTTTTGAAAATGCTTGATCGCGTGAAAGTTGCGTACACAAAATGTGAGCTTGCCAAATACGTCTTGGGACTGAGGGCGGGTCCTTAAGTTGAATTACACGCAACGATGCCAGAGGACACTTTGGCGAAAGTCGGGTTAAAAGATCACGTTGTTAATTGAGCTTGAATCGTTTAAGAATGTAAGGGAAGATCACATTTTTAAAAAAGAAAGATATTAAACCCTTGGCTTCAAATGAATCCTTTTCAAGTATATAGACAAAGATATCAACAGAATTGTTGACTTGAAAATATTGAGCTTGTTGCGTGTTTATTCATTGCCAAGCAATAGCAACGTGCAAAAAAATAATCACACATATTGCCATGAAAGCCAAAGGAAAGAATGTCCAGTGCAGCCTGAATTCTGTGAAACCTGAAATGCAATGTTTCAATTTTTAAAAGAACCTAATTAATACTACAGATTTTTGATAACAAGTACAGTGTACTAACCCTTCCTTCTCCAGGATACTCTGCAGCAAACCCAGAATAGAATGTTGCATCCGTGAGTTCCCCGGTTTCTGCATTGGTAGCTCGCTGCGTCCGGCCTTGTAGTTCAAAGATTTGTGCTCCGTTGTCGTTTTCAATGAGCGCTACCGTGTATTCACCAAGGCCATTAAAGGTGTACTCAACTTCGTCGAGGGATTTGATGTGTGGATCTCCCCAGAACCAGACTTTGGAAATAAAAAAAAATAAAATAAAAAAAAATTGTCAACGTGATCCGTGCCTGCATTTCCATTAGTTTTTTAATACAACTGATCAGTTGCCGTCAAAGGTTTCAGTAAAGATCTGCCAGACTCTCTCATTGACCTCATGAGCTCGACACCAAGTTTGGCAAAACTTGTCACAACATTGTAAAAACAAATATCTGCAGTCTTTTTTCATTTACACAAAAAAGCTCATTCGGAGACAAAAAACCCTTTATTTTAATGAGACCCCTTTGTGTCAAATTTGCACACGACGACGTTGTGAACATCTGTAATTGGACAGCCCAGAACTTAACTGAAAGGGGCAGAATCCCCCCCCCCCCCGCCAATCTCGTCCATGACACAGTCAAAATGAAAAATGGCTCGATTTAGAGTAAACCAAATAATACAAACCTACACCAAAATGGTGGTCGGTATCTCCAGCAACCCATGGCCGGTCTGTAGTCATCGTAGAGGTGGCAGAGTGTAGAAGCTGAACAGCAGTAATACCGAGGCAGTACTTCCTGATCTGTGGACAAAAACGAAGGTTGCTAAGCGGTTCAATCAAAATGGCGGTTATTGCACGTGCCCAACCCGTTTGGTTCTTGTTTTAATTCACACACTAGGTCAAGAAACTGCCACAAAACTAGGGCCCAATTTCACGGAGTTCCTATTAACAGAAAACACCGATCACCAGACTGACATGCCAGGGCGGGTCAAGAAATGTTTGTATGAGGATGGTTGCGGTTTTGTAACCGGATCAATGCTGAAATGTAGACTTTTTTTCTCGGGACACTTGGCCTACGTAAAATTTATGGGGGAGGGCTTACCATACTATTCAATGAGTGCCGCTGTTCAAATCCGCAAAAAGTATGCATTGCATGAACATTTGCCTCAAAATCTGTATTTCCCTATGAAATAGTTTCCAGTTTCTGTACGATAAAGCACCTAATTTGTTTCAATGGGAGATACAAGGTGGGTCTTGACCCTACCAAGCTGCCATCGTGAATGTCGAGCAAAACCAGATGTGATTATATCTGAGGTCTTTTGGCCTGAGGTCCAAATGAAATGATGCATAGCTGCTGGGGACTTTCAATCGTATGTTTTGGGTTTTTTTTTCGAAATACCCAAAAGGCAACTGGGGCATATATTCAATTCTGTATCTCAGAATAGCTGATTAATTACTCCAAACTGAAAAAAAATGATGTTCAAATAAGGATCTTTAGCTAAAACCTTACCAGTAGTCAAAGCACTTTACCTGGGGGTCCTTAAGTGGGCCCCCAACCCCTAGCCGTTAAGGATTCGCACTCGAATTAGTTTTCATCTTGATGCATATGTTTGTACTACCCCAACCCATTATACTCTTAAAAAGCGATCTACGTCCTTGGTGCCAACAGGCTTTTAGAGCTAGGACCTATACCAGTTTGGACGGGCATTATTTGTACAGAATTAGGTGCCGGTGGATAAGGCGGAGTAGGACTATAACTCTGGTGGCTAGAATCTACGAAACACTTAATCGGGCCTGCTTACCGTACCGCTGGTTGTAAAAACTTTCTGTGGAAAACAAGGGACTGACTGGATAATGCTCAAAGACAGAAGCAACTACAGCACTCCTGACGCCCCGGAGAAGACTCCAAGTCGATGTACTGTAGCAGCATAGCAGGCCCGCGTTATTAGGAAACTGAAACCTCCGGGCATAGCAAACAGCAGCTGCGTGAAAATAGCATTATTGTTTATTATTAAGGATGTTATAGGTAATTAATAGAGGGTCAAATATAGGTTTTCATTAAAAATGAAAGCATAAGACTTCAATGTTGATTTTCAAAATGTCGACTTTCCCAAATTAAACAGCAACATATGTTTACAGATGTATGGCATCAATTTCGAGAATCCTAATATCGTGTTCAGAGGTACAGTACGAAAAAAAGTGATTAGGCTTTACCTGTTTAAACATTGCAATTTAACTTTATAACTTTATAATGTTTTATCTTTATAATTGTGAGAGTGTTGTTAAATGGTATTTGCCTAAAACGGCCGGCAAATTCAAAATTCAAGATTGTATAAAAAGTCGCGTCTACCATTGTCCATGAGTGCACTCAAACACGCACTCAGTTGAGGGGGGACAGTGGATAGGCTACTCACCGACTGATGAGCTGCTTCCTGAATTTGGGAGGAAATAATTGAAACCAATGTGTGTCCACCTTGGGTCCAAAAATGCATTCATCCAACTGCATGGACACGTGTGAGCAGTCTGAAACCACCAGAAAAGGGTAGACATTGTTACAAATTGCCTGCTGTACCAGTTCCGACAGTACAAGCGGGGATTAACAAAATTGTCTGGTAGGTTGTCGAGTTGCTGGACCCAGCGCCCGTACATCCCGGTATTTCCAACCATATTTCCCGGGCGGAAACGCAAGTCGCTCGGTATGTCCAGGTAGAATTTGTTGCCAGATTGTCCGCAGGTGAAGCCTTGGATGACGTTGTCGTTTGGCAGGAGGTTTTCGTTCCAGTTCATGCCGCAGCGCTCGTAGTTGAAGATAACATAGCCATGAGTGTGATCTGTCACAAGCACAGCTTGGAAAGAGTTGGTATTCTGAACAGCAAAACAAAACCACAGCAAAAAGAACATACCTTGTGAATCCCGAATGAATAATATATCAGCTCAGTACGATTTATATTCACTTACCCCAGAAACACGCGTTCTAACTATTATCAAAACATGGATTTTAAAACATTGTACACGCAGTCAAGTTAGGAACTAATACAAGTTAATCATGCTTTAGTTTATCATGCTCATCTTGTTCGTTTATGAATAATATGTTTGCCTCATTTTATACATGCTACTAACTTCATGAATTAGTGTATGATTTGTCACGCAAGTTCTGCGCTGTTTGCGCAAGATATGCAATTAAACGTTGTACATGAAGTGTTAGTTGTCGCTGGCTGAAGCTTTTCGTTGCATTAATGTAAACATGCATACACTTTCAACGCTCTCATAAACTGTCATTTTTACGTAAAAATTATGCATTTCCATAAGCTTTCTTATTACACAGAGCAAATAAATCGACACACTTTTGAAGCCATATAAGCCGATTATTAAGGTTGATAACAGAATGCGTTTTGGAAAAGGGGCGAATTCATGTGCTCTGTCGTAAACGGCCAGTTCTAGACAGAGCTTAAAAATGGACTGCTTGAAAGTGCCGATGTATATCACCTGTTGTAAGCAAGTTTTGACATCAACCGGTTTTTTTTTTTCGAGCAGAAGAATATTATACATGGATTTTGTGAGCAGAATCCTTGTCTAATTTGACAGAAAAAAAATGAACAAAAACTTACTTTATTGGGTGAAATGGCTTCCACAAAGCGCCATGTAATGACAAGGGCCCAGGCTGCAGTGAAGCTGCCATACCGGGCAGACACGATGCTACTCAAAGTAGATAACATTGTTGAACCACTGCTATCATATACCTGGAAAAAAAACCAATGGACCAACGTTTTTCTAGTTGATTAGGTTCTCCCTGCACAATCATCACCTTCTAACGCAATTACAATGAGAGAGCCAGCAGACTGATTAACATGGTGCATCAAAGAAAGTAATTCAAAAACAATGGGTTGCTTTGTAAAAGTAATAAACTTGAACAATGTCAAAGCGGCTCCATCTTAAAGGGTAGTTCATTAGCTCATCGTTGATATCTTATTTACATCTCTTCAGTCACGATGCGCCATCCAGGGTCATTTTAATGTCCCCAAAGGGACAGATCGAGGACTCTTTTTTTTCAGGGGGCGTCAGGCCCGTCAGGTTATGCGTATGTTCGATTGTTGCGGACAGTAATGCAGCACATTGTTACTAAGGCACTATTTGTTTTAATTTGCTTACGTGTCGGAGTAGGGAGGGGGTGGTGACCCCCAATCCCCTTCTGGATCCGCGCCTTCCCCAGTTGAAAAGGTCCACAATCATCAAGCATCCTTTTAACTTTGCTAACCTATTACTTTCACAACTTTGCCCGGCCTCCTCTAATTTTGTTAGGAATGTTAACTACAATTGGTCAACATACAATAGCTCAAACATAGTAAACGTCCCGTTGTTTGAGTAAATTCGACAGTATGTACTGCAGGGGTACCCAATGTACTCGTCCATGTATGCAAATTCATATTTCAACAGTGCCCCCTAGGGTCAGATGAGTTTTAATACCAGCTAACCCCAACCCCAGCCCCCCCCCCCCCAACTTGAAATCCTGTGCATGGTTCTGGTTTTGTGTTAAAGTTCATAAGGTGACTCTTAAAGTTTTTAACCTAGCATGTAGTTTAAAGCGGAAAGGAATGTGCATGTGTTTGTATTGGATGGGGTCATAGCGTAATAAAGTGGTAATTAAGTTTTTTGTTAGGACAATAGGAAATCCTCGATTAAAATGTATATACATTCAAAGAGTGGTCCTTGAATAATAGAGGACAATAGAGTTGATGATTTGGCGAATGTCCACTTATGAGGTGTGCGTACAAAATATATGCTAGGTCGTCATAAATGTTTTAGTAAAAACAGAGAGGGCCAATGTCGCGGTCCACGATTGAAGGTGTTTACAAAGATGACCCGACTGCACAAACCCGCAAGTAACTCACCTGAAAGAAGACGTTCTTAACTCCAGTAAACCTGTTGCCATTGACGTCAGCCCAAAAGGGAGCTACCATTTTCGTTGGGCCACTGAAGAAACTATTTGTGGTCCCGGGGTAACTTCGTTTGTCCAGACTTTGCGCATTGGAGAATATAATAACACCGTTATCTGTAAACTGATAAAACAGGCAGCCAAATATGTATCAGGGCAGTAGAATAATTCAATTGTTGGCTTTCGACGTTGGTTCAATTTTATGACACTGCTATGCAAACTTTTGTTTTATTTATAAGTTAAGCCCTTGTCCATTTCACAGAGACCACAGCGCAGCAAAGCGTAAGCTACTGCCGCTCCACGGAGAAAAATCTGTTTAAATAAGTGAACTATCCATGTGCACACAACCGTTAGCATACATCCGCTGTGAAGTGTTTTTGAATTTGCTGACTCGTCTTGCTATACTGAGCACAATGATTGTGCTTACTGTTCAGCAGCACTTTACAAATTCCCCATGGAGAGTGGAAAAAAATGATGTGACCTTTATCGTTCCACACAAGTCCAAAATGACCACCTTTAAAAAAAATGATGAATATTATACATGTAGTTTCTGTTATAAACCATCGATTTATATTAAACCAACTTGGTTAAACCAACTTGGTTTGTTCCAAAGATTGTCAAGAATATTGTGTCCAAAACGCATCGAGACTAGGTTTTGTCTTGTCACTTAAAAAAAACACAGACGCTACTTATACCATAAATAAAAATTTACAGAATCGTTCATGCAAAGGGTACCTTTTAATATTTACAATACAGCACAGGAAATGGTGTTCCCTTAATCCTGTCCACCAAGTGCTTCATTGTCAAAGCAAGTTCAACTTACAATATGCTCAGTATAATTGTACATACATTAAATGTGTGTTATAGCCAAATTATTTTGAGGGACACGTATTGCGGTTTTTGTTTAATATTATAGTGCAGCAGTAGGGCATGTGACAACAGGGGACACATATGCCGATACCTTCAACGTGAGAGCAGGTAATCCGTTCCATACATATTCTTCATGTTTATTATCTGTCATACTTACATAGATTTTCTCATGCAGCTCACTGCAGTAAGGAAAGAAATTTGGTGGGCTGATGGTTCGTGAGATCAAATCTTTGCTAGACGACTGTGTTGGCTGTTTAGACAAAAGGGGTTGAATATGTTGAGGTCAGGGGGCGATCGATATGATTAAATTAATCAGTAACTTTACATACAAAATAGTACAAAGACAAATTTTTCTCTACGTTTTCCTTGCGTCTAAAAAGTCTCTAGAATTCTAGTAGTATGACGTTAGGGCTCTGTATGTCCCAGTACCATAACTTATTGCATGTTCTCTATACCGAAACAGGTTGTCTGAAATTTCACACAGACATTCAAAAATTACGTAATGATTTCCATAAAAACATGAAACTTCATACTCTCTCCTTTTTCATTTGGGTGCAGAAACTAAGCTGATTAATGTATAAATACTTATAATACATTGTATTTACTCCCAGGTAAACTCATGAACACAAAGAGTGCTGGGGTAGTTTGGGGTGGTACGGGGTGTAACAGGTAAATGTAGGGGACTGGGCGGTGCAGTGACGATTGGGTAATTACTTCCATATTAACAAGTGTTTTGATAAGAATGCGGTTTAAATACATGTATCCAGAAACCGCGTTAAATTATTTGATGTATTATACTTACTGGTTGTGCTTCTTGTGAAAGACGCATATCTCCAGCTGCGACTCCAAAAGGAACAAAATTGCCCTCTGTTTTGAAAAAGTGCAAGATCATTTAAAAATGTGCATCCCTGCATTCGAATCCTACACAAAACTATAATGACCAGTGTCAACATTTCTATGAATGTAACACATCTGGGTGTTCGTGACAAGAGTCGTTTGTGTATGGAGAGAAATATGAATAATCTGAAATTTGAAGAGCTTGTGCAGCTTGTTATGCTCTAATCATATCACTGAGTATATTGTGGAACACAACACGCTAGAAACACGTGGGGTTCGAGCGTCCAAGTAATGGTAAACAAAATTATCTCAGAAATTGTCAACTTCAATATGTCTATATGCTAATCTCAATAGATTATGCTAAAACAAGCACAATCTTTCTGATGAGTGCTAGGCATCACCGTGACATTAGTAAACTAGGGAAAAAAATCACAAACCTCCTCGAAAAATGTGCTTTTAAACATAAACGGGTATTCTCAACAACAGAATGTCATTCAAAATGGGGTGATATACAAGTGGGCAATTTCAAAGAGCTGGTAAACAGAATTTATGACCAAGCAAATTGTTCGTGGAAAAAATGCAGTTGAACACTAATCCCAGACATGGATGTTATACGGCATTTGCATGGCATTTTGTCTTTTACCTGGTTTTACCAACGCAAACATTTTCTTTCGTTTAAAAACTATTGGATGTGAAAGTTCCATGAAAATGGTTCCCAATTGACCGAATTGCACATAATTGCTAAGTAGAAAATAATTTTGAAGAAAAGAAATCAACTTTGAATTCTGTAATATTGTTCTAATTTTGTTTTCAAAAAATCCCTATTTTAATAATGAGGTACTACTACTAATGTATTTCTTACCATAGACACTGAACGAGAAGCTCCCTGATGTGCTGCAGATTTCAACCGTAACACCGCAAGTCACTGTGTGATATCCAAGACCAAACGAGATGCCTCCGCTCAGAGGCACAGCATCTCCGTTCTGTTCGGTACAACTGATGGATTGGCCATCCAAGTATGTGCCTGTCACTGCGGGCCACGAAACTACGACACCATTCTGTCCAGGCAGGGTACACTTGTTAGTAACTGATGGCACAGTTATGCGGGGCTTTGCTGCAGATATCACAAAAGTATTGACTGCGTGTAAGGATTTTGAATGTTCCAAATGCTGCAATAAATCCGCAGGTGGAAAAAAAAAAGAAATTAAAAAAGGAGGGAGACTTAATTTAAACAAATTCAATATTTTGTTGTAGTAGCGCAAAGAATTTGACTGGAGCGTGCTTAGAACCTGTGACCGCATGATCACAGCCTTCAAAACATTCAAAAATGTACACTGCATGAAAACGCCAGGAGGGGCTTTCAAGTACATCGAACATGTCTGAGTCTTTTCATCGACGAGTGGATCATTGCTTTTATTCCAAACTTCCTACGAGTGAATCAATGCCAATGTTTGCAAATTGAGTCACTTGGTATATTTATTTGTCGACATCAATTGTTTTACCAGCATTACTCAGAAGCCTTCACTGTTAACTTATGCAAGCTGTGGGCATGAGTTATGAATCCAAAGGCTCACTCTCAGTGTACCTAGTACATATGCCCTCTGCAAAACCTAGTGTCAAAGCTTGAGTAATACATTCAAATTGAACGGTTATCTAATGTCAGAGAGTCATTTTACATATCAACTCTTTTTTCTCATACCAATGCATGAAACGGTGGCAAGTAATCAGAAGGCACAAGCCGTTATAATTTCACTAGTGCGAACTGCCGACTTCACAACACTGGTTTTAACAAAATAGGAAAAAAATATTGTTGTTATGTAGGCCCCATTTCCAGGCTTTGGCTGTGTCCTTAATCTTGGGACTAGTTCTTACCGAATACATGGAAATCAAAGGTTCCTTGTGCTGTGCATCCTGCATTATTGGCGACAAAGCAAGTGTGTGGGTGCGTGTAGTCCTGCAAGTACCACCAACCCCCTGTGAGAGGCATGGAGATTCCCCACGCTATGCAGACGATTTGGTTGTTGTCGCTGTGCATGGCGGTCACTTGGGGCCATGACACCTGGGCATACACCCACCACGAGATCGCACAACGATCGGCGACGGTTGGCAGGTTAAGAATCGGAGATTCTGAGTGGGTAGAAAAGTGAACAAACGTCCAGGATGACCGATTTTCATTTGATAAGGCACAAATCTGACTAGTCTTCCCACAGTATAGTGCTTGAATGAAAGTGTGGTACTCAAATGTTTTCATTGCCTCCTCTTTTACAGTTGAGGGGTGTACTATAGAGGTTTGGAAATATGTTGCATTGCTATCAGATGGTAATGTAACCCTCAAAGCAATATTCATGTGTATTTTTATAGCGCGCATCTGCACCAGCCTTGGTGCTCAAGGTGCTACATCATTACTATTATTACCCCTGCTCATAGGGCAAATAAACCATTCCACAAAACATCTTCGCTTTTTTTCGAGCAAAGCAGCTTAAATAAACCACAAGAACCATGGCTGCCTTCAATGTGGGTCAAGGCACTCCAAATACAATTTTAGTGTACTTTCTCACTTACGTCGGACAGTGAACGAGAATTTGTATGTGCTTTCTTACTTACGTTGGACAGTGAACGAGAAGCTTTCCGAAACTGCACAACCATTGTTGGAGACCTGACAGGTCACGGTGTGAGCGCCCACAGCAAAGGCGATACCGCCACTGAGAGGCACGGCAATTCCTCCTTCACTGCATGAGATGGCTTGTCCGCCCAGGTTGGTGCCAGAGACTGCAGGCCAGCTCACAGTGGCGGTAGCTACACCGAAATCAGTGCACTTGTCGCCCACATTGGGCACTGTTAGAAATGGAGATGCTGCGGACACAACAAATAATACAAATCAAAAGTACTCGCAATGCGGATCTGGATGAAGTTTAATCCTTTACATGTTTCCAGGCTCCATCCTCAACCGTCATGTCTGTTATTCCCTGCACTCCGCCACTGCTTGTTTTTATAGCCGGATCATCAGGGAATAAATACAATGTAATTACAATGTAGTACACGTGTTCATTGAACTGCACGTTCTGTGGCCAACTGTCAAAGCGAACTGATTCCCAGTGTTGTAGTACTCGTACTCGAGTACTTTTCTTTGGAGTACTCGTACTCGTAATCGTACTCAAATGTCAAGTACTCGTACTCGAAATGACGGTGCTCGTACTTGGGCAGCAAAGTTCTCGTACTCGAACAGCAGTACTCGTGGGAAATGGTATAGCCTGAATTTATACACCATGGCCTTATTTTATTGATACTTTCAGTTTGAAATGGTTGATTGGTTTGTGGAGAAATCGAAGTTTCCTGATTTTCCTCTGTACACGTCCAGACAAACACAACAGCTAGCCGTGATTGAGTCTGCATATCGGTCTGATTGGGTCTGGGCCAATTATTACGCACAATCAACCATTTGCCGTATGTCCGTATTCGGAATACAAGTGCTTGTACTCGTACTCGGAAGTAAAGTACTCGTACTCTACTCGTACTCGAAAGTATAAGTACTCGTACTCGGAGACCTGTTCTTGTACTCGGAGGTACAACTACTCGTACTCGTACTCGTACTCGGCTACCTAAGTACTCGGCAGTACTCGGTACTCGGAAAAAGTACTCGACTACAACACTGCTGATTCCACACAAATAGCATACTTAAGGGGGAGTACAACAGATCATAAGGCTTTCCTGGACTAGCTGGACCCAAAATGTGTAGTTGATGACATGTTGTTTTCTAATACAACGTAGATAAGCGGTTTTGCTGCCTTATTTAATTGTTTGGAGTACCCGTCTTCCTCACAGACTAAGATAACATAGGTGCAAGTCTCACCTACAACAACAACTGCGAAGCTTTTTGTTGCCGTGCAACCACCGTTATTGGTAACTGTGCAGGTTACGGTGTGACTTCCTACCGGGAAGTTACTTCCAACCAGAAGCACAGGCAATCCAGCTGATGCACACTGAATGGTTTGACCGTTGGTATTGGTGCCAGTAACTGAACCCCATGACACTGTAGTTGTCACCTGATTTGGAATGGTGCAATGAACAGGGACCACGGGCACTGAAATTGATGGTGAAGCTATTGGGAGAAAAGAACAACACAAAAAGAGTGCAATTTTAAATTCAAAAACACTTAGATGCGGGTGTTTTCTGTGTTTTACACATTTAGTTGAGGTTGTTTATCAGGTAAGATGGAAGCGTAAAGACAAGTAGTAAAATGGGCATGGATATTGTAGCACACAGTTTAATGTCATCACACCTGATGCAATAAATAATCCAAAATCAAACAGTCACCTCTTAACTGTTTTACTTATGATAGAAGGATGTCTTCATCCACTGTTTGAGGTTATATCCTGTGAGAAGCAAATTCTTTCATGAACTGTTAGAGATGTATTTTTTTTAGCCAACGACATAAAAAAATACACCAACTACAGAACATAATGTTTTATACCTGACACAAAGAATGTAAAGCTTCTTGAGCCTGAGCAGCCATTGGAATTGGTTACACTGCAGGTGATTATGTGTGATCCTACTCCAAAGGTTCCACTAGAGGTCGACACTCCAGTTCCATCTCCAGAATCAGAACAAGTGATGCTTGCACCCACAGTATCGGTGGCAGTCACAGTGGTCCATGCCACAGTTTTTGTAGTGGAGCCTTCATCGGTACACTGCTGACCCACCGTTGGCACGGTCACAGATGGAGAAGCTGTGTCAATCACAATGTGTTAAATGACAAATATGTATTATTTTCAAAATGTGATACACGAAAAGTTTGAAAGAAAAAACTATTGGAACTAGAACTGTGGTCTCTGGAATACTGCACAGGTGCTCTTTCAACTGGACTTTTGAGATCTCTCTTTACAGTCTTCTAATTTGTTGATGTCTTGACTTGGGTAAGGCGAACAGGGATCACTCATGAAGGATAATATTGGGGGTTTTTAACAGTAAAAGGGAACGCAAGAGGAGCCAATATAATAAGTATTAGGTTGTATGTATACGAATGGACTGGAGCGGAACTCAAACATCAATAAACCTTAACTGGTGCTTAGCCAGCTACTTAGCTATCAAACCCAATGGTGGCAGTATCCTAATGTCTTGGCTATGCTGGCAAAATTTTCAGACGACGACGGGATCTATTTTCACAGCACTTTGGCCAATTGACATGAATATAGACATGTTCAATACCTGCTACAACAAACGTGAAGCTATTGGAGCCTGTGCAACTGCCAGAATTAGTTACAGTGCACGTGACTGTATGCGATCCTACTCCAAAGGTTCCACCAGTGGTTGTCACACTAGCTCCATCTCCAGAATCACTGCAAGAGATGCTCCCTCCCGCAGCATTGGAGGCAGTTACGGCTGGCCAAGTTACAGAGGCTGTAGATCCACTAACAGCTGCACACGTAGAACTCACCGTTGGCACATTCACAATAGGTGTCGCTGTATAAATGACCATTAATTGACCAGCATCAATCAGTTTCAATTTTGAAAATTACAAGACATTATGCCAAGAAAAGATTTGCGTTGAGGATGAAATTGCTTTTGATACAATAATTCATACTTCAAAAGAACAAATGGTCCTGTTCCCGTCTTCATGGCCGAGTTGTGCATTTAAGTGTTATGTATCGAAAAAAAATGTAAATTATGCATACATCGAAAAAAATAGCATATTGGCGTACGAAGCCAACCTAGCTTTCAGAAGCTACGTTAAATCACACTTGACAAAATGATTTCGTGACAGAACTTTAAAAAGAAACAAAGACAGATATTACAATTACCACAGGTGGATGTTCCTTGAGTGGAGGTAAGTCGTGCTGCTTCTGTATTTGGTGTTTCTGGTGGGGGTTGAACGAGAAATATGAAATTAGATCTATATTGATGACTATTTCCAGGCACTAATTGGTCTTTAAACGTATGTACCTAAACGTGGGCAAACACATATTTTGTTTGCATTCATAAATAACTTCCGATAAATTTTTTTTATCGAGTTACATAAAAGATGGTGTTTGTTTCTGGAATGGTTGTTTGAAGTTCAGTGACATAACAAATGAGAGCAAAAGCGGGGTAATGTGGTCCAATGGTTACGCTTTTCGATTCGTGTGCTTAACAATATGCCAGTTTGTCATTACTTTGGTACTGACTCAAGGTTGGTACTGACTCAAGTACATGTACAACACTGGAAGGCTATAGGAGGAGATCTAAGGGCCAGAATTACTGTCAACACTAGTTTGCTTGGACAACAAATCAACCTTTTTTTTGTTTTTGTTTATTTCCTTCTGGTAATGAAACCAAGGATTCCTCAAAAATACCCTAAGCACTGTAGCTTGAAGCCTGAAAAAACCTGTAGAGAGAAGCCAATGAGAAGAAATTACAGTTTTAGAGGTGGGAGGAAAAGCCCAGAAAAATATTCTGAGGAAAACCCCCGGAATCAGGTAAGAACTGAAAACCCAATCCACATATTGGCCCGGGCGGGATTCGAACCCGGGTAACAGCGGTGGAAGGTGAGGAAAGTACCGCTACGCCAACCTGACTCCCCCAATGTTCGAATATATGTATCAAGAACGAATGACTGAATGGAGTAAATTCTGAATTGGATTCAGTGGTTAAATAGGTCTTGATTCTGGGATAAAGGTTTTTTGCAAAAGGTGTGTGTAAGTTTAGGAGTGATGGTGTTTTCAGCATCATACTTTTTTTCTGAATTAGAGTTGAAAATCTTGCAGTGCGTTTTTGATTATTAAAGTGCAATACTTGTTTATGGAGTGGTAGTTCGTTGTTCTGTTACACAATAAATCAGAGAAAATGTGTCTGAGGTGATTTTACCTGAAGTAGTGGCTGGTGTTGCTGTTAGAGGTCCATCTACGGCGGTAGTTGTATGAATGGTGGTTGGTCCTGAAGTGGTGCTTGATACAGGAGTTGTGGATGTTAATGGAGGGGTGTTTGATACTGTTGTATCAGCCAGTGTTTCAGTCGTGCTTGAAACTGTCGCTTCTGTCAGTTCTTCAGAACAAAATAGTTATTCCTCATTACGCAAGGAGTTTAGGAGTGATGACGTTTTCAGCATCATTGGTTTGTTCTTATATATTGGAAATCTTGCATTGCGATTTTGGTTATTGAACGCGAGCTACATAAAGTACAATACTTGTCTCTGGAATGGTAGTTCTTTGTTCCGATACGAAACAAATGAGAGAAAAGTTTGAGGTGATATTACCTGAAGTGGTGATCGGGGTTGTTGAAGGAGGTCCATCTGCGGTGGAAGTTGTTGGAATGGTGGTTGATCCTGAATTGGTGCTTGATACTGGAGTTTTGGATGTTACTGGATTGGTGCCTGATACTGTTGTATCAGACAGTGTTTCAATCGTGCTTGAAACTGTCGTTTCGGTCAGTTCTTTAGAAAGAAAAGGTTTTCTTCTCATTAGGCAAGACATATCAACGACTGAATTCTTAATAAAGCCTTAATATGACACTTCGAATTTCTGATTTCTTGACACTGGTGATTCTTTGCTATGACTTACTAAATTTGTGAAAGGATCTCAATCAATTTTTTTATTTCAAGATTGTATTGGAAAAGTTGGAATATTTTAACAGGATCTTCATTTTGACTTGGCACACTGGTCACCGCTTTTTTGTCCATGAGACCTGAACACTCCTCCACCTCGCAGAGTGCTTCTCAGAATACATGCATGTGGCTGTCAATCGAAGCAGACCAAAAAAAACACCAACTGGTTTACCCCTAATATTTCTTCTCCCATATGTCATATATTAAAGCATGGCAGTTAAACTTAAATCTTACCGATTACACCGAATGTGAAGTATGTTGATGCCGTGCAACCACCATTATTGGTCACAGTGCAGGTTACATTATGAGACCCCACTGGAAAGTCTCCTCCTGTGACTGTCACATTGGTTCCTCCTGCATCATCCGTACAAGTTATTGCCTGACCATCTGAGTTGGTTGCGTTCACTTCATCCCATGTCACTGGAATGGATGCTTGGCCAGGTGCAAGGTGATGATCATCAACAGTTGGTACGGTAAATATCGGAATTGCTGTAAGGCAAAATATAAAATATGAATTTTTTTTTTTCAATCACACTCCATCGAACAACCAGTATTGCACGTATTAACTTGATAAAATATGTAAAAGATGCGTTTGACGGGGTTTTCTCAAATACACATTAAAATGTATCCAGTTATTACATTTGCAGAGGTTGTTGCAATTGGCCCACTATTAACGTTTTTAAGTCAGTTGATATAGACAGATGGACAAGTTCGCTTCGCAATATGAATTTTAGCATCCATCATTTATTGGGGGAGGGTGTATTTACTGCAGGGCATTATCAGTCTGACAGCCAAGTTTAAATCTTATTTTGATAAAATACTTTTAAGTTGTCATGTCAGTCCAATTTATACACAGATCAAATGATTGTCGTACCTATAATATAGAAATAGAACGATTCTTCTATCTTGCATCCACAAGGGAGAGTAATAATGCAGGTCACTGTGTGACATTCTACTTCAAATGACCCTCCTGTCAGAGACACCACGTTTCCTTCAGCGTCCGTGCAACTGATGTTCTCCGCAGAAATGTTTGTGGCAGTGACTTCGTCCCATGTGACAGAAACTGGAGCTTCAGCTGCATCAATGCATTGATCTTCAACAGTTGGAACGGTGACAACTGGCGGTTCTCCATCTTCAACAAAAAATAATATGAGTTTGTCAGATTCAGTGTGAACAATTTGTATTGTTTAATTATAAAAATATTAATACTAATAATTTACAGAGATTTAAATAATGTGCACAGTATCTGGAGGATCATTCAAAGGCGCCAGTCAGTAGTACATTACTTGGTTCAAATGAAATACTAAAAAAGGTGAGTCTTGAGATTTTAATTATCAAATTTCGAGCTCTACTATGCAATGTCCTTATTTCATTCTGTAAGCATGACGTAATGCGTTAGTTACAGGGATATATACATCTAGCGTTATTCCTTTTGAATAGAGAATTCAAATCTTTGTTGCACCAACAATCATCACTAGTACCGTAATATTCTCCTCGTCTCGAAGTTTGGGTGACACTTTGTGCGTAACGTTTCTATATGTGGGCAACACAAACCATTAAGTTGACAATTTGCTTACGCCGTATTGTTTTCACTACCTTTTGGAGAAGGAATTTTGTTGTTGCAAATAGCTTAAAAATCTTAGTAGGGAAAAAGAAATTCTCGAATATAGATTTCCATGAGGGTAGGATAAGGTGTAATTGGGCTTAAATTTACAGTATTCAGAAGAATTATTGTATTTTTTTTATTATTGTAGTAATAATTATTACCGGTAATTGGGTGTTAGGGGGACAGTCCAGTAGACTTGAGCACACATTCTCCTCCCAACTTTAATGACCCCTAACCCCAATTGTACCTACCCCCTCAAATGTTGGTATGTTTACGAATTGGAGCACGTGCCATTGAACAAGCCTATTTGTGACACTAAAATGTTGCCTCTAAAAGAAAGCTTTGGCATCAGGCAGACATTCAAATGTCTCCCTCATTCCACATGTCTCCCAAAGTTATAACTTATGACGCTAAAGTGTCTTCGAAAGGTTACACTTGTGGCTGTGTTAATTAATCACAGGAAATGGTACCTACTGTATGAAGGAAATTTCCATAAAAATGTGCAAACAATCTTGAACTTTAATGATCCCTCACCCGATAACTTTCTAATGAAAGTCCAGATAAAAACGCCAGGTATTGACAAAGTTTCCTTGGGGGGGGGGGGGATGATGTAATTTATTTTATTTCTTACGCCTTCAAACTTCTATGCATCCTTTTACACGTGTACTGTTATCCTGACGCCCACTTATTATTTTATATTTGATTTAATAAAGGATATTAATATATAATTATAAATATAATGACATCACTTACAACATTGGCAGATGGTTGTTACTGGGGTGGTGGTTGGTACTGTAGTGGGAGGTCCATCCGGGGTGGAAGATGTTGAAACTGTTGTTGATACCACAGTAGTAGTTAACCCCGAAGTGGTGGATGTTACCGGAGCGATAGTTGATACGTGAGCGGTGGTTGGTCCTGGAGCGGTGGTTAATTCTAGGGACATATAAAATGTGCCAAGAGTTCATAAGTAACAATTTAACAATATTCCAGTTTGCCATAAGTTTGATACTGACTCAAGGTTGGTGCTGAATCAAGTACATGTACAACACTGGAAAGCAATAAAAGCGCGATCGAAGGGCCGGAATAACTGTCAACACTACTGAGCTTGGACAACAAATCAACATAATGTTTGTATAAAGAACACCCGGCAGAATGGAGTTAATTCTGAATTGGAGGTCAGTGGTTAAATAGGTCTTGATTCTGGAATAATGGGGTTTTTTTTGCAAAGGTGTAAGTTTAGGAGTGATGGCGTTTTCAGCACCATAGATTTGTTCTGAGATAGTTGCAAATCTAGACTTGCTTTTTGGTTAAAAGCAAAATTAATACAGAAATATACTTGTTTCGGGAATGCTAGTTCGTTGTCCCGATACAAAACAAATAAAAGAAATGTGTTTATATGAGATGATCTTACCTGAAGTGGTGGCAGGTGTTGTTGTGGATGGGCCATCTACGATGATAGTTGTTGGAATGGTAGTTGATCCTGAAGTTGTGCTTGATACAGGAGTTGGGGATGTCACTAGAGAGGTGCTTAATACTGTTGTATCAGGCAATGACTCATCAGTTGTATTTGACACGGTTGTTTCTGTCAGTTCTTTAGAATAAAAATAATTCATTATTAGATAAGACTTCACACTGACTGAAAGAAAAGAACCTATCGCATTTCAAAAGTGTGATTGATTGACAATCATACATACATGTATAAAGAACACTCGGCTAAATGGAGTAGGTTCTGAATTTGAGGTCAGTGGTTAAATAGATGTTGATTCTGGAATAATGTGTTTGCAAAAGGTGTAAATTTAGGAGTGATGGCGTTTTTAGTGCCATAGGTTAATTCTTTGAAGGTTGCAAATCTAGCATTGCTTTTTGGTTTTTGAAAGCGAAATACATAAAGAACATTACTTGTTTCTGGAATGGTAGTTCGTTGTTCCGATACAAAACGAATGAGAGAAAAACGTGTTTGAGATGATCTTACCTGAAGTGGTAGCTGGAGTTGTTGAGGGAGGTCCATCTACGATGATAGTTGTTAGAATATTGGTTGATCCTGAAGTGGTGCTTGATACAGGAGTTGTGGATGTTACTGGATTGGTGCTTGATACTGTTGTATCAGACAGAGTTTTAGTCGTGCTTGAAACTGTCGTTTCGGTCAGTTCTTCAGAAAAAAAGGGTTTTTTTTCTCATTAGGCAAGACATATCAACGACTGAATTCTTAATAAAGCCTTAATATGACACTTCGAATTTCAGATTTCTTGACACTGGTGATTCTTTGCTATAACTGACTCAATTCGTGAAAGGATCTCAATCAATTTCTTTTTTTCAAGATTGTATTGGAAAAGTTGTAATATTTTAACAGGATCTTCATTTTGACTTGGCACACAGGTCACTGCTTTTTTGTCCATGAGACCTGAACACTCCTCCACCTCGCAGAGTGCTTCTCAGAATACATGCATGTGGCTGTCAACCGAAGCAGACCACACAAAAACACCAACTGGTTTGCCCCTAATATTTCTTCTCCCATATGTCATATATTAAAGCATGGCAGTTAAACTTAAATCTTACCGATTACACCGAATGTGAAGTATGTTGATGCCGTGCAACCACCATTATTGGTCACAGTGCAGGTTACATTATGAGACCCCACTGGAAAGTCTCCTCCTGAGACTGTCACATTGGTTCCCCCTGCATCATCCGTACAAGTTATTGCCTGACCATCTGAGTTGGTTGCGTTCACTTCATCCCATGTCACTGGAATGGATGCTTGGCCAGGTGCAATGTGCTGATCATCAGCAGTTGATACGGTAAATATCGGAATTGCTGTAAGCCAAAATATACAATGTTAAGTATTTGTTTTTCAATCATACTCCATCGAACAACCAGTATTGCATGTATTAACTTGATAAAATATGTAAAAGATGCGTTTGGTAGGGTTTTCTCAAATACACCTTAAAATGTATCCAGTTATTACATTTGCAGAGGTTGTTGCAATTGGCCCACTATTAACGTTTTTTTTAAGTCAGTTGATATAGACAGATGGACAAGTTCGCTTTGCAATATCAAATTTTAGCATCCATAATTTCTTGGGGGAGGGTGTATTTACTGCAGGGCATTATCAGTCTGACTCTGACACCAAAGGTTATTTTTTATTTTGATAAAATACTTTTTAGGTGTCATGTCAGTCCCATTTATACACAGATCAAATGATTGTCGTACCTATAATATAGAAATAGAACGATTCTTCTATCTTGCATCCACAAGGGAGAGTAATAACGCAGGTCACTGTGTGACATTCTACTTCAAATGACCCTCCTGTCAGAGACACCACGTTTCCTTCAGCGTCTGTACAACTGATGTTCTCGACAGAAATGTTTGTGGCAGTGACTTCGTCCCATGTGACAGAAACTGGAGCTTGAGCTGCATCAATGCATTGATCTTCAACAGTTGGAACAGTGACAACTGGCGATTCTCCATCTTCAACAAAAATAATATGAGTTTGTCAGATTCAGTGTGAACAATTTGTATTAATACTAATAATTTACAGAGATTTATATAAGGTTTTAATGCAAGTCCGGATAAAAACGCCAGGTATTAACAATGCTTCCTTTTTGGGGGAGGGGGGGGGTGATGTAATTTATTTTATTTCTTACGCCTTCAAACTTCAATGCATCCTTTTCCACGTGTACTGTTATCCTGACGCCCACTTATTATCTGATATTTGATTTAATAAAGGATATTAATATATAGTTATAAATATAATGACATCACTTACAACATTGGCAGATGGTTGTTACTGGGGCGGTGGTTGGTACTGTTGTGGGAGGTCCATCCGGGGTGGAAGATGTTGAAACTGTTGTTGATACCACAGTAGTAGTTAACCCCGAAGTGGTGGATGTTACCGGAGCAATAGTTGATACGTGAACGGTGGTTGATCCTGGAGCGGTGGTTAATTCTAGGGACATATAAAATGTGCCAAGAGTTCATAAGTAACAATTTAACAATATTCCAGTTTGTCATAAGTTTGATACTGACTCAAGGTTGGTGCTGAATCAAGTACATGCACAACACTGGAAAGCTATAGAAGGGCGATCGAAGGGCCGGAATTACTGTCAACACTACTGAGCTTGGACAACAAATCAACATAATTATGTATAAAGAACATCCGGCAGAATGGAGTTAGTTCTGAATTGGAGGTCAGTGGTTAAATAGGTCTTGATTCTGGAATAAAATAGTTTTTTTGGCAAAGGTGTAAGTTTAGGAGTGATGGCGTTTTCAGCGCCATAGATTTGTTCTGAGATAGTGGCAAATCTAGCCTTGCTTTTTGGTTAAAGGCAAAATTAATACAGAACAATACTTGTTTCTGGAATGTTAGTTCGTTGTCCCGGTACAAAACAAATAAAAGAAATGTGTTTATATGAGATGATCTTACCTGAAGTGGTGGCAGGTGTTGTTGTGGATGGGCCATCTACGATGATAGTTGTTGGAATGGTAGTTGATCCTGAAGTTGTGCTTGATACTGGAGTTGGGGATGTCACTAGAGTTGTGCTTAATACTGTTGTATCAGGCAATGACTCATCAGTTGTATTTGACACGGTTGTTTCTGTCAGGTCTTTAGAATAAATAATTCATTATTAGATAAGACTTAACGCTGACTGAAATAAAAGAACCTATCGCATTTCAAAAGTGTGATTGATTGACAATCATACTTACATGTATAAAGAACACTCGGCTAAATGGAGTAGGTTCTGAATTTGAGGTCAGTGGTTAAATAGATGTTGATTCTGGAATAATGTTTTTGCAAAAGGTGTAAATTTAGGAGTGACGGCGTTTTCAGTGCCATAGGTTAATTCTTTAAAGGTTGCAAATCTAGCATTGCTTTTTGGTTTTTGAAAGCAAAATACATAAAGAACATGTTTCTGGAATAGTAGTTCGTTGTTCCGATACAAAACGAATGAGAGAAAAACGTGTTTGAGGTGATCTTACCTGAAGTGGTAGCTGGAGTTGTTGAGGGAGGTCCATCTACGATGGTAGTTGTTGGAATAGTGGTTGATCCTGAAGTGGTGCTTGATACAGGAGTTGTGCTTAATATTGTTGTATCAGGCAGTGACTCATCAGTCGTGATTGACTCGGTTGTTTCGGTCAGTTCTTTAGAAGAAAAAAAATCGCCATTAGATAAGACTTAACATTGACTGAAATAAAAGAACCTACCACATTTCAATTGATTGACACTGCCAAAAATAATTGTTTTTAGTGACTCAATTTGTAAAAGAATAACGATCAAACCCTTGATTTTAACACTCCTGTGTTTGGACAAGAAAATCAACATACATGTATCAAGAACACACGGCTGAATGGAGCACGTTCTGAATTGGAGTTAAGTGGGTTGAACAGGTGTTGATTCTGTCTTTTTTTTCTTTTCTTTTTTGCAAAATGGTGTGTTTAAGTTTAGGAGTGATGACGTTTTCAGCATCATATGTTTGTTCTGAGATAGTTGAACATCTTGCATTGCTTTTCGCTTATTGAAAGCGAGTTACATAAAGAACAATACTTGTTTCTGGAACGGTAGTTCGGTGTTTCGTTACAAAACAAAAGAGAGAAATTGTGTTTAAATTGATCTTACCTGAAGTGGTGTCCGGGGTTGTTGAGGGAGGTCCATCGCCGGTGGAAGTTGTTGGAATGGTGGTTGATTCTGAAGTGGTGTTCGATACTGGAGTTGTGGATGTTACTGGAGGGGTGATTGATACTGTTGTATCAGACAGTGACTCAGTCGTGGTTGCCACGGTTGCTTCGGTCAGTTCTTCAGAAGAAAAAAAATCCCATTAGACAACAAATCTTAACAATGGCTGAATTTTAAAAAAAAAAATAATAATAATATGGCACTTCAAATTTCTAATTTGTTGACACTGCTGATTCTTATCTATCACTGACTCAATTTGTAAAAGGATCACAATCAAACTCTGGATTTCAAGATTGTATAAGATAACTCGGAGTATTTTAAAGAGATCTTCATTTTGACTTTGCACACTGGTCACCGTTTTTTTTTTCCCATGCGACCTTAACACTATTCCACCTCGCAGAGTGCTTCCAGGAATAATTGCTTCTGTGCCGTCAATCAAAGCAGACAAAAAATTAAAACTGGTGTTACACCATGTATTTCTCCTCCCATATGTTATAGATTGAAACGTGTGAATGAAAATTAAATCTTACCGATTACATCGAACGTGAAGTATGCTGATGTCGTGCAACCACCATTATTGGTCACAGTGCAGGTTACATTATGAGACCCTGCTGGAAGGTCTCCTCCTGTGACTGTCACACTGGTTCCCCCTGCATCATCCGTACAATTTATTGCTTGACCATCCGTGTAGGTTGCATTCACCTTATCCCATGACAACGGAATCGATGCCATGCCAGGCGCAATGTACTGATCATCAACAGTTGGTACGGTAAAAGTCGGAATTGCTGTGAATCAAAATATACAATCTTCACAAATGATTTGAATCATACAATTGCACTCCAGTTAATTCGTCGTTTGCCTTGCAGATGGGCATAATGCGCGAACGTGTAAGAAAACTGCCTCTATTTTATTGAGATTTAAGCATTTCAATCGGAAAATAACACAAGTTGTTCCAAAAATCATAATTCATACGTGTGGACAATTTAGAATTCGTGCAATATATAAAAATCGCAGGGGAGAACAGGTGATTTAAAGCACACATTGGTAATAATGGAGCTGTTCGATGCAATTTACTTCAAAAGCAATGTTTGCGTCAGCACGCTCATTCGCCCTTCTGTCGGGCACCAGACAAATTATTGAACCGGCGGTACTGCATTTATTAAAAATTGTATGATTAAAAACAACTTATTTGAAAGAGTATTAAAATTTTGCTGTTGACAGGGTTATCTGAAATAACCCTGGTAACATTGTACTCAATGATGAAATTAATCATCATGGATTTTTGACCTACCATATGCATTTCTCAATCTATTTATTTTGACAGATGGACAAGTGCACTTGACAATAGAAATGTTTACGTACCAAAATTCCCTTGTTGGTTTTCAATCTGGAGTATTATCAATCTGACACCCAAGGCTGGTTTTAATTCCATTTACAGATTGTTTTAGCCTGCCACGTCGGCCAAATTTATACACAAATCATATGATAGTCGTACCTATAATATAGAAATAGAAGGTTTCTTCTATTTTGCATCCACAAGGGAGAGTAATAACGCAGGTCACTGTGTGACATTCTACTCCAAATGAAGCTCCAGTCAGAGACACCACGTTTCCGTCAGTGTCTGTACAACTGATGTTTTCAGCAGAAATGTTTGTGGCAGTTACTTCGTCCCATGTGACAGAAACTGGAGCTTGAGCTGCATCAATGCATTGATCTTCAACAGTTGGAACAGTGACAACTGGCGGTTCTCCATCTTCAACAAAAATAATATAAGTCTGTCAGCTTCATAATAATAATTATTATTATTAACAGAAAATTATATAAGGGGCACAGTATCTGGAGGACCATTCAACGGCGCCAGTCACTAGCTGATCACTTGGCTTAAATGAAAGACTGGAAAGGGAGTCTTGGAATTTCAGTTATCCAATTTTAAGCTCGACTATGCAATGTCCTTACTTCATTCTCTAAGCATAACGTAATGCGTTTGTTACAAGGATAAATACATCTAGCTGTTCCTTTATTTATTTTGAATTGAGAATACAAATATTTGTCGGAACAAAAATTGTCACTAGTAATATTATCGTCGTTTCGATGTTGGGGTGACACTTTGTCCTTAACGTTTCTATATAAGGGCAACACAAACCACAAAAATGACAATTTGATTCCCTATATTGCTTTCGCTACCATTATTTGGAGAAGGAATGCTTTTGTTGCAAAACAAGCTTAGTTGGGAAGAGAAACTCTCGAATATGGAGTTTCGTGCAACCGAACTAGGCTAATCTTACAATAACAATTTGCATCTAAATAGAAGCTGTGGCATCAGGGAGACATTGAGATTTCTCCCTTATTCCACATGTCTCCTAAAGGTTTAACTTACGACGCTAAAGTATCTCTTGTGGTTGTAATAATCACGGGAAATTGTACCTTTTGTATGAAGAAATTCCCATACAAATTTGCACACAATCTGTACCATTAATGCCACCTCACCCAAATTTCCACTTAACTTTCCCCAATACATTTTTGTACATTTATGTTTTGCACCATCAGCAATTGATCAAGGTAGTTTGTGACTTTAAAAGTGAACCTGACAGGGAAACATTGAAATATCTCCTGAATCTACCTGCTAGTCTCCCTGAGGTATATTAAATAAATAAATAAATATACTGTACCAGTCTAGGTTGATGTTGAACTGATAACCACAATATGACTCACAATCGAGCAAACTTTGGTGACTTAATCCTTCATAATTGCTGAAATAAATTGTTTTTCGTGAAGCGTCTTTTCATTGGCCAGATATTCACAGCTGTCAAAGCTGTCATCAATACAAATAATCATAATTTCTTATCAGCTTGCGTAAGGCTGTTTACCAATGAATTATATATTTCCTTCATATTGAAATTAGCAGATGAATACTGGTTCGACTTAATATCACTTCATTTTTTCCAGCACAGAAGTATTCAAGTTTCTTGTTAAGAATACTTCATGACAGTCCGGGGGAAAAAGCGACACTGCGATCAGGACTATCACACCTCTATCCCGCTATGCACCATTATAGCATATCTGCAAACGGGCTTCCGCAAATTTTTGGACCAGTAAAGGTCCGAATCCATCATTTGTGTCTTTTTATAGCACATCTGCTAAGCCTTTTTAAGTGAAATAGCCCAGGTGAAATAGCCCCTCTTTTGAGCATTCCTAAATAGTGGAAGATGTTAGAGGAAGATTCAAGATGACGGTGGACTATATTATTAGATGCTAGAAAACCTCTTGTGTTTGAAAGGACGTGAAATGCTGGAGTTGAAGTAAAGATGAACATGCCTTTGTTTACTTCGTCCCTAAATGCTAGTAGATTAATATTTGCCCTACATTTTGAACAATAACGAATTTAACTGACAGAAATTTCTTTCAAAAGTGATGTAGCAGATATGCTAATGTTGGTGACAATGTCAGTATTTGTACATTATGTCATGTATGCAAACGCGAGAATTGGAAAGTTCACAAACTGCTGTATGGTCTTAGGTCATACCAGGTTTCTTGACATTACTTATTTAAAAGGTAACTAACCACATTGGCAGGCGGTGGTTGACATTGCAGTACCAGTAGATCCTGCAGTGGAAAATGTTACTTGATTGGTGGTGGTGTATCCTGGAGGGGTGGTGTCTCCTAGAGAGGTGGTGTTTCCTAGAGGGGTGGTGTCTGGAGGAGTGGTGTCTGGAGGGGTGGTGTCTGGAGGAGTGGTGTCTGGAGGAGTGGTGTCTGGAGGAGTGGTGTCTGGAGGAGTGGTGTCTGGAGAGGTGGTGTCTGGAGGAGTGGTGTCTGGAGGAGTGGTGTCTTGAAGGGTGGTGTCTGGAGGGGTGGTGTCTGGAGGGGTGGTGTCTGGAGGAGTGGTGTCTGGAGGAGTGGTGTCTGGAGGAGTGGTGTCTGGAGGAGTGGTGTCTGGAGGAGTGGTGTCTGGAGGTGTGGTGTCTGGAGGGGTGGTTTCTGGAGAGGTGGTGTCTGGAGGGGTGGTGTCTGGAGGGGTGGTGTCTGGAGGGGTGGTGTCTGGAGGAGTGGTGTCTGGAGGAGTGGTGTCTGGAGGAGTGGTGTCTGGAGAGGTGGTGTCTGGAGGAGTGGTGTCTGGAGGAGTGGTGTCTTGAAGGGTGGTGTCTGGAGGGGTGGTGTCTGGCGGGGTGGTGTCTGGAGGGGTGGTGTCTGGAGGGGTGGTGTCTGGATGGGTGGTGCCTGGAGGAGTGGTGTCTGGAGGGGTGGTGTCTAGAGGAGTGGTGTCTGGAGGGTTGGTGCCTGGAGGAGTGGTGTCTTGAGGAGTGGTGTCTGGAGGGGTGGTGTCTAGGGGGGTGGTGCCTGGAGGAGTGGTGTCTGGAGGAGTGGTGTCTGGAGGAGTGGTGTCTGGAGGTGTGGTGTCTGGAGGGGTGGTTTCTGGAGGGGTGGTGTCTGGAGGGGTGGTGACTGGAGGGGTGGTGTCTGGAGGGGTGGTGTCTGGAGGAGTGGTGTCTGGAGGAGTGGTGTCTGGAGGAGTGGTGTCTGGAGAGGTGGTGCCTGGAGGAATGGTGTCTTGAGGAGTGGTGTCTGGAGGGGTTGTGTCTAGGGGGGTGGTGCCTGGAGGAGTGGTGTCTGGAGGGGTGGTGCCTGGAGGAGTGGTGTCTGGAGGAGTGGTGTCTGGAGGAGTGGTGTCTGGAGGAGTGGTGTCTGGAGGGGTGGTGTCTAGAGGCGTGGTGTCCGGAGGAGTGGTGTCTGGAGGGGTGTTGTCTGGAGGAGTGGTTTCTGGAGGGGTGGTGTCTAGGGGGGTGGTGCCTGGAGGAGTGGTGTCTGGAGGAGTGGTGTCTGGAGGAGTGGTGTCTGGAGGTGTGGTGTCTGGAGGGGTGGTTTCTGGAGAGGTGGTGTCTGGAGGGGTGGTGTCTGGAGGGGTGGTGTCTGGAGGGGTGGTGTCTGGAGGAGTGGTGTCTGGAGGAGTGGTGTCTGCAGGAGTGGTGTCTGGAGGAGTGGTGTCTGGAGGGGTGGTGTCTAAAGGCGTGGTGTCCGGAGGAGTGGTGTCTTGAGGAGTGGTGTCTGGAGGGGTGGTGTCTAGGGGGGTGGTGCCTGGAGGAGTGGTGTCTGGAGGGGTGGTGCCTGGAGGAGTGGTGTCTGGAGGAGTGGTGTCTGGAGGGGTGGTGTCTAGGGGGGTGGTGCCTGGAGGAGTGGTGTCTGGAGGAGTGGTGTCTGGAGGAGTGGTGTCTGGAGGTGTGGTGTCTGGAGGGGTGGTTTCTGGAGGGGTGGTGTCTGGAGGGGTGGTGTCTGGAGGGGTGGTGTCTGGAGGGGTGGTGTCTGGAGGAGTGGTGTCTGGAGGAGTGGTGTCTGGAGGAGTGGTGTCTGGAGAGGCGGTGCCTGGAGGAGTGGTGTCTTGAGGAGTGGTGTCTGGAGGGGTTGTGTCTAGGGGGGTGGTGCCTGTAGGAGTGGTGTCTGGAGGGGTGGTGCCTGGAGGAGTGGTGTCTGGAGGAGTGGTGTCTGGAGGAGTGGTGTCTGGAGGGGTGGTGTCTAGAGGCGTGGTGTCCGGAGGAGTGGTGTCTGGAGGGGTGTTGTCTGGAGGGGTGGTTTCTGGAGGGGTGGTGTCTGGAGGGGTGGTGTCTGGAGGGGTGGTGTCTGGAGGGGTGGTGTCTGGAGGAGTGGTGTCTGGAGGAGTGGTGTCTGGAGGAGTGGTGTCTGGAGAGGTGGTGCCTTGAGGAGTGGTGTCTTGAGGAGTGGTGTCTGGAGGGGTTGTGTCTAGGGGGGTGGTGCCTGGAGGAGTGGTGTCTGGAGGGGTGGTGCCTGGAGGGGTGGTGTCTGGAGGAGTGGTGTCTGGAGGAGTGGTGTCTGGAGGAGTGGTGTCTGGAGGGGTGGTGTCTAGAGGCGTGGTGTCCGGAGGAGTGGTGTCTGGAGGGGTGTTGTCTGGAGGGGTGGTGTCTGGAGGGGTGGTTTCTGGAGGAGTGGTGTCTGCAGGGGTGGTGTCTGCAGGGGTGGTGTCTGGAGGAGTGGTGTCTGGAGGAGTGGTGTCTGGAGGTGTGGTGTCTGGAGTGGTGGTGTCTGCAGGGGTGGTGTCTGGAGGACTGGTGTCCGGAGGAGTGGTGTCTGAAGGTGTGGTGTCTGGAGGGGTGGTGTCTGGAGGGGTGGTGTCTGGAGGAGTGGTGTCTGGAGGAGTGGTGTCTGGAGGGGTGGTGTCTGGAGGAGTGGTGTCTGGAGGAGTGGTGTCTTGAAGGGTGGTGTCTGGAGGGGTGGTGTCTGGCGGGGTGGTGTCTGGAGGGGTGGTGTCTGGAGGGGTGGTGTCTGGAGGGGTGGTGTCTGGAGGGGTGGTGCCTGGAGGAGTGGTGTCTGGAGGGGTGGTGTCTAGAGGAGTGGTGTCTGGAGGGGTGGTGCCTGGAGGAGTGGTGTCTTGAGGAGTGGTGTCTGGAGGGGTGGTGTCTAGGGGGGTGGTGCCTGGAGGAGTGGTGTCTGGAGGAGTGGTGTCTGGAGGAGTGGTGTCTGGAGGTGTGGTGTCTGGAGGGGTGGTTTCTGGAGGGGTGGTGTCTGGAGGGGTGGTGTCTGGAGGGGTGGTGTCTGGAGGGGTGGTGTCTGGAGGAGTGGTGTCTGGAGGAGTGGTGTCTGGAGGAGTGGTGTCTGGAGAGGTGGTGCCTGGAGGAGTGGTGTCTTGAGGAGTGGTGTCTGGAGGGGTGGTGTCTAGGGGTGTGGTGCCTGGAGGAGTGGTGTCTGGAGGGGTGGTGCCTGGAGGAGTGGTGTCTGGAGGAGTGGTGTCTGGAGGGGTGGTGTCTAGAGGCGTGGTGTCCGGAGGAGTGGTGTCTGGAGGGGTGTTGTCTGGAGGGGTGGTGTCTGGAGGGGTGGTTTCCGGAGGAGTGGTGTCTGCAGGGGTGGTGTCTGTAGGGGTGGTGTCTGGAGGAGTGGTGTCTGGAGGAGTGGTGTCTGGAGGTGTGGTGTCTGGAGGGGTGGTGTCTGCAGGGGTGGTGTCTGGAGGACTGGTGTCCGGAGGAGTGGTGTCTGAAGGTGTGGTGTCTGGAGGGGTTGTTTCTGGAGGAGTGGTGTCTGCAGGGGTGGTGTCTGCAGGGGTGGTGTCTGGAGGAGTGGTGTCTTGAGGAGTGGTGTCTGGAGGGGTGTTGTCTGGAGGGGTGGTGACTGGAGGGGTGGTGTCTGGAAAAGTGGTGTCTGGAGGGGTGATGTCTGGAGGGATGGTGTCTGGATGGGTGGTGTCAGGAGGGGTGGTGGCAGGAGGGATGGTGTCTGGATGGTTGGTGTCTGGAGGGCTGGTGTCTGGAGGAGTGGTGTCAGGAGGGCTGGTGTCTGGAGGGCTGGTGTCAGGAGGGGTGGTGTCAGGAGGGATGGTGTCTGGATGGGTGGTGTCTGGAGGGGTGGTGTTTTGAGGGGTGGTGTCTTGAGGGTCGGTGCTTGGGGGAATGGAGTCTACAGGGGTGGTTTCTGGAGGGGTGGTGTCTGGAGGGATGGTGTCTGGAGGGGTGGTGTCTCCTGACATGGTGGTGTCTGCTGGAGTGGTAGTGTTCTTAGTATCTGTAAAGCAGGGTGAATAAGAGGGTGAATAAGCAGGATGCCAAAACAACAAAGCTGTCTCAATTTTAAGTAAATAAAATACACAATTCAGTACCTTTAAGGAAGCTTTGACAACAAATTTGGTGGTCCTTATATAACTGTAGACAGGGGCAGGTTTTGGTGGTTGTAACCAATAACTGGTTCGACTGTCTCGCATTGGTTTAGCATTTGAGCAATTTGCGCAATGCAGTAATTCGCTTTTTATTATTTCACAACCACGTTTTCTAAATTATCTGACAAAAGTATCAAACAAAAATGAACGAAAACTTAAGAAGTGAAAGTAAAAATCAGAAAAGCAATGTACAGTTTATAAAAGGGATACAAACTTGTGTTTTTTTGTGTATGTGTAACCAAAAAATCATGTGCAATTGTTTCTCATTGGTCTAGCATTTTAGCAAATTTCAGCAAAAAGTGCGGCTATGCACTTCACAACAAATATTTCAATACAAATTAAAGCTATCGACAAAACAAACACTCAAACTTTACAAGTGAAAGTAAAAAATAAGAAAAACAATTTCCAGCTTGTAAAAAGGCGTATTACTTTTTTTTTGTATTGAACTTTAAAATATTTTGTTATAATATTAGGTACTGCAATATCAGTATAAACAGCATGTATATATTTTCAATAACAACTTAATAATTAGGGTATGAAAATTCATGAGTTCTGAAAACTTGAATTTTAATAAACATGCAATCAGAAAGTTGACAGGTGAAGCTCACTTTCTTAGATTTGCCACAGCCAGAAAAAATGTAGAGTCACTACTCAGTCTTACCGATGATTTCGATGGTGAACATGCACGTATCTGAGTTCCCAGCGGCATCAGACACAGTGCAGGTGACTGTCGTTGTGCCTAAATCGAATGTGCCACCTGACATCACCTGATTGCTGTCACCATCTGTACAACTTATGTCACTTGCAGTTAAGGTGTCCACATTATCCGTAGCCGACGGTGCTGGTGACCACGTAACTGAAGCAGTCGAAACTCCAGCGTCCGTGGACATGCCCATGACTGAGTTAGGACATGTGATGTTAGGGTTCTCAGTATCTGTAAGGAAGCATGAAATGAAACTGAGGGTGAATAAGCTGAATGCCAAAAACAAAGTTGCCTCTTTTGTAAGTAAATAAAACACACTATTCAGCACCTTTAAAGGGAGCTTTGAAAACAATTTGGTAGTCCTGAATTACTGTAAACAGGTGTATGTTTTGGTGGTCGTTACCAATAACTGGTTCGACTGTTTTCGCAACAAAAAAAATGGAAGTAAACATAACAAAAACAGTGTCCAGCTTGTAAACGGGCTAATTATTTGGGTTTTTATTTTACAAGTTTAAAACATTTGGTTATATGGTTACTTATACTCAAACTCCAATAAGGACACACAAGAAGCGCGTGTGTGTGCCATAGCTTCACGTTTAATTAAGGAAACTTAACCGAAATACCAACAAGAAGAGCAAACCGGAATGACCACGGTAAATCAGCAATGAAAAGTGATATCTCTTACCACTTCATTGTCAATGTATTTAGATAGTGGAGCCCATGACCAGAAACCTCCAACGGCAGAAGTTGTTTTTGCAATCGACAAAGAATGCAAAACTATAAATTTGAAATTTGAAATGCTTTTGTTGTAATTATTTGGAGTTTTTCGGTGCCAGAACATTAATAGACCTTTCGATTCAAACTTTAATTCAACTGTTTAGCTGTATGGGCTCCGCGCACGAGTACCCCCTTCAGGGGACAGAAATGGACAGTTTGGGGAGACCTAGACTGGGGCCCTCGTCCATCCACATCGTATTTCGAGTGATCCAAAGTTATTGGGAACGGGGATTAGTCTGGGAGACCACCACAAGTTAAATTCGAAAGTAATCGAACGAAATTAGCATTGCGCACAATAAGGATAAAAAAATCGTTCATATTTCTAGCGCGAACCAGATTCGGGTATACGCACACGCGGTCTCCCGTCCAAGGGCATAGACATTATGTCTTTGGCCAAGAGGCTCTCGGAAGTGGTAAAAACGCGCCCTCTTTGTTGGCGACGGAGCCCGTGCATGTATATTTGCAAATACATAGTGTTTTTATTCAATACATTTGTAACATCATGAAACTCAATAAATCGAGAATGAGGATCGGTATATCCATGTCTGTCCAACTGGGGATTTGCTTCTCTTGGGAGGAGGAGAAGAAAATATAATAATGTAATTTACGAATAGAAAAACTGAACGGTGAACAGTTTTATTCCTTTAGTAAACATCACACGTGATAGCCAAACCATAGGTTTAATGTACCCCATGGTTCAAACAAAGACTTTCTTTGAAAACCATTCCAGGCGACAGTGAACGTAGACTCACAGATTACTGAAATCCCAGCAATGGGCTATCACTATTATCTCCACCCAAAAGCCTTTGTTCGCCAGCGTATGCCAGCCAACTGCACACAAGGCCGACATCGAGGCCTGAACTATTAGTCACCATATAAAATAAGTATTGGACGCAGTGACTACTAATATTGACTAAATAGCGCTTCGGGCCGTTTGGGACGAAGTCACTTGACGCCATTTTGACGCTCTTTTTGGTCATGACCGCGTGTGTGCGACGGCGACACGGTCTTGTGCACACGCATTTATAAGTCGAAGGACGATCCAGTCAATATTATAGAGATAATTGATCGGTTGTCCCTGTGCCAAATGTAACCGTTCAGAAATTAAAACAAAAAGGAAAATTACATTGAAACATATAACTAATTCCAAGCATTTTCGTTCTTTCTTTAAACTTCGGGCAGAAATTTCAAGCCTAGTATTTATCAAAACCCCTCAACTGTGACCACTTATGCAGTAATTCCCTACTTATATAGTAGTGATCAAAAATTGAATGCATGCATTTGTACACCAAAGTGCCCCATTCAACCTGCCTCTTTTGTTCGCTATAACCTGATGGACTGAACTCAAGTTGACCCCCCCCCCCCCCCCCCACTGAAGGAGAACAATTTTTTTGCGAATTCATTATGACACGAGAAATTTATTTTGCATTACTGAAGGGCAACAGGTTTTCGATTTTGGGATGTTTTGGTGTTGCTCAAGTAAAGGAGCGGCTCAGTTATACAAGTAGGCCTAGAGCCAAGGTGGCATATACATTATGTACATTATGTATTATATTAACTTTTCTTTTAGATGTATATTTTTTTGTTCCCGCTGATATTTATAACATGAAAAAAATGAGTTGAAATTGACCGTGGATAATTTTCTCATCGGCGTAAGACTGTGAACATATATTGTTTTTAGATGTAGACTGTGGATGAGACAATTGAAAAGATAAGACATCTAACATGTTGACGAGAACGCTTGTTACATTTGTTAATAAAGTAACAAAATGAATTGATAACGTATCACCAACCGATCACGTCTCAAACATTAAAATAATAGGCCTACTGTATCACTTACCGATAATGTAACAATTGACTAATACCGTTGCAAATGTAGAGAAAGTATCCGTTCAGTGGTGATTACTTTTTTATCACATCTTCCGTCGACACATAATACATTATCGAATAGAAATTGTACTATAACTACTATAACTATAAGTCAAGTTGTTTTACATGATCGGTTAGCGATACAACATCGGTCAATTTGTTTGGCATTATCGCTTGGTGATAGTTATTCGTTGGTAACTACATTGTCAGCTCTTAATCACCCGGCGACCGGTAGGCTTTTATCGCCAGCCACCAAAAAGCGCTGGATATTTCGGATGACAAGTCTTTCGTTTCTTTTGAAACTGATGTGCATGGTGAAATCAGGCAATGATTTTTCCATGCACACGACGTTTACCTATGTCTTGTACCTCAGTATTTATAATGTTACATGCACATTGTGATCTACATGCGCAAGCTTTCAATGTTAACGAAATGCCGTCCCGCGTTAATGTCGGGCCTACATGTGTGGTCGGATCAGGCAGCCGTGTGGTTGCGACCGTGAAGCGTGCCGGTTGTCATGAGAAGCTAACAGACTACGTACTTAGACGCTGAAGCAGAGCAGTAAAATTCGTGAATCCAATAAAATATGGCCCTTTTGAACGATATTTTTCTCAGAAAATATACTCAGTATGATCAAAAGTTAAATATTATAACGAAAGAACGAATTCTAAAAGTCAAGTCAGCGGCGAGATGGTAATTCGCCGTGGCGAGATGGTTATTCGCCGCGGCAAGATGGTAATTCGCCGAGGCAAGATAGTTATTCACCCCGGCGAAAAAGTAATTCGCCGCGGCGAGATAATAATTCGCTGTGGCGAGATAGGAGCTAAATTTTCCTCAATTTCTCTTGGCCCTTCATCCTTTCCGTACCAGGCGACCGTGAACGTAGACTCACAGATTCCTGTAATCCCAACAATAGGCTATTGCTATCTCCACCCTTTGTTCGCCAGCGTATGCGAGCCCACTGCACATAAGGCCACCATTGAGCCCCGAACTATTAGTCACCATATAAAATAAGTATCGGGTGCACTGACTACTAATATTCACTGAACTAGCGCTTCAGGCCGTTGGGGACGAAGTCACTTGACGCCATTTGGAGGCTCCTTTTGGCCATGGCCGCGTGTGTGCGAGAGTGACACGGTCTTGTGCACACGCATTTATAAGTCGGAGGACGATTCAGTCAGTATAAACCCTCCGGCGCAGAATCTTTTGGGGACCCAATTTGGTTAATTACCTTAATTAAAAAAAAAAATCAAACCAATTCTGGTGATCTTCCATCTAATCCTAGCAAGAGACACCCTCTACGGATATATGCAGTCACCTTTAGTGTGTGACCCCGGGTCAGGCATATCTGAGCCTGACAACCTGGACTAAGGACCGACGCAATTTCTGCCCATCCGGGGACCCACCATATACACGCGCACAAAACAACTCCGACGCAATTTCTGCCCACCCGGGGACCCACCATATACACGTGCACGAACAAGGTCACTTGCGAGTAGACAGTGCACGGCTTGACCACAGACTATGTACACCTCCTTAGTCTACACACATGGCAAGATTGTGTTCATGTGGATACAGTGTTGTGTAGCCTCAAACCGTGGCGCTAAATATTTGGGTCCCCGGGGGACCCCTTACTGTCAGTGTGTTACTAAATGGGCTTTCTGCGTCGGCGGGTTAAGAGAGAGCAGTGATAGGTTGTCCCTGTGCCAAATGATTACAAGCCAACGCTTATTAAAGCCCGTCATATCAGATTTTCCGGAATGATCGACAAACCGATACCTCCTGTAAGGGTGCGTTCCTATAGCCATTAAATCAAATCTTATGGGTAAAGAAGAACCTGATCAGAACACAGACTGTAAATCTGTCTGTATGGGCCAGTATCCACATCAAGACTTTTACTGCGGCGCCTTTTATAGACGCCATTTTTTGATCTACCGCACCCAACTAGGTCTACCTGACGTTGCTATTTCAAAACTCACAAATAACTGCCAAATTATCTAAGCCAGAGATTTCAACCTCCCTGACGTGGATTGGGTGAAAATGTATTTCACTACCGGGGGCAGATATCCAGCTCTTAGCAAGCAAATGATCGACATCGCTCAAAACCATAATCTGTATCAGGTTGTGACTATCCCTACAAGGGAAGATAAAACTTTAGATCCGGTCTTCACAAATATTCCTTCACTCGTCCAGAATGTCAACATCCTGATTGGTATGTCTGATCACGACATCGTGTCTGTGGAGATTCTTACTTCTTCCCGAAGAATCAGACCACGTAGGAAGATATTCTTATTCAAGAAGGCAAACTTCGATAAAAATCAATGATGACAAATATGCCGACTCCATCACCAACGAAGTCAATTCCGCCCAGTCCGCAGACACTCTGGATGGGATTCAAACACGCATTACCAACTGCAATGGAAAGACACATACCCACTAAGATGACAAGTGCCAACAGCAGCCTTCTTTGGTTTAAACAGCCCCACAAACGCATCATGAGACGTAAGCGTAAAGCCTATACGATAAAGCCAGAAGCACAGGTGCTACCTCTGACTGGGAAATCTTCAGGGCTTACGTCTCACCTA